GAGCCGAAGAGGCTCCTGCTGGATGCCAGTGTCAACGACCCGCTATTTGATACAGACCCCCGAAGGCGAGTAACAATGAAGCATCGATTGCGACGATGTCGGGAAGTCCCCAAGGGAGATAGACGCATCTGCGGTTGGCCGCGAGTCTGTACCAACAGGCCCCGGTGGTCCGTAAGTGCGGGCGCATTCTCTGTGTAACGACCACACAATCGATGGCGAGCCGAAGCCGTCTGCATCAACCGTTATGGAGTCGGCATCGGGAAGAGCACCATGGCCGGCGAGCCAATTGCTCGCCCTCTGTCGCTGCATCGGGCCCAAAGAGGCAATCCTGTCGCCGCATTCAGCTTCTGCATCGTCGGCCTCTGTTTGTTGCCTGGGCGGATGTGTTTGTGCGACGCGAGCATGTCACCACTCTTGTCTCAAGTTCAGCCTTCTGGGGGAGTCTGCAGCAATGCTCTGCTATTGGCCAGGACCATCCTGAGGCAGTGTCTTACTCTCCCTGTTCTGATCTGACATTTTACTGAGAACGCATGGCAGAGGTTACATACAGTCATCCATCGGGGTCAGGGATTCTGGGGGGGTAAGATGGCCATTTGCTATTCTGCGTCTCCAATGCCGGTAATGCCTCTTCTGTCTGGCACAATGTCGACGAAGAGGCAACACAACACCAATACGTACTAAATACTCAGTTGAACCTTGACGACGGGTCTAACTGGGCAACCAACGGCAACCTCACGGTCCATAATCGATCCTTGACCACACTCTGCACTTGCAACCCATTCAGGGGAGGTGCTGCGAGAGTGTGGCAGCACGTCACCCCTTCCTCGTCCTGTCCGTCACCAGAAAGGGCGCCATTCCAATTCCCGGAATCCTTGCTACCCGCACTTGAGGAACCGCGGGTCAAGGGTCACAGCATCCCCTGGGGCGCCACGGAGGCTTGTTTGACGGCGAACGACCTTTTTGACGCGGGAGGGTTGGCTGGCATCTGGACCTTGACGCCACCGTGCTACAACCGCATGCCGAGGACCGTGGTTTTAAATTAGGAGCAGCCACCGGTACAGAGTACCAATTTGCGTGAGAAGTCATCCGGAGTCGCAATTCTCCAGAGTCAGCAGCATACCCGAATATGCAGGATGAAGGACGCTGTGGCTGCGGCTTTCCGAAGTTTCCAGCCCGGACGGACACACACACACACACACACACACACATGCACATACACACACAAAGTGCTAATGAGCTGCTGGTTGCAGATTTGCTTTGCGGTGCCTCCTCACATCTTTTGAGTCGTGAACTGAGCTGGACCATGACTCGACGCTGCTGGAATCTTCACGATAGAAATGCTTGGACACAAAGTAAGATGAGAAAATCATCAGTGGCGTTTTAGTTTGTCTCTATTTTCATTCTGGAACATTTCCCATGTGGGAGTGGATCTGCCTGCCGCCCTCGCTTCAGTTGAAAACCGGCGGCTTTCCCCCGATTTCCAGTGGTACATGTTCTGTCTGATTCGTACAGTGCACAAAGTACATCGACGACACGCCGCAGTCTACAGGTACTACCTGGTATCAAGGGATGCTTTGGCATGATGGTATCTCCGCTACCTAGTACATAGCAGGAGCTGTTGACAACAGCGTTTGCTTCTGCAAGGGATACAGCATGTCTATCTAATAGGGATAGCTACAACTAGACGACAGTGTCATTCTGTGCTTGGCTGAGAACTTATGTGCTTTTCTTCTTCCCCTTGATACCAAAGCCATCCCTTGGAAATCCCCGGAAGAAGACTTAGGAGGGGGGGGATGGCAAAGAGTTGGTATGGAAACGAAGCCGTGCCGATCATCAGAGCAATGTCCGTTCTATCGCCATTGATGTGCAGAGTCAGGACAGGGTCAGAGTTTTTTTTTTTTTTTTTTTTTTTTTTTTTTTTTTTTTTTTTTCTTTATTTCGGTACGATGCGGGAGTTGCCTGGACTTGCCACTGGAGCCCACAGGGTAAACCCGCGAGGCCGGCATTGGGGGATGTTGATCGTTATTCTCCCTCGGACGGGCGAGTGTTTTCTATTATTCTGTGATGTCCATTCTCAGGGCGTCGATCTCTCGAAGTCTGGCTTGCTCATACTAACGTAGGTAGGTTGGTAGGTAGGTACTCGTACAGTACCTGCGTATTCGAGGTGCTGACAATTGGGAGAATTTCCTTCTTTGTCCGCGTATGTAGTGATCATGAGCAACGGTAAACTAACGTCTCTTGTTGAATTGACAGAAGGTCGTTTGAGCACCTCAGGACTATATATATCTGTCTACAAAGGCATACCCGTGCGCAAGCATGTTCTCCAATCCCATCGAATTGACTGACTGGGCCTAGTTCATGTCCCTTGCTCGTTGGACAGGGAGACCAGAGCCTTTTCGCGCCTTAGCAATCTCGAGGCGTCCAACACCATTTTCGACAGCATTTTATTACCATCTGCCTCTCCGCTTCGAGGGCTTAAACACGCCGGAGCACAGATAAGGAGTCTCCTCGCGGACCCTTGTCCATTATCCAGTCAGTCGGCACAGCACTGTTGATTTGAGAGGCGGACGATATTACAGGTGGGCAATGACCTGCATGCAGGTTCCTGGATGACTAGTAGGTACTTAGTTGGGGTTCTCTTGACTCTCCACTTGTTTCGTTTCCACTTCCCCTGCTTTTGTTCTTTTTCCTGGAGCGTACATACTAGTATACGTATTTTACGAATGTCGACCCTAGCTTGAAGCACAAGGCGGACTCTGGGCTTGGTTTCTGGGAATGGCATTAGGTAGCATGGGCTGAGTATAATGTGGCGAATGCATCCATATGGCACTCAAGTGAGTTGCTTAGTGTAGGCCAGTGTAGGCGGTATTGCAACAGCTCATCATACAGAGAAAAGGAGAAAGAAGGAAAATCTCGAGATACCATTACTTCAAGGAAGTTGAACTTTGGCCAAAAAGAGGCACCCAATTGTAGCGTACTTTACATGCATGGGCAGTCCTTTTCAGAAAAAGAAGAAAACAAGAGTTCAAGGACCAGCTCTCTTCCATACCCTCGTCCCCGGATTGGGTCCCACCGCTCTTCGGGCTCAGCGGCGCGCTCAAGGCGCCAGTACCTGGATTCATGCAGGTGAAAAGCGACGGAACGATTCGAACTCGCCTTTGCAGACACAAAGTAGGTACCTAGGTAGGTAATACAGTACAAGTGCCCGGAATCATGTGGTGGATTCAAGAAAGGAGCGGTCGTTGCCCTTGTTGTGGCTGCATATAACGGCCGTGTAAGGGGAGAGTGAGAAGGAGAGAGAGGCCAGCAATTATGGGTGGGATTCCATGTGCTTGCTCTGGGAGATCTCGATCGTCAGGCGTCTTGGAGGAAGCTTCACGTCGTTGATCGCCGAGAGAAACCTCCTACTATCTCATGGCTTGGTTCTCAGGTCGAGCCACCAGCTGTTTAGTTCGCTCATGCCCCCAACCACGCTGGAGTTGAGCTCTTCAATCCGTCGTCGAGCTTCCTCTTCTGCGCAAGGGAGATGCTACTACTACTAGTATTAGTATCGTACTTGCTCAACAGCGCTTACTTTAGGTATTCCTGCTCCGCCCATGACCCCGGCTGCTCCGCGGCTGCTACTCGCGCTCTTATTTAGTCAGATTTCGAACCCAGCGGCATAGTATCGAGAGGGGGGGGAATCTCGGAGATTGACCTTCTGGAAGTGTTCCTTTGTGGGCTCTTCGAAAGGTTCAGCTTACTCGCGCAAAGTGGTTTTGAGTGTGCTTAGTATAACATTACTTGGTGGACAAGGTCTCTAGAGGCCTGGTGCTTGGCGCGTCACTGACGTCAAGGGGCGGTGTGTTGTCGGTGAGCTGCAAGGTATAGGGAGCACTTTAAATGATGCAGGGACGGAATTGAGAGGCTTCAGATGCTACCTACTACCTGTATTACTGTTACGTTATTCATGTCTCTTTAGCTGCCGTTGTTGTTGTTGTTGCTGCTACTGTTGAGGGTAAGGCGGAGCGGCAGCGCCAAGCACATGTGATGAACAGCTGGCAATGTGGCCTTGATCGTCATATGGACGGGTTGGAGATATCGAGGAGATACCGTCATGCGGTAAGACTTGGACTGGGAGTCGAGTGCGCGCAGCTGATGGCCACAGTTGATGCAGCTCTCGCCTGGGGTGCCAAGGAGCAGGTCAATAGTGAGTAGTGTGGTCCATGATTGATTTCTCTCAAGCTCTTCCGTTTGCAGGGGATAAGTCCCCCCTTTGCGGCAACATAACCGAGCCAATTGCGAATGAAAGCAGATTGTGATGCGATCGATACATTGCGTATCATATGGCAATGGCGTGTGATGGCTGGGTGTGGGCAAGTCAGAATAACAACAAAGACACTTGCATGACTTGGGGCCAGGTTCGAGTCTGCGCTTAATCGAGATATTGGATGACACCAAGGCGACAACATTCGAGACCTCGAGTGTTCGCCCAAGTTCGATTGAGGAGTGGCACTGCGTAATGCGGTTCTAAACTAACACAGACTTGACAGGAAAGACTTCCGTCTCCTGGTGATCAACTTGTGGAGGGTGGGGTATCGTTCTGCTTGAGTTCTTGGTGCTGTTCTCTTCCCTGAAACAAAAGACGCGATGAACAAGTTTAGCATCTGTGCCGGATGATATGACGGCGCCTCATGGCACTCGAAGCTAGGGGCTTGGTGCCATGTGGTTCACCCGAAGCCGCTGGTATAGTCTCGCGCGCTGGCGGTCGTCGTCGTCCATGGAGTGTATCGCATCCCCTGTCCCACACACCCTTCGTCATCAAAGAAGCTGCTGCTGCATGTCTAACAAATGGTATAATATCAGAAGGGAATCTCTCTAGGAAGGGCCTTGTCGCAACTCCTCAACTCCTAAACTCCTGGGGCAGCAAGTGTCCTATCTCTTGTGCGAGGTCGACTCGGGGTTCGTTTCGGTACGCTACGCTTGAGTGTGTAGGCAACTTAGCTAAGCAGCATGGAGACCTATCTCTGGGTTAGCACACTGAACAAGCACGAGAAGAGCAGAGAGTGCAAAGTCGTTATACGTACAGCCATGATGACACAGCAGATGCTTATGTAGGGACTCAGTCGTTCCCCTATCCTCGCGCACTTCCAGAAGATGCCCATGACGCTTTTGAGGTGTTCGTTAGCTTTCGGTACAGCAGCGGTGTTTACAAGGATCTGCTGCGGTGCCGTACCCGTTCTTGTTCCGGTCCATGATGCCGGGCGTAAAGTGGTGCACGTATGTGCTCGTGCAGATTAATAGCAGGATGACGAGCAGGAGGGACTTGAAGTTGAAGAGCGCAGACTAAACAGCAGCAACAACAGCACGTTAGCAATCAATCTCTGCCTCTGTCTCTCGTTGTCCATAGTATCCCATCAGTATCAGAGGTGTCTTACCATCTTGACGACCTGAACCTCTTGCGTCTCAACCAAGCAATTGCTGTGTTATTCTTATTAGAATCCACGAAAGCTGTCCAGATGCTCGGCATCGCGGTCTCGTCATCATCAGGCTTGCAAGGGGCCACATGTGGGATAGGAGGAAAGATTCGCCGGTCCGGTTTTTTGGCACGCGCGCGAGACCCACATCAGCTGGCAATGACATGCATCTTCCCCACCAACCAGAAGTTGCGATTTCCATCGTGAAATGAACTGAATGCGCAGCTTCATCTTGGCTCTTCAAGGCCGCACTCATCGCCATCGCGACATGCTCGGCTGATTTTCTTCAAGTCCTTTCCGACCATCTAAAAGCTCTGCATAGGTAGAGCGATATACAGCATCATACTTCCTCAAAGAGAGTCGACAGCCACGGGCAACGCAGTTTCAAGATGGAGCCTCGCGCGCGTGCCGGCAAGAATGTCGGCAAAATGAACTTTTCCCACGCCGAACGTACGCATCCTAAACATCTCATACAGAGCCTCCATTGGGGGCGATTGTTATAGATATATGTGCATATCTCCTAACACACGTGTTTTGACAGTGGCACAACTCCTCTACGCCCACGGCGACATCAAAAACCCCATGCCCGAAACGGTCCGCGTGCTCGACGAGATCCTCACCGACTTCATGCAGTCCATCGCCTTCGAGGCGAACCGCGCGGCCAACTACTCTGGCCGGCAGAAGATCAAGTACGAGGACTTTGAGTTTGCGTTCCGCAAGAACCCGTCCTTTTTGGGCAAGGTGCAGGAGGTCTTTGAGAAGCAAAAGGAAATCAAAAAGGCCCGAGAGATTCTGAGGGACGGCGAGGACGAGATCATGAGGGATGCGGCGGAGGAGGAGAAGAGGAAGGAGAAGGAGGAGAAGGCAGCGCCGACGGCTGCGGCGGCCACAACGACCTCGACGACGAAAGCGAATCGAGTGGAGGAGGAGCTGGGCGAGGCAGATGATGATGCGGAGGCGGAGGCTGATGCCTTGGGGAAGAGGAGGTGAGGAGGGTCCTTTGGCAGGCGAACGGACAGACTGCTGCTAGCAGCCGTTGTTTTACTTGGTTTTGGTTTTCCAAAGCATTGCTCTGGCGTCTTAGGAAAGCATGGGACTGGCGTTTGGGAGTTGGCAAAGGCAAAGGAACTTGGGCAACACTGTGTTAGGGTATCACACTTATTCTTCTCGATTCCTCTTATCTGAAGACGGTTCGGTCTTGTCTACATCTATTCCGTGACTAGAAGTCCATATTCACTAGAAGAAAACATCCACTTCACGATCCTTCACAATCTCACGTTCCATTGGTAGCAGCCTGCTGGGTGCGCTTCAGCTACGGCTGAACAGCCTGTTCTACCCCGTGGCCCTCGCATATGATCTATCACGCCGCTACTGCTCCTGGCCGACTTCGTGCGGGGTCGGCTCTGGAAGCCTAGGTAGAAGCCGTCGAGTTGAATAAACGCTTTGTTACGCTATCAAAACCCGACGCTTCTTAATACGGCATGAAGCAACAACTGCTCAAAACTTGGGAGATCCGTTTTGCCGCCAGTAGGAAATAGAGCGGGAACAGATCAGCGACCGATAACCGCTCGATGCCACCCACACCGTCTCGCCGGCCCGGCCAAGACAATAGCGATATCGGGTCGCCGCTATGAAGATTCTAGTAGCAGTCAGAATGTCCAAGACCATTCGCGCTGACAAGTTCGTCACAGTAGCAGCCTTTAGCCCCGTGCAGTTTGCGTGGAGAGGAGGCCGCCCCCCCGGTTCCGTCAGCCGTTGCCGCTGGCCGCAACGTGCCCGCTCAAGCACCTCATCGGCGATGGGGGCGATTTCCTAATAAGCAAAAGAGTGACGAGGTCTATCACTATCATCAGGTTCCACCCCCTCCAGAGGCCAATAGGGTGTCGTGGGGAGGAGGTCCGCCAAGCTGAGGAGGTGCAGGCTCTGCTGCTGATGGTGTCCGAGGAGAGACAGTCAAAAACATGTCACCAGGCGGATCTTTTCTTACCCAGGCCAGAAGCCGTAGACGACAGTCCTTCTGTAATCGTCCTTCTGTAATCGCACAAATCCTTTTCTGAGGTCTTCCGAAGGCCCCTGACATCTCGAGTGCCTTTGGTGCTGTTCGCCCGTGCTAGTTACTGCCATCAGCTTTGTTGATCCGTATGCAACTACCATCATCTCGTGCTATTCTGCAGGTGTTTCGAGAGAGCAAACCATGGAGGTCAGCCGAGGCCCTCCGCCTCCGCCAGCCGCGGCGGATATGGAGCTGCACCTCTCGCGGGACAAGAACCATCCGGACGAGACGGACGACTTCCTGGCGCCGCGTAGCACTCTGACTCCAGGCGAATACCAGTCGAACTCGAAGCCATCGCTATTCTCCGACGACTTTCGTCGCTTGTCAATAAGTCCCGCCCCCAGCACAAGACTATCGCCAGTCCCTCATGGACCGTACGTCCCGACGGGGGTCTATCAGTCTCCCTCCGAAGCGTCGTCGTCGCGGCTGAAGCAGTTTTGGACAAGGAACAAGCCCTCCATCCTCGTCGCTGTCTCCCAGTTTTTCGGGGCTCTGATGAACCTCAGCGCTCGCCTGCTGGAGCTGGACGGCGATGGCATACACCCGGTGCAGGTCCTCCTTCTCCGACAGGGACTCACCTCACTCTGCTGCTTCGTGTATATGTGGTGGAAGAATGTCCCCGAGGCCCCCTTCGGAAAGAGGGAAATCAGGTGGCTCCTCTGTCTTCGAGGCTTTGCGGGCTTCTTTGGCATCTACGGCATGTGGTACTCAATGATGTATCTCCCACTCGCCGATGCCACCGTGATCACCTTCCTGGCTCCCGGAGTAGCTGGTCTGTTGTGCTACTTTGCCCTCCGCGAGCCCTTCACCAGAGCTGAGCAGATGGCTACCCTCGTGGCCCTTTTGGGCGTCGTCCTCATTGCGCGGCCGGTGTCCTTGTTCACGGACCTCTCTTCGTCCAAGGATCAGACAGTCGACGCCCCCGAGCAGCTGGATGGGGCTTTCCCCGGCCTTGAGGACGAGCCGACCGCCGAAGAACGGCTCGTCGCCGTCGGCGTTGCGCTTCTCGGCGTCTTGGGGGCTGCCGTTGCGTTCACGAGCATCCGGACCATTGGCAAACGTGCCCACCCCCTGATCTCGGTCAACTACTTCGGCATGGCCTGCACAATCATCTGCGTCCTCGTCCTGGTCCTCGCGCCGGCTCTGAACATCGGCCAGCCTCACCTGAGGTGGATCACGCCAAAGTCGTGGAAGGGCTGGTTCCTGCTCCTCTCGATAGCAGTGCCCGGCTTCATCATGCAGTACCTCCTGACGGCGGGACTGGCCGCCGACGCCTCCAACAAGGCGAATGCCATGATCTATACGCACATGCTCTTTGCAGTGAGCTTCGACCGGTGGATATTTGGCCACAGCATGTCTATGATGAGCTTTGCTGGCTGCGCTCTTATCCTCGGCAGTGCCATCACTGTCGTGTTGACGAAGAAGCCGCCTGCGAAGACGGTTAATGACATTGAGAGACTGGAGAATGTAGAGGGAGAGGCGGAGGGATCTCCCATGCTCGTCGATACAGGAGGAAATGGCGAGGGAATAGACGCGAGGAGGGCCTAGGCCGCATGATGCTGTTAGAGTCTATATGATCTTCATGGCCCTTGTGTAGACGTGTCTTTTAGACGAGCTGGTAGCACTTGAGCAATTTCGAGGAATCTGGTTCCTGGTCCCTATTTTTAAATTCAGCTGAAGTGTTCTTTGTCATGAGTATGGGGTTGATAAGCTGAAAACTTTCGCTCGAAAGGTAGGAAATGAAGAGTAGAGCAAAGTAAACACTCGAGACCGTCAACCAAACTCAAAGCTCCAGGGTAGGCCGCTTGCAGGCATGCCGCATCACGTGCAGCCAGCCTAAGCTAACGAGTCGCGAACGCCGCGCTTTGGTGACTTCAACAGCTGCAGGGTTGCGATCCAAAGTCGCAAAATTTCAGAATCATCAAAACTCGCCCTCGACAATCCCGCCCGTGTCCCCGATTATGCGCTGAAATCAGTTCTCAAACCGAATACATCTTCAACCTACTCGAAGAATCTCACAGTCTGTTTCGTCAACAGTTCTCTTCTTGACGCCATTGAACCCCGAGAACCGCCGCCGAGATGGTGCAAATCAGCGAGGTCAAGGGCAACAAACGCGATAACCGCACCGCAGCCCACACTCACATCAAAGGCCTGGGGCTGAAGCCCGATGGCTATGCCGATACTCAGGCGGCTGGCTTTGTCGGCCAAGTCCCTGCACGAGAGGTGAGCAGTTCCCACGCCGGATGATGATTTCTTCTTTCTAGCTCGGCCTGCTAACGATGTCCCCTTCTTTGTCAATACCCAGTCATGCGGTGTCGTCGTCGATCTGATTCGAGCTCACAAAATGGCCGGCCGAGGTGTCCTGTTAGCTGGCGGCCCCGGAACCGGAAAGACGGCTCTGGCGCTCGCCATCAGCCAGGAACTGGGGACCAAGATCCCCTTCTGCCCCATCGTCGGCAGCGAAATCTACTCGTCAGAAGTCAAGAAGACGGAGGTCCTGATGGAGAACTTCCGAAGAGCGATCGGCCTCAAGGTCCGGGAAACGAAGGAGGTCTACGAGGGCGAGGTGACCGAGCTCACACCGGAGGAGGCGGAGAATCCCTTGGGCGGCTACGGAAAGACCATCAGCACACTGCTCATCGGGCTTAAGAGCGCCAAGGGCCAGAAGAAGCTTCGCCTGGATCCCAGCATCTACGAGGCCATCCAGAAGGAGAGGGTCACCGTTGGCGACGTCATCTACATCGAGGCGAACACGGGCGCTTGCAAGAGGGTGGGACGATCCGATGCGTATGCCACCGAATTCGATCTCGAGGCCGAAGAGTACGTGCCCATCCCTAAGGGCGATGTACACAAGAAGAAGGAGATTGTGCAGGACGTCACATTGCACGACCTCGACGTCGCAAACGCTCGGCCGCAGGGAGGGCAAGATATCATGAGCATGATGGGTCAGCTGCTGAAACCCAAGATGACGGAGATTACGGACAAACTGCGTGCCGAGATCAACAAGGTGGTTGGCAAGTACATCGATCAAGGTGTGGCCGAATTGGTACCAGGTGTCCTGTTTATTGATGAGGTAAAGAATCTGCCCTGTTATTGTCACGCGGAGAGAGAGGGGAGAGAGGACGCACTGGGTTGGCATCAGACACTGACACGGGACTGTAATAGGCTCACATGCTCGACATCGAGTGCTTCACCTACCTGAACCGCGCCCTGGAATCACATCTCGCCCCCATTGTCGTCCTGGCTTCGAACCGCGGAATGTCGACAATAAGAGGCACCGACGACGTTGTCGCGGCCCATGGCATTCCTCCCGACTTCCTAGCGCGCATGCTCATCATACCCACCTCTCCATACTCGGCAGACGAAATCAAGAAGATTGTCAAGCTGCGGGCCACGACCGAGGGTGTGGCTATCACCGATGCGGCCATTGACAAGATTTCCGAGCACGGTGTCCGCGTCAGCCTAAGATACTGCCTGCAACTGCTGACCCCTTCAAGGTGAGTGCCTCCCCCCCATGAGGACACAGTGATTGAGGCCAAACAGAAAAGGTTCCTCGCATGAGACAGAGAGCTGACGTGTTTTTGATGCCAACAGCATTCTCGCCAAGGCGAATGGCCGTACTCAGATTGACGTGCAGGACGTGGCCGAGTGCGAAGATTTGTTTCTAGACGCCCGTCGTAGCGCCTCACTACTCGCTAGCGAGGCGGGACGTGGCTATCTGTGATCGTGATCTGCGAAGCCGTGGACGGGAAGGACTGGATCCGGTAAAAGGGGGGGATGGGAGGAAACAAGAATCTCATTGTAAATGATGATGCTGGGCGGTGTGCCGATAATGCCACTGATTTCATACTATAGGTCAAGGATGGGATTTCAGAGGGGGATCCAAGACACGTTGTCTTCTCTTTCTTGTTCTGATTTGGTTGTTTTTCCTTCACGCGATGTACCGGAGTATCAGCACAGGGGGGTGCTAGGCAGCCCTGAAAGGACCATTGGGCTTGGGTAAAAGTCACCTGAAATGGCGGGCAAGCCATGTCTCTCAAGGGCTCTGCCAACGTAACGTGATTGTGTCCTGCCTTGCTTCTACAACAGTGCCAGCCTCCCTTACGCCGCCCGCCCAACTCTCCGAGACATGATGAGCCCTTAGGGAGGAGGAAGACCTGGAAATCGAGCCCGCGTAAGGAGAAAAAAACGTTGAAGACTGGGTGCCCTTGATTTCCTTGCTCCACCCCCTTTCTCTTTGTTTCGCTTCGCTTCGGGGCCTTTTGTTTTTTTCTCTTTCGAACAGGACGGGGCGTTTAGATTGCCAGGTAGTCGATGCAAATGTCTTAGCGGGCGATACAAATAGGAGAAACGACACGTCGTGGCTGCATGTGAGTGATGGGTGCGGCTCAGTACGACTCGGGAAAGACGGAGAAGAGAGGCGGCCGAGTCGGAAACAAATTGGACGACGACAACAACGTTCGAATCAACACGAGCTCTATCACGTGTGATTGGAAGCCCTGGGCGCACATTCGCCCAGCCCATGAATCATCGCCTTTGTCTCATAGACTAGCATTCCAGAGGGCAGATGGTGCACATTCCAAAGACGGCATTGTCCGTCTCTGGATGAGGTCGGAAGGGGGTTAGGGGGAAAAGAGAAGAGAGTGAGGGGGAGGGGAGCGTGAGAAGGAGGTGTGGTCATTGGATCCAGAGAGACAAGTCAAGAAAGAAGATTATCGAGCTACTAGAACTTGGCCTGGCACATTTCAAAGAGAGTTTGGATTGTCTGAAAAGCGAGTCAGCGGCGCCATTGTGAGGTGAAGAATGTTTTGGGGCCGAGAGCACCCGGCCAGGAGAGGGAAGATTCCTGGAAGATCAAGGCCCAAAGATGATTGATGCCGCCAAACAAAAGATCCTCTAGCTGCCTTTACCTTACATGTGCTTGATGTATGGCAGTCGGGGCTATCGTCGCAACCACCGTGTGCGGACGTGCGCGCGGATGTGTTGCGTGAAGCGATATCGATTGTAGGAAAGCTCCAGCTCCAGCTCCCGCTCCCCCCTTGTCCCCTCTCTCCTTCATCTCCTTTTGTCTCTCTTCGACGTTCCTATTGCCAAATGGCCATTGTTTGGGACGACAAGATCCCGTTTCTTCGCATAATCGTAAATGAGGCTGTTGGGAGGAGGACAAAAAAAAAAACAAAGCAACAAACAGGAAGGTTGGGTTCGGCGAGTGCAAACGGACCAAGAAGGCTTTCATGCTCGCAGCCACTGCCGCTCACATCCCGTCAATACTTCTACCCGTCTCCCCATTCCACCGTTCCATCTCGATCGATCATTTTCCTGCAGAATCGCCCTGATTCCCATCGCCTTCTTAAGCCATCTGGACACGCGGGTCTCGTGTGGCTGCCTTGCTCCTCGACATAGGCGGAGCCATCGACTGGTCTCCAGGCCTTCTCTAGTCTTCGATCGAGACACATCGTTGAGACATGCAGGGTTAATTTTCTGCCACTCATCATAGAGTATCAAATTGGTGGCGGTTGTCGACGGCAAAGGACATTGCCGTTGTGAATGGCATCTTGCAACATCCACAAACAGACCCGAGCACGTTAAGCTCTTTCCGTTTCTTCTCAACCCTCTTTTGCTGCTCCCTTCTTTCGCATCTCGCCCCAAAGTCTCAAGGTCCTCATCCTACCTTCTCTTATTGTTTCCCTCTGCAAGATTACCGGGCTCTCCTAGGTCACTGCATGCTCCCTTGTTGTTGCATTGTTGTCCAGGAACAAAGAACTCAAGTCACCCTTACACCAGGCTCAGCAGCTGTTTGACCAAGGGGATCCCTCTTGATCTCCCATCCGCTTGATTCTTTATCGTATGCTTGTTCTTAGGTGTGGCACGTATTTCGTCATTTGCATCCTCCATAGTTATGGCCCAGACCAGCAGCAGACCCCAAGCAGCGTCCGAGAGCTCGCGATACTCTCCAGAATTATCCGGAAGACACGTTCAAGCTTCCCTATCACGAACTCCCCAAGAACGCGACTTTATCAACCAAAGGAATCTATCTCCTCTGCATCATCGCAGCCGCTTGGGTGAGATGGACGGGATCGAAACGCCCAGGGCAACAGTTGAAGACCGACGGAACTCCATGATGTTGGCAGGACAAAGCGCATTCGAGCCCCGTGGCCCATCCAACTCTAATGTGGCCGAGCGGAGAGGCATCCAGCCGATGGCACTCACATCGATTGTCTGCGATGATAGTCCCTATGGCCACAATACGAGGAACCATAGGCCTCATGGAATGTTCGGAGACTCGCAGCAATATCCAAATAGCGCAACACAGCAGACCGATGTGGCTTATCGTGGGAATGAAGATCTGGACTGGAGAAGCGGCCCTGATGACGCGATGAGAAACTCGCATTACACTTCGAGTCCCATAGGACGGTATACAGGCACGGCTGCAAGCCACCCTCGCATGAGCTTCTGTGATGAGATGGTCCATGGAGATGGCTGCGACCCAGCAATGGGCGCAAACGGCGCGAGAAGGATATCTGTGCCCCACGGCGTAAACGGCGCGAACCACGACGCCTCGAGATTCAGTGCCTCAGCTGCGATGTACCCATACGATGGAGGAGATTATCCCTGTCGCTGCACGCCGGAGCCCCCAAGGCCTCGAAACAGTAAGTCGACATCTCCTCACTGAAATCTCAAGGCTGCGGAACAGATGCTCAGGGGTGTGAGCCATGATATCCACTTCCTGTTGCTTAATGGGGTTGCTGAATATCATTGCTGACGGTGACATCCTCATCATAGGCTTCATGTTGTTTCGGCAGCATCACCAACGAGAGGTAGCAAAGGCACACAAGGGCCTTTCCAACCCCGAAATTTCCAAGATCATCGGGGCCATGTGGAGAGATGCAGCCGACGAGGAGCGTGAAAAATGGACGCTGCGGGCTGAAGAGGAGAAGGAAAGCCACGGCGCCAAATATCCAGGCTATCGGTATAAGCCGAACCGCAGATCCAAGTCTCAGGGGAAGCAGAACCGGCGGTGCTCCAAGTGCGGTGGTCGACTCAATGCAACCACACGGATTCAAGAGTCTCCAGAGTCCCCGAAGTCCCCAGTCTCTCCGAGATCCTCACGGTCCTCGCAGTCTTCTCGAACACCACGAGCACCACGAGGACCTAGAGGGCAACACACGCCGCAAATGACTAGAATATCGGGCGTCTCAACCCCATCCGCAACCTCGCCTGTGAGCTCATTCGCAACTGGCCATGGACTTTGGGAGTCAAACCGGAGAACATCACTCAATATGTCGAATATTGGCCATCATCGACAAACAAGCATTACCCCGCCGTCTCTCTCGAGACCTGTGATACCCGAGCCAGCGTCTTGGCCGAGGTCAGAAGGCTTTGAAGCCTCAACCCTGCCGCCGCTCCCTTGTCATCAGGATACGGAGTCGCGACGGGACTCCCTCTTTGGAAACCCTCCGCGTCTTCCTGCGGTTGAGCCACCGTTGCCATCAACGCCCCTGTATGCTCATCTTGCGGGCTATAAGATACATAGCGGTGACGATAAGCCATGAAAGCTTTGCCGGCTGTCTTTTTCAACTTGTGAAGGGCGAAAGATTGAGGGTAGAGAAGGGAATGTGTCTATATATCCATCATCATTAGTCGTCAAAAGCTTCACTCCGAGTACATGTAGAGTAGAAGAATGGATCAGGAGTTCAGGAGTTCGTGAGAAAGCTGCTCGCGAGATTTACATGAGCGTATTTCCAATGCAGCTGCCTACCTGTAATTTGATTATGAACACCTGAAGTCCAACGCCAACCCGTGCACTGAGGCCTCTTTGACGCATCTCTTATCCGTTGTTTGGCCAGACCATTTGTGATGTCTCAGGAGCGGATTCAAAGCCTTGAGCGGTTCGAAGAGGTATTCGCTGCTCAGGCAATTGCGCTGGCGCATCATCATCGGCAACAGAGTGACGATAAAGCATGTTTGCAGAAAGACAAAAAAAGACAAAGGGAAGATGAAGGCGCAGTATAGGTATTTGAACAAGGCGATTGCTAGGCAAAGAAGGCGCAGTGAACCTCTTTCCTTCTAATAGATTATACCTTATTATTCTGGGGAAGTGCGACGGGTTTTGGCTCTGCTTGAACACGGCAGGTGCATGCTTCATGCCTCAGGATTCGCTTTATTGCAAACTACCTACTAGGTAGTACTTTGTAGACGGTGCATTGGAGCTCTGAAAAGCTGTACCTGAGGGAGTCGACGTCGACTTGTGCAGCTTGAAAGCCTTTGTCATCTTGAACAATTTGGCGGTTCTACAAGAGAACCTTTGCCTTTGTCCCTCGCAAAAAGGATGATGGGTTTAGTGCAGTCACAGGTAATCTGCAGAACCTCTGGATCGGTGTTAGTGGGTATTCGGTACTTGGAGCTCCCTCCTTGCGCCCTGCAAATAGCCAATGGCGTCTGCGCGCATGCAGTGGTTCAGTGGCTTGACGGGTTGCAGAGCTTCCTGAACAATGCGCAAGCGAAGGGGCAGCTCCCTCAGTGCATGTACCGGTACCAGCGCTGCAAGTACCGAGTCTCCCTGCCCTTGTCTCTCTCCTCCAACGCGACTTTGCTCGTCTCCTCCACTTTTGACCTTACAACCTGTAATGCTTAATACCTCTGGTCTGCTTCTGCTCTCTGACCAACAACTCTCTATACCTACATCTTTTTTTATTTCTCTTGAACCTCGTCACGCAGGGGTCGACCCTCTCTCACTCTCTCACCGACGCAGAGGCAGTTACAGCTAGATCACCAGCGAATCAAACAAGCGCCCACCTCCCGCCGACCGCGAAATCTCACCATGCAACATATCCCCTCTGACCTGTCGTCGTAATGCCGGACTTCAAGCCTGGGCAGACCGTCCTGCTCAACGATGGCCGCAAGGCTATTGTGCGGTTCGCGGGCCCAACTCACTTCCAGGTGGGCGAATGGATCGGCGTCGAGCTCGAGGAGAAGACGGGCAAAAACGATGGAAGCGTCCAGGGCGAGCGCTACTTCGACTGCCCCATGGGCTACGGCATGTTTGTCAAGCCCATGATGGCCACAATCATCGCGCAGCCGGCCGCGCCAAGGCCGGCGGCAGCAACAACAACGACAACAACAACAGCGAGAAGGCCCGGCGCCAGACCGCCTGGATTGCATCCCACCGCGGGCAGGGCGTCTGTTTCTGGCGCCGAGGCCAGTCTCAATAGGAGGAGGAGCATCAACGCGCCCAGCCCCAGCCCGGTACCTCACCACAAGCCGTCGCAGTCGTCGAGCAACCTGCGGGTAAGTCGGAGCGCCCCTGATCGCATGTCCCTTCGTATTAACCCGAGAGACTAAGTCACCGTCCAAATCTCCTACCAAGCAGCTCAGCAGTTCGTCCAGTGCTAGCGCGTCTCGAACGACGACACCCTCGACCGTTCGGGTGCCGTCCGCCGCGGGCAAGCCTCGCACGAACCTGTCGGGGTCGCGCACGTCCATGGGGCCCCCCCCTCCGCCCCAGACCGGCCAGCGATCGGCGATGCGACAGCCGTCGATATCATCCCTCAGAGCCGGAAGCGCCCCGACCAAGTCCATTGGCGGGCGCGGCGGCATCGCGGCTCCCCGGGCTGCGTCGCGCCCCGAATCCGGTCGCCGTACCTCTGTCAGCTCCCAGGGAGGGTTCGATTCGAGCTCGGCCACTCGATCCGACGAGATGCTGAGCTCTCCCATTGAGGCCGAGGAGGACGAGATTCTTTCGCCGCAGCCAACGAGCCCGGTCGCTGGGAGAGCGAATGCGTTGGAGAGGATCGCGGCGGCGTCGTCAACCCTATCCTCTTCATCAGCAGCTACGATGAAGAAGCCGGGAGCGGCTGGCTCATCCCGGTCCTCGATTGGCAGCACTGCAGCGAGCAGGGAAATCGAAGATCTCAAGGCGAAGCTGAAGGTTTTGGAACGGAAACGAGTCGAGGATCGGGACAAACTGAAGCAGCTGGAAACCATCCAAGGAGAAAGGGACAAGTTCGAAGGCATCATCCAAAAGCTGCAGCAGAAGTATCAGCCCATCCAGCAAGAAAACACGGAACTGAGGAAAGCGCTGAAGGAAGCCGAGACAAGGTTCGACTCGATCGAAGCCCTTCAGGCAGAGCATGACACTGCGCTGGAACTGGCAACGCTGGATCGCGAAATGGCCGAAGAGACGTCCGAAGTCTTGAAAATCGAGGTGGATGCTCTCAAGGAAAAGCTTGAAGAATTGCAATTGGAGCTTGAAATTGTGAAGGAGGAAAACGCCGAATACAGCAAAGGCATGACTCCAGAAGAGCGCGCCAGCACGGGCTGGCTGCAAATGGAACGCACCAATGAACGACTACGAGAGGCGCTGCTACGACTGCGGGATCTCACCCAAGAGCAAGAGCAGGAGCTTCGAGACCAAATTGCGGGTATGGAGGAGGAACTCAAAGAGTTCAATGCCCTTAAGGAGGAGCACACCACGGCCAAGGAGAAGCTGGCTCAGTCCGAATCCGCTGTGGAAGATTTGCGGCAGCAGCTTGATACCGCGCTGGGTGCCGAGGACATGATTGAGGACTTGACCGAAAGGAACATGAGCATGTCTGAGCAGATTGAGGAGCTCAAGGCGGTCATTGAAGACTTGGAGAACCTCAAAGAGATCAACGATGAGCTTGAGATCAACCACGTCCAGAACGAAAAGGAGATGCAGGAGGAACTTGACTTCAGGGATAGCGTCATTGCAGAGCAAGCCCGACGAGCACAGCAACAGGATGCGGCTCTGGGAGACATGGAATACACCCTGTCACGATTCCGCGAGCTCGTAACCAGCCTGCAGAGCGATCTGGACGACATGCGGGCATCTCAGGCTGTCACCGAGGGCGAGTCCGAGAAGCTCAACGACCGCTCGAGGGCCATGATGGACCTGAATATGAAGCTCCAGATCTCCGCCTCCAAGGCCCAGGTCAAGACGATTGACCTCGAGCTGCGACGTCTCGAAGCTCAGGAGGCAGAGCAGCACCTGGGCATTGTCAAGCTTTTCCTTCCCGACAGCTACCGAGACGATCAGGACTCTGTCCTTGCTCTGCTGCGCTTCCGCCGCCTGGCTTTCAAGGCAAACCTTCTTAATGGATTCATTCGTGAGCGTGTCAACGGACAGCCCGAACCGGGCCATGAGGACGACGTTCTCGCCGGTTGTGACGCCATTGACAAGCTCGTGTGGGTTGCTGCCATGTGCGACCGCTTTGTCAACGACATTAGCCACTGCTCCATCGAACAGTTCACCAAGTATCAGAACTCTCTGCTGGAGCTGGAGCCCGTCGAGCGTGCGCTGAACACGTGGATCGATGGCCTGCGGCGAGACGAGCTCAAGGAGCAGAAGTGCGCCGACGAGCTGCAGCGCACCATTTCGCTCATGTCGCACCTTGGAGAGGTGCACATCTCGAGCGGCATCGCTGCCTTTGCCGACGACATGCACATGAGGACGCTGGTCATTCAAAGCCACCTCGACTCCGCGACTGTCGCCTTCAACGTGATCCGAAGCATGGTGCAGCGGGCTATCCCGTCGGCGGGCGAAGAGGAAGAGCTGGCACAGCACTTTGCTAAGAAGATTGACCTCGCCATCACGCAGACGAGGAGCACAAAGGTCTTTGCCGGAAAGGCGGTTCGTGCGCTGGAGGACCTCAAGGCACGGTCGCTCTCACTGGGCGAGGATACCAGGGGCTTGTTCGAACAGTGCGAGGCTCTGACGCAAGAGCTTGCACGACTCACCCGCCAGATTGGCCTTGGCATCCACAAGCTGCTCACCCAAGACGAGGGCCGAAATGAACCGTTCACTTACGAAGAGGTCAACGAGGCCGTCCGCCAAGCCGTCCTGGAGGCTACCCAGACCAACGAGTCGGATCTCTTCTCGAGCTACCTCAACAAGCTCAAATCTGCTAGTGAACAGATTTCTGACCTGGCTACGCTTGCCGCCGACCTGGACCAGACCCACGACTTTGACGTCAGCCCCTCTCCTTGGCGTCTTCGTGCCCAGGAACTCCGGATCCTCAAGACAGTCCCTGTGGACACGGAGGAGGAGCTCAGAAGACTCAAGGCTGAGCACAGCGAGGTCCGCCGGACGATTGCGCAGAGGGACGAGCAGCTCAGCACGGCTGTTCTCAAGATTGAGACGCTCGAGTCTCGGATGCGCGATGCTCAGGCCAACGTCGAACGCATCAGCAGCTTGCAGTCTGAGCTTGACGATGTCAATAGCCATGTGGCAAGCCTCAAGGAAGATATCGAGAAACAGGACCGGGAGCTCAAGAACCTGGAGTCGGAGCGAGACAAGTGGAAGAAGATTGCCAGCGACAGCAGGGCGTACGCCGACGGCGCCGACGCTGCGGACATGAAGGCCGGTCAGGAGCGGGCTGTGGCCACGGCGCGCGAGATGGATGCACTCAAGAAGGACATTGAGAGCCTGCAGGCGGCAGTCCGGTACCTGCGCGACGACAACCGACGCGCGCGCTTGAAGGAGCAGCAGGACTACGAGTGGCTCTCGGAGCCCCTGAAGAAGGAGGCCAGCCCCGAGCAGCAGCGCAAGGCGCTGGTGGTTGCCGAAGGCAAGGACGTGCTCGGAGAGCTCCTCAAGCTGGCCACGTCGGCCACGGTCTTTGATCTCAGTGCCGCACCCAAGCAGAAGCTGGCCTGGCGGCCTGCGCGAACGACGCCGCAGTACCACGCGGCGAAGCAGACGGAGGAGTTTGAGGCCTGGAGGACGTGGCAGGAGTCGGTGCTGAAGAAGACGGACATGCTCCTTGTGCAGGACCGCACCGCCAGCCTCGGCAGGGAGAAGCTGGCCGGCACGAAGCGAGAGGCTGCCGCGCGGCTGAGGATCAGGCTGCCGCGCGACGGCAAGGCGACGGCGACGACGTACGCGGGAGACAAGGTGCAGATTGTCGGGTCGCAGGAGTGGGACGCGTTGCAGGCTGCTACGAGGAAGTTTGCCGCTGTATGATGAATGAGATTCCTACGATACAAAAGTCACGTGTACAAGAAACGAACTCTGTTTGTCTTTCCCTCTGATGGTTCTCTTTTCCTTTCTGTCCTTCTGTTGTCCTCGTTATTCTTGTTGTTTTCTTGGTGGGTTGTGTGGGTGTAGATGAGGGGATGATGAAGCTTCTGTATACCCTCCGTGTTTGCTGAGCGGGGCTTCTTGAGGTTGTTGTTGTTGTTGCTGTTGTTGCTGCTGTCTGGTGGCAATGGTTATGTTGTGTGTTAGGGACGATGTGTTGTTGCTTTCTGTTTCTGTTGGAGCGAGCGAGCGAGCGAGCCAGCGATTGAGCGAGGGCGGGAGGAGGATAGAATATAGGGGCTGGCAGGTGAGAGAATTACATGTAACGAATAGATGTTTATAACGTGGACCTGTCTCAGCGACTTTTGGGAAAGCGGCGTTTCGTGTGTATATCCAAAGCATGTATATACTTGTGATGTCGTATCAGAAGCAGCTCATAAATGCTGACGGCTTCACTTGTCGTTCTCAGACAACTCTCAAGCCCTTTCAGCTCTCTCTCACGAAGTTCAGTCAGGAACCATGTCGATTGAATCATTAAGAAGAAGTCGCCATTATCAAGAAATTTTGTAACCCGTGGAAAAAGAAGAAGAAGAAAAAAAATCGTACAAAGTCTGCGGCTCTCTATTTCCCCCCATCTCAGGGTATCTAATCAGTCCCTCCTCCCTCCAACCCCCCCCAAAGCACACACTCAAAATCTCATCATCATCATCATCATCATCATCAAACCTTCCCCTTGCCCTTCTTATCCTTCTTCTTCTTCTTGGCCCCCTCCTCCGCACCGCCGCCGCCGCCGCCGCCCATCATCCCCCCAGCACCACCCTGGCTGGCCATCAGCGCCGCCATCGGATCCGCCCCGCCCTGCATCTCCTTCATCATGTCCTTGAACAAGTTCTCCGAGACGCCGCCCCCGGTCATGGCGGCGCTCAAGTACGGCAAGTACTCGCCCATCTTCCAGCCCCTCGGCACGGCCGGCTTCGGATACGGCTTGCCCTCGGGCGGCTGGACCTGGCCGCCAAAGCGCAGCCTCAGGCCGGGCGAGTCCTCCGTCGTCGGGTTCTCCTGCAGGTGCTTGGCGACGAGCACGTACAGGTGATGCTTGTTCTTGATGCCGCTTGCTGCTACGCCGCTGCTACCGTTCATCTTCTTGAGGCCGACCTTGACGCGGCCCGGGTTCGCCCAGTCTTTGGGGTGAATCTTTTCCGGCTCGAGCAGCGTCTGCAGGCGCAGTCGGGAGCAGGCGTTTGCGATTTCGCGCGCGAGCGGGTTCTTGACCGCCAGGGCGGCGCTGACGCGGCGGCCCTCGGCGCGCGACCGCGAGGCGTCGAAGTAGACGGGGTACAGGCACTGGAAGCTGTTGTAGGCGGAGCGGTCGGCCGAGGCGGGCAGCGTTGATGTTTGCGGGCCAGAGAGCGGGTTGAGCATCTGCATGGCGGCGGCTGGGTTCGCGCCGGCAGCAGCGCCCATGGCTGCTTGTAGGCGCTGGAAGTTGTCGTCGCTGCTTGAGGACTGCTGCTGCTGCTGCTGCTGACGCTGGTTGCCGGGCACGCGGGCGCGCAGAATGTCCGACTCTGCAAAGTCGTCGAGGTCGACTTCTTCGGGGTCCGAGATGATGTCGGGGTCGCTGTCGGAGACTTCCTCGACCCGTGGGTGAGACATTGTGGGCGAGGTGGTGGAATTAACAGGAACAAGAAGAGAGACGTTCTGTAGAAGATGGGAATTGTAAGGAGAGTCGGGAAACGAAAGGAAAGAGGGGGAGAGAGAGAGAGAGGAATTGAGGCGTGAGGTTCCAACGGTGCGAGGCTGAATTTTGATAATGCTGGGTTTATCTTCAAAGTTGCCAGATTCATGTGGGGTTGTTGAGGTTGCCCGTTTGGTGGGGTACCCGGTCGATACCTGTCTCAGCCAGAGAGGTGGGATGCACCACTCGAGTACTGCTGCAGTAGCATCGCGGGATGCACTACCTACCTACTAGTTCCTCAACCTCTGTGTGAAAGTGAGAGATTGGGTTATACCGTCTCATGAGCACTCTGCATATGCTGAATAGAAAAATCATTATCGCATCTCCCTGTGTTATATAGTAGATGCCGTGTGTCAAAGTGTTCCCAATCGTCCATGGTACAAAGTGACCCCGGCCATCATGTACTCAATCTGTATACCTTGGGTAGCCCATAAACCCGAGTTCTTCATATGCTCCCAGCAATTTATCAATCTCAGTCCAAGCATCACTCTCGTACTGCTCCCAAGGCAATTCCAAGCCTTCAAAAAGAGAAATCAGAAACTCCCCTTCCCGCCCGTACTCTTGTGTTTCTTGCAAACCCAAACTCAACTCCCTCCCATCAGACTCGTATTCTCAACCCAATACCGAAACACGACGGCAGCTCTTGCGGCTTGATTCAAAAGTTTCCTTTATATTCCGTCCCTGGAGGATGAGCTTCCTCGGAGAATCTGCAATGAAAGTGTTGGCAGACACCGTTCCTGATGCTCGGGCACTATCGAGTTTTGACTGTGAGCGCTAATCTTGCCAATAATCAGGGAGTAATTAAAAAAAGGGGCTCACTTACATGATGGCCGTAGATGCAGTCATCCGCTTCACAATACTGTCCAGACGAGCAAGGGTTCTGGCGCGCCAGCACGGCAACCGCCTTCATTTCGTCATCGGTAATCTTATGGTCATGAACAAAGGAGCAAGTGTCCCTCTTAGAACAAGGGCCACGGAGGTAGTGGTTGTTGCACAGCTTGTCCTCTTTTCGCTTCTTGACGGCTTCGAGCACCTGGACATTGACTCTGATGGGCTCGTCGAGGCCGCGAGGGCCAGGGTTCCAGTTCTGCGGCTGGCTGGGCGGAATGAGAATGTAGTGGCCTTCTTGCTGCGAGCGCTGCGAGCCCCTATTCCGCGAGCTGTCCGAGCCGGTGGGTTGCGTCTGCTTTCGTGCGAGGGGGAGCGTGATTTTGGGCGGCGGGCTGGCCGAGGCGATGCCGGCGTATGACACGACCGGCGTGCGGGTCTCTTTGGAGCTGGCGGTGCTGACGACGGGGCTTGTCGCGGGAGAACAAGCCTCCTTTGCGGCCGGTTGAGGCGCTGGGGGAGGTTGAGCAGCCGCCTGAGCCGGTTGGCTGGGTGCTGGCGCCGAGTGCTGTTGGGGCGAGGCAATCTTGTCGTGAAGCTTGTCCTCGCGGAACAGCTCATTGCCCAATCTCTTTATGCTAATGTTGGTGGCCCGCAGGTCGGGCACCGTCGCGACGCCCTCGATGATGCTGATTCTCTGGCGAGTGGCCTCGCTCTGGAGGGTCTCGTCCAGAAAAGGGGCATAGCCGGAGTCGTGCGAGATGCCCAGCAGAATATGACGGCAGTTGTAATTCCGCAGATGCCATCTGGCTGTTTCTGTATTCATGACAAAAAAAGGATCAGTTCCCACACACAAACTTCTTCTTGCTCTTCTTCTTCTTCATCTCATCCCGGCATACCTCTAATTTTGGAGTCGGCCCTTTCCTTTCCATGGCCGACGTCAATGTAATCAAAGCTAGCCTTGGCCTGGGTGAAGCCGAGCGCAAAGTCCTTGAGCAGGCTGGGATTGTCTAAGCAGCCGTCTCGCTGCATGGCCTTGCCTAGGCCAGAGAGGTTGGCGACGACCTTGGCCACGATTTCCATGTCCTCGGCATCTTCACCAAAGAGGTCGGCCACGGCGGTTCGCAAGGCGTATGCAGCCCTTTTGCCGCCCTCGAGGCCCTGTTTGATATATGTCTCTCGGAACTATTTCAAGTACCAACGAGAAGAGAGAGACAAAAAGGGTTAGAGTCGCCGCCGTGACGATGAGTTTGGCTGAGGAAGAGTAAAACGTACCACAAGGCCATCGCCATCTATCAGCACCATGACATATGAATTGTGTTTCTATTAACACGAAGGACTTGATTAGCAACGCCGAGCCTATTCAATCGATCAGGGGAATGAGGGTCGAATCTCGACATACCTTAATCTTTTCAATCTCCTTCAACGTCCTCTCCTGCGTCCTCTCCTCCTGCTCCTGATAAAACTCAACGACCTGCTGCAGCTCGCGGCCGGCATTGACCGCATTGGCGAGGTCCATGTGCGCGCTGACGAGCCGCTGGCTCTCCTCGCGCAGGTCGCTCTCGACCTGGTTGCAGTGAATCAGGAGGTCCTTGATGAGGTCGTCCATGGCGTTTCTGTGGCTCTGCAGGCCCTGGAAGCGCTGGAAAAAATTGCCGAGACTATTGGAGGCGACGGCGGTCGACGACATTTTGTCTGCCATTGTTGCGTCTGGCAGCTGTTTTTTTCTCCTTTTTCTTTTTCTGTTGTATAAACCGTTTCTTTTTGTTTATGTCCTTTCTTTCTCTCTCTCTCTCTCTGTGTCTTGTTAATCTTTGTATGAGCTTGTTTGTGTTTTTGAGACGATGGTGTTGATCGTTGATGGAACGCTAGTGAGAAAGAGAGGGAAGCTAAAAAAGGCTGGCGGAGAAGGAGATTAGGACGAAATATTGCCGTTAGGTAGCAATTTCTCTCTGTCCTCTGTAGCGACTAGAGCTGTTGGTGACAGAATCCAGAAAAAAAAAAGAGAAAAGTGATGAAGAGTGTCTATTGGAAGAGAGCAAAAGAAGCAGGACCAGAAAGAGGTTGCTTGACAGAAGACAATAATGCAATGCAATGCAATGCAATGCGATTACTGTCAAGAAATCGGGAGGGGGGAACAGAAAGAGGTGGCGGGCGGGAGCCTTTCTGTCTGTCGAGTAGATCTTTTTTTGAGTGTCCTTTTTCCTTCTTCTTCTTTTCTCCTGGGGGTTTCGTTTCACGGCCAAACGTAACTGCGAGTATCCGTTTGGAGAAGTGCTGCTGCGGCTGCGGGCTTTTCCGCTGAGTAACGCTGGGTTTAATTGGATTGGCGATGCGTTTGCAAAAAAAAAAGCTGGATGGATCTTGCGTATGTGTGTACGAGTACCTACTTAGTAGGTACGAGGAGAGGAGTGGCGAAGGCAGACAAGCTGGCGCCTGTTTTTCTCTTCTTGTTCCTATTTGTTGCTTGGGGATTTGTTGGAGTTTTCTTGGCGATCTGATGATGTGTTGGTTGGCTTGGCTTGCTTTGCTGGTGGTCTTCAGTTCACGGCTTCGAAATGGAGCGGGCAGAGCATTGATTTTATCATTGGATTGCCGCTGTTGATTCTTTGGCCTTGAGGATTAAAACAAGTCCTCCTAGATTAGAACAAGTCCTCAGGATTAAAACAAGTCCTCAGGATTAAAACAAGTCCTCAGGATTAAAACAAGTCCCCAGGACTAAAACAAGACCCTCAGGATTAAAATAGAGCATTTAAAATAAAACATCAGAATTCAAAATACAAAATACAAAATAGATAATTAGTACAAAGAATTCAAGAAATAAGAGGATTAATTTTAAACCAAAAAAACAGCAGCTTCTCGTATGACCCTCTCTTCTCTTCTCCCCACCACCCAACGAATCAACACGCGTCTGTTACAACACACACCCAGGCGGTTAAAGAAACAATGCATCGCCCATAAACTACTCCGTCCAGTCTAGCGCAGGCGTCTAACGAGCCGATTGGCGCTTGCCCACCCCCCCGCAAGAAGACTGGGCTGGGCTGGATGCTTGTGAGATCTGATGAGGATTAATTTTGATCAAAAATTCCATTCTGGTAGTACTCTGATACTGTTTCGAAGGATCTAGGCAGACAGACGCTCTTCTTTCTTTGTCCTGTCCGAGGAGCTTTGGACTTGCTAGTATACCTACCTAAGTAGAGCCTTTTCAGAATCTAGTCCTCTGATATCATTTTCCCCTCTTAAGAGTTATAGCATCTTTGAGTTTCATTATCACGAAACTCCAGTTTCGTGCTTCTTTGTGTCGCCAACCCCCGCAAATCCTGCACTCAAACACCACTGGAATGCTTCTAGATCAGCACCTCAGCCATTGTTCCCTCAGTACACCCCCACATCTTCGACATCATGAGACAAAGCAAAGAAAAAACCAGGCTAGCAAACATCTTCTAGCCTTCTAAACTACCATTTCTTTAACGTCTTCACCATCTATCAGGGGGGGTTTGAAAGATGCGCTCATTTGCTTGCAAATTGACCATCTTGCCCCCCCCAACCCACTGCCTCAGCCCCGTGCAACCCCAGGCACAACGGCAAACACACACAAAGACGTTACATTCCGTTGCACAGTAGTACGTCAAGGCCTTCGAGGAGTATCATTCAAGTTTGTTTCACAGTATACTGGTTTCGAGAGGACAGGAAAAAAAAACCCCCCCAAGCCAGATCAACCGGTTCCGTCACCGCTTGGCTGATGCTGGTTAAGAAACTGCCACACCGTATCCTGTCCAAAGCCCCCTTCAAACTGCCACATGAACGAATCTCCGCCCAGCAGGTCCAAATCCGTGGGCGGCACCAAAACGTCGTCGGCCTGGTCCACCGTCAGATCCTTGTATATCAAGTCTCCCATCGCAAAGAAGGGCGCCAGCCCGGGGAAGCCGCTCCCGTCTTGCGGCATCTCCCAGCCGCCGGGCATCATGGCCGGGAAGGACGACGATTCGTCTTGAGCAGGCGCCGTTGCTGGTGCTGACATGAAGGACTCGGGCGAAACCTTGTGGCTGCCTTCCGCCGAGCCTCTGCCGATGGAGCTTGTCGGGGTCGATCCCAGCGTCCTCCCGGTCGACAATGGTGTGTTGGACGAGTTGCGCAACAAGTCAACAGAAGTGCTCGTAGAAGACGGCGGTGCGCACTTCCCGATGGCTTTGACGAGCCTGGAGACAACGGCTCGAAGGACTCCTATGGCCGACTTGGCCAAGAGATTCATGTCCTTCATCGTGGCGAACCGCTCGACGGTCCAGTGGCAGTGCTGCAATGCCAGTTCTCGATACTCGGCGTTTTCGTATGGGAACAAGATGTAGATGGTAGCAAGCAGCGTGACGGCATCAAAGCTTCCGTAGAATAAATGCCAACTAGAAACACGAGCAAGTGAGTGGTTAGCCAGTAAGTCTCCCATGGCTTGGGGTTCAGAAAACCTACTTTTTCCACGACTTGGGTGGCAGCCCTACAAACAGCTGCCTCTGCATCTCCAGCATCCCGAGACAGCCCTTGATCACCTCCACCCGACTTTCCTCACGGTGGAAAATGTACGGCCGATGAAGCGCCACCAGCGTGAAGTAGAACATCTGTTTAGTCAAACACCTCGCCTGCGGAAGCCAATGCAAGTCAGGCTCATTGTCCCACTGCCTGTCCGGGTTCTCTATCCGGAAGACGGCCGGCGTGCTGTCGTGGATCTCCATGATTCTCTCCTGTATCTTGTGAACCTTGGAAAAGTCTCTGGGGCATGGACCCTCCGCCTCGAGGTCCTGAATGTCCCGCAGCGGAATCAGGGTCTTGTAGAGGAACAAGTTTCTCGTCAGTGGCGTTGGGGGATCGCGGCCTTCTTCTCTCGGGATTACGGGTGTCTTGGACCGGTCCGTGTCTCTTGTGAATCGAGCGTCAATGGGAAGCGTTGGCATGCCGTGCCTCCAGTCGAGAGCGCCTGGGCGGCCAAGGATGAGACACATGTGAATGTCCCTGTACAGATGATGGATTAGCACGCCTTCATCTTGAAACTCTCGTGAGGTGCGTTAAACCCACCAGGAAGCCAGCATCATGTACAGATGCCTCCTCTTCTCCACCTGCCACTGGTTCAACAGGACGCTCTCAACATCATCCGACGCCGGCTTCGGATCGAGCGCATCCCGATGCATGCCCAGCTCCTGCGCATCCCGTATCGTCTTGCCAACCTGATGCCACTAGTAATCCTCGAATGTCAGCCCCAAATCCACCCCCCCATGGCAGTCACAAATCTGAAGGGAGGGGGGGGGGAGTCGACAAACCGATTCAGTCACATTGGCAGTATACTTGAGAAACGAGGCCCTCAAGAAGCCGACCTGGATCGACGTCACGCTCAACGCCTTTGGTCCAAAGAGATTGATAATGGCAACGCCCGACTCGCTGTAATCGCCCGCCAGGTCCTCAAAGGTCATGTTGCCGGCGTACTTGAGCGACGCAAACGATTCGTGCAGCGCCTTGGGCAGCACCAGCAGCGCCGTGGCCACCACCTCGAACAGCAGCGCGGGGAAGACGCGCAGGTCGGGCGACAGCGCCTCGGGCCCCCGCGCCGAGAGCACCTTGTACGGCAGGCCGGTCCACTGGTCCAGCAGCTCGCGGAAGGCCTGCGGCTCGACGAGGTAGTACTGCCAGTTGAACTCCTTGAAGAAGATGTCGGCCAGCTGGTCAATGTACATGCGCGCCGGCAGCAGCCGGATCAGGCCCTTGTACTTTTCTTTCAGGGCGAAGCTGTCCTGGTAGTGCGACGACGACGCCGCCCCCGCGGCCGCTTCGTCCCCTTCGTGTCCTGCGCCTAGCCCGTCGTCGCCGTCCGAGGTGCTCGCCCGCTCAATCTTCTGCAGGAAGCTCAGCGTCGAGGCGGCGCCTGTCTGGGCGTACCCCCACGACGGCGCCATGGACGAGAGCGGCTCGGCCCTGGACGTCGGGGTGCCGCTGCCGCTGTTGCTGCCGTAGCCGTGGCGGTCATTGCGGGCGGCGGCGGAGGAGGAGGAGGAGGAGGAGTTGTAGAGGCCGGCGTGCGTCTCGTTGTGCTCGCGGGCGGTGGGCGCGCCGGCCTCGTAGGCGCAGTGGGCTTCCTTGTTTCTCGACCGGCAGTTGCCGCAGGGGAGCTCGCGATCGCACTGATTTGCGGATATGAACAGTAAGGTGTCAGCATGCTGGTGTGATCATCTTCATGTTATTTCCCATCCACCTTGAGGCGGAGGCGAGGGCTGTTGTGCGAATGCCCATGCAGCATCGTGAAGCTTCACTTTGTTTCTTGGTAGGAAAGAAGCCTGACCTTTTGCTTCCTTCGATGGCACTCGGTGCACGAGATGACGATCCGTCTCCGCTTCTTAGTCGGGCCCCGCTCGGCCCGTACGTTGACTGCCACCTCAATGTCGGCCATGCCTCTTCTCTGTCTTCTTCTTCTCTCTCTCTCTCTCTCTCGTCTCGTTCAGCTCGTAATCGTATATGGGGGGAGGGGAGGTCAGGTCGCTGTTCCGGGGGGACGGTTGATTGTTGCCGTCCGTTTCGTGTCTCGGTGGGGAGCGGGCCGGCAAACGGGATGTGAGAGTGAGATGTAAGAAAGAGGGTCGGAAGGAGGAAAAGGAATGCGGAACCTCAATGCGACCAGCATCCGCGTTGGAGCCTTTGCGCCCGATTAGCATTGATATGTCGAATTGGTGGAGACGCCCGGCGATGAGAGCCTCCGCGTTAACTCCGGGATGCCGATTTGTAGGTACCTTAGGTTAGGCTGCATAGTAACGACTCCACGATGCATATGATATAATGGTATATATTAATACTCTGTTCGCTTGGACACGAAACGAGTAGCACAAACGATCAATGATCGTGCAATTTCCTCTCCTGGAGACATATCGCCTTGGTTGCCACCAGCGATCAATGGGTTTCTCACAGCACAAGTACTGCTTATCTGAATATTGTAGAGGGGAGAACATGCCGCCGTGCTCTGAAGATGTTACGCTGCATACATTTAGAGGTACAGGCGCCATCACATGTCAATGTCACAAAGGATCGACACAAATAGCCATCAGGTAATACTCAATTGAACAATTCCGTATATATGGAAGCTGATATCGTCGACAACTGCATCCAAACCATCCTACCAAATGAAAAATGCCCGAGGGTGATATGTTCCCTCCACGCGCAAAAGCAAATGCCAAATCAAAAATACAATTCCATGCTTCCAGATCCACCAGATATGTCAGGACCATATATGAACCTTCCAATGTGCAGTTCGCCTCCGCCATCGCGTGTTGTTGCATGCAAAGATACACATCAATCGCAGCTGGGGTACAATCATCCATCATCCCAACTGGTACGTCATAACAAAAATCGACAAGATGGAAAAAGAGGTCGCCTAAATACAGCTGCATTCTATGATGCCGGGCTTTGGACAAGAGCTCTTTCTCAGCTCCGTTTGTCCTCCCTCCCTTTTCCCCCTTCTTGCTAAATGCCTTTCTTTACTTCTTTCTTCCCTTCCCTCCCCTATCGCAGCAGCCTCTCGGTGTAGGCTTTCCACGCTGCTGATCGGTACCGCTCTGCCTCCTCTACGGGGTCTGAGGCCTTGAGGATGCCCCGGCCCACAATGGCAATGTCGCTGCCGGCGATGCCAATCAGCTTGTGCGGCGTGTTGTACTGCTGGCCCTGGCCGTCTCCACCGACCGATCCGTTGGTCTGCTGGTCCTCGTCTTCGGGGGGCAGCTGGCAGCCGGGCGTCATGTGGATAAAGGCATCGTCGGGCTCGGTGTTGAGCGTCTCCTGCGAGATGAAGCCCATGACAAAGTCCTTGTGCTCCCGGGCGGCCTCGACGCAGGCCTGCGTGTACTCCTTGTTCATGAAGTTGCCCTGGCTGGACATTTGGGCGAGGATCAGGAGGCCGCGGCTCAGCGGCGCCTCCTCGATGCCCGGGAAGAGCGACTCGTCGCCCTCGGCGATGGCCTTTGTTAACCGGGGCGAGGAGACGGACTCGTACTGCTGGGTGACGGTGGTGATGGAGACGATGCTGCCCTTGCGGCCGTCGCCGGACCGGTTCGAGTAGATGGGCTTGTCCAGGACGCCAATGGAGCCCATGCCGTTGACGGCGCCGGCGGGCTCGGCGTCCCTGGAGTCGGCGTCGTCGTCAAACGAGTCCATGGTGGGCGTGCCGACGGTGACGGACGTCTTGACCTCGCAGGGGTAGCGCTCGAGCCAGCGCTTGGCGCCCTGGGCCAGCGAGGCCACCGACGCCTTGCCGGGCACCATGTTGACGTTGACAATGTGCGCCCAGTCGATGATGCGCGCCGACCCGCCCGTGTACTGCAGCTCGACGGTGTGGCCAATGTCGCCAAACTTGCGGTCCTCGAAGATGAGGAAGCCGTGCTTGCGCGCCAGCGACGCCAGCTGGGCTCCCGTGCCCGTCTCCGGGTGGAAGTCCCAGCCCGAGACCATGTCGTAGTGCGTCTTGAGCACGACAATCGACGGGCCAATCTTGTCGGCCAGGTACAGCAGCTCGCGCGCTGTCGGCACGTCGGCGCTCAGGCACAGGTTGGACGCCTTGAGGTCCATGAGCTTGAACAGGTAAGCCGTCAGCGGGTGCGTCGCCGTCTCGCTCCTGGCCGCGAAGGTGGCCTTGAGCGTCGGGTGTGGTGCCATGGCTGATGAGGCTGAGAGAGGCTGAGGCTGCGGCTGGTTGGATAGTTTAACCCTTAGGGTGCCGTTGTGGCGGTTTAGAGGGGGGGAAAAAAAAGAGAGAGATGGCACAATTCTGCTGTGCGAATGACGTTGGAAGCGCGACAGCCGTGCGGGAGGAAGAGGAGTAGGAACTGTCGGCGATTGGGAGAATTTCGTGCGATCCGAGTCGTCTCGAGGCGAGGGAGTTGCTTTAATGTCGGGCTCGTCCCCTGGTCAAAATTCTAGGGAGCAGCGCTGGCAACGAGAGCAGAGCAGCAGTAGTCGATGCTAGCGGAGAAGGCGATTCAATGCCGGCGGCGATACCCGATATTGCGACTTTGGGGGTGAGAAAAAAAAAAAAAAAAAAACGGCGACCACCGAATGGGTTTCAGCGGCAGAGGTTTGGGTGCGGGAGGGTTGGTGGACCTGAGGAGCCGAGAGGGTAGTAATGAGGGAGACGAGAGTGAGGATATGGAGGAGGAGGAGAAAGAAGAAGAAGAGGAAGAGGAGAAAAAGAGAGAATAAAAGTAAAGAAAGGAATAAAAAAAAAGAAAAGGAAAGAAAATGAATTGCGCTGGACAAGGACTGAGGATGTTCGGCTCAGGTCGCTCAGCAGCTGGAAGTGAAGCCCACCGGGTCCAGAAAGGGAGCTCGGTCAGGTCAAGTTTGAGGAGCCCTAGAAAGACGGACAACAGCTGGCAAACGTGACCAACGCCACAAAAAAATAAGAGTCGTAAATAGCGGTTGAGCCGTTCAGGTACAGTACATGTACTATGAAGCAGAAATAGGGTGAATGATACACACAAGTCTGCCAGATAATACCTACCCAGTCAGACCTTTTTCGTCAGCCAAGATGGAGATGACAAGAAAAGGAAAAAGAGAAAGGTAGGGAAGTGGTTAGGAAAGGAGCAGAGAGAGAGAGAAAAGATGGGGATAAGAGAGGACAAAGAGGAAAAGAGAGAGTGAGACAACGAGAAAAGAAGCCTAGTGGTAGGTACCTACCTTGGCTGGTTTGCTTGGCACCGCACTGGCGGCGTTCCGATTGCCGCAGACGAGCAGGAACCCAGACAAGACAAGGCAAGGCAAAAGACACAGATCCTAGTTCTCGAACCAAGCAAGCAAGCAAGGGCCGCTGCAATTTGGTGGCCGTGCCTGGAAGTGCCTGCAGCTGTACCAATGCAATGCAGTCGGTAGGTATGTATGTACAACTACAGTAGAGGAGGATCAACGAGGCCCGGAATTGCTGGGGGGGTCTGGATTCGCGCGGGCAGGGGTCTTTGTCTGGTGGTGCTCTGTTGGAGACGGGACGAGGGGCCCAACCGGGGGGGTCAGTCTAGTCGATGAGGAGAGGAGGAGTAGGTATTAGTAGGAGGAGGAAGAGGAGGAGGCGGAAGAGGAAGAGGAAGAAGGAGGATGGCTTTTTTTTCGGTTACAGTTCCTGTTGGAGCAGAGGGAATGGGGAGCAACTGCCCCTTCGAGCCTCAATGATGGACAAGCAAGCAAGGGGGGGCTGGAGCATCCGAGCGTGAGCATCAAACACTCTCTTTGAAAGTGATGTGTTCGTTTGCACGTCCCGGCGAGGTCCAAGCGCAAGCCGGGATGTCGACAGGAGAAAAGCACAAAGAAGAGGCGAGCTCGAGTCAATCCCACGGCTAGCCCGTCACTGGCGCCGTTTGTTGATGAGAGGCATCATGCACGATAGCGCATCTGAGAGCTTGGCGGCGGCGACACCTTGTCCATTTTCCGTCGCTGGGATAGGTATCTAGTAGTATCTGCGTCTCGACGTCTTTTGACTGATGTTCAGTTTACCCTCCATTTCTACTACTAGTAGCTCTTCACTGGTTGTGGTGGTTCTGCTCAGTAGGTTGTGTGTGTGGCCTGACTATTTATTTTAGTTGGTGAGCATCATCTTTTTCCCCCAAAACTCCCACCTGCAGGTCCTCCTCGCACCACCAGACTTCAATACCTACCTACTAAGGCTGAGCTGAGCTAGTACATACATACCTGTAGAGCATCGAGCATGAATCTCGGGGTTTAAATCACTAAAGCCAAAGTGGCCTCCACGGCTAGTCATCGCTAATAATGGCGGGGGTCTGCCCTTCATGCCGGAGCTGCAAGGCGAACTTTGAGCGTTGCCGGTCCAGTCCATTATCATGCAACTTTGCTGATCCACCTGCTCCTTGCTGTACATACGTGTACGAGTAGTACTGTATTGTTGTACTGCAGCCGCAAGTCGAGTCGAGTCTAGACAACTCGAGTTTTTGCTCACATGCTTGACGCCTTGGAGAACAGCTCTCAATAGTAGTATTCCCTTCAGCTGTGCCGGGGCATGACACGACATGGCCTGACATGCCTTGCGCCATGCATGTGCCTGGACTCCAGCCTCGATGCCACCGCCGCCAGTCACCAACTCAGCCGTCCCGTCTTTCGTGAACCCTTGACACGGACAAGCATCGAAGCCACCAGCCAAACCCCCGAGGCGTCTTTCTCTCTCTCTCTCTCTCTCGCTCTCTCGCTCTCTCGCTCTCTTCTGTCTCTCTGCTGGCTGTCGGCACGCACGAGACCCGCCCTGCGACATGCTTCGCATCAACCTGGACCGCAGGCTAACAAGCGCCATGTCGCGGTAGCGCCACGGCTAAGCGTCGCCGGCTGGCGAGACTATTTTCAGCGTAGAGGGCAATCAATCTCGATGGGGGGAGGGGGGGTTTTGCTCAAGTTAGTTGCTCTGCACCTTTAGCATTCGTTCTACTACTAGGTACTACCTTACAGTATGTACGACATGCCGTGATCGGGGCTGGCTTTTGCAGAGTTGAGGCTGCAAGTGGCGCATATGGCAGCTGGACGTCTCCCCTCCTCACCTCCCTGTACCTAAACTACCTACCTAACCTACCTACCTAAGCCATCACCCTAATAATACTTACTCAAGGTTGATCAAGCACAAAGACACACATACGAGTGCCTACCTGCACAACTGACTCGTCCAGGTCTGCAATATCAGCCGTCCGAGCCCTCTCGACCGTCCGTGCGGACCCCCAAAGCACTGCTTGTGAGCTTGCTTATTGGAGCAGCCCGTCAACAAGCATCCAAGCGTCTTGCTATGTACCACCAATCCCATCTTTAGTCTCTCCATGTTGGCAGCAGCAGCCCTGCTGCGTGCAGATGGTCCGGTCGATCCCCCCTTCTCAGGATTGCCGGCAGTCCAGGGCTCTCTCTCTCTCTGCTGCTTTATTAATACATACAGGTAGTGTTGCCGCGCCCGCTTGCAGCTTAGCCTCGCGCCCCCTCAAACTCGTACGAGTATTATTACTGAATGAGATACTATCTCGAGATCTTCCGCTGCAAATGCGCGAGCCAGCCGCGGGACGAGCGCTTCTCCTTACCCCGTATATGTGAATCACCGTCTGGTGGTAACCGTATGAATCAAGTGCTGACCTGCCTCTTGTCGTTGTCTTACCCAACCTGGCTGGCCTTGCGTCAAAAAAGGTCCGATGCTAACACATGCACGTACAAGCTTATATGTCGAGCGTTTCTCTCCTTGATGATAACTACTACCTTGATACAGTATGCAGCAACTGAACCCTGCATTGCCGTTCGTCGCGATGCGTCCAAAGTACTGTAAGCAGAAGAAAGGGACAGGGCCCTGATGAGCGCGCTAAAATGCTCGAGCCTTTTGCCGTGGCGTCTTATCCCGGCCGAGATACCTTACAGTATAGTAATAATAGCCATGGATGGCATCCTGTTGGGGGCTAATAAGGCGGGAACAACAGGAGGCCAAGAGAAACAAGGACATGGCGGAGACGAGGCGTCAGCAATTCCTCTACTCCATGGCCCAAATGTCATTGCTGATGCGCTGCTACCACCTGATACATCTTGGTGCAAGCTCTCTGCATCTCACAGGTAAGTATCATAACAAAAGAGTGCTCCTTCAGCAGCATCACAGCATTTCCCCCCCTCTTCCTTCTCCTCCCCTCCCCTCCCTTCTCCTCCTATCTGCCCATCCGCCCATACACGTATTTCCCGTCGACTAACAACACCAAGGAACCGCCCCAAGCGAACCACATCCAGCCCATCGGCTAAACGCACGAAAAAAAAAGAGGTAAAGACAAAAATAAAACTGGGCTCAAGCAACGACGGGGCCAAGTCGGCTTCTCTTCCGCAATCCCAAACTATCGCCAGAAAAGAACCCCTGCCAAACTGCCTTGCCCACCTACCCTCTCCGAGTCGCCCTAGTCCTTGTCCATGTCCATGTATGCAGGCATGCAGGCATGCATTTCCGTGTGCAAAAGCTATGGACTAGTATTCGTCAAAGAGGAGCGCGTCCGTCCCGGAGCTGGCCTCTCGTCCTCCCCGGAGTTTCGATACTACCTTAAGGTACCCAAGATACCAATCGATTGAGACGCCGTTTTCTGCTTCGTTTGCACTGTTAATATCAACTTCGAGCTACATGTACCTACTTTCCGGTTTCCCTCACGGATTGGGGGAACCTCGGCCCCTTTGTGACATGCTCCCGAACTCGACAATCAGACGGCGCAAAAAGAAAAAATAAAAAAAAGGTAATAGCCAACACCTATTCCTCTTCCATCTCCTCATTATATAGGGAAAGGAACAAAAAAAAAAAAAAGGCACCAATTCTTAACGCCACAGAAGCCATCATGGGGGAAGAGGAGACCCCCGAATTTCGGTAGTTCAGTAAAACCCCGTCCTTTCCCCTTCCCTCCTTTTGCCTGTTGTCGCCGGCAATTGGGAACGACCAAAAGCTTCCCCCAGCCAAAACGCAAGCCCTGTGCAAATTGACAGTTCGACATGACCCTCTTTTTCTTTCCCCATTGACAGAAAGGAGGAGGAGGCATCAGCAACAACATCTCTCGTCTATCCCTTCTTTCCCGGTTAACTCGACCTCCAATGGACGGCAGCTCATCCATGAACCATGTCCGGCAAATTGCCCAGGTAATCTACGGCTCAAGTAATAGATAATAGCACCCAGCATCGCGGATAGCAAACGCGGGACCTGGAAGCTCCGAGAGATGACACCTTGCCTATCGTACTGTTGACACGATACGGATACAAACGGAGGGACAGGGGGGGGGGGGGGGGGGCTGGACCGACCCTGCAAAAAGGAACCAACAAACTGAGAAAACATACGATGGTCCCTTTTTGCCTTTTGACAGAGCCGGCCAGCAGAGACGACAGGAAAGAAAAGTCGCCATCTCTCTGCCCACCCGGTCCCCTGTCCCTTGTCCCTCGTCCCCATGTCCTGCTCGCTACCGCCAGCTCGAAAAAGCACCCCGCCTGCGATGACAGTACATGCGGTACGACAGCTGTTGGTGATGTGCTGATGTTGATAGTACTACTACTAGTACCATGAACCCTTGGAGGACACAAATGCCTTGCAAGGTAGTACTTCGTATACCTACCTTACCTCTACTACGTGCCGGACTTTGTAACGTGTCGATAAAGGACAAGTCAACGGACGCTGCAGGGCACATTGGACAGCATCCAACAACATGAACACGACGGGCCAAAACCACCCCCGAGTGATCAACCAGTTATTGATCCTCAGACGACTCAACAAGCACAAACAAATTTCTCCAAATCAAGAAAAACCTCCCGGGTCTTTGCACGTTCAAACACCATCTTATTACGTAGTACACACACACACACACACAAAGCAGTTTTAAAGGCGCATACCTAGTCAGCAGCTCGTCCGCCCGATTCGCGCCAAGCGGCGGCTCGACGGGGGACCGGTTTGATCGACGGGCATCCCGAGATCTAGATGAGCACAGGTAGTCATCTTTATTGCGTGAGATGCTAACTGCGTGAGGGTAGCAGTAGCACCGCAAACGGGACCCCTAGGTAGGTAAGGTAAGGTAGAGTGAGAATAGAGAAAGGAGGCACACGCAAAGTCAGACGAGATACACCTAAAATAGGTAAGCTCGGGCTACTACAGGAGTAGTAAAAGAATAACTACATGCAGTATGCAGTTATAGACAAGGTAGTAGTAGTAATGGTTACCACCCAGATCCCGCCTCGTACCTCTGGTGGCTTTTGAAGAGTCAACGAAATAACGGCAGATGATGGACATGGAAAGTCAGGAGGAGGAAAGGATGACAAGATGAATCCCAAACACGCAATTCTCTCAACTCACCCCCCTTCTGATCACGACGGCTTCGCGGTTAGGGGGGGGGGCTGGGGCTTGCCTCTCAGGTTCTCTTACACGCAACCGGATGCCCAAGATCTACGTGAAGCCGCATTGTCGCATAGTATCCTTCACTTTTCCTTTCATAGCTGTTGTTCTTTCATCATTCCCGTTGTTTATCTCTATAATTCTAATCCCGCCGGGATTGAGAAAGACAACCCTGGCTAGTAGTAGTGTTTCTCGCGCTACTACTTCCTCTCCTGCATGCTCGCCCCAACTGCGAAAAATCACCTTTAATCACATCGCAGGCATTATAAAACACATAGAAACAACAAGATACATTATAAGAGTGAAACGTTAAACATAGAGTCTCCGCAATAAGACCGGGAATCCCCTCCCGAAATACTAGCAAGTAGTGACAAACAGGCCCAAAAAAAAAATGCCGGCAAGCATTCCCCGGGACCATCGTCAAAGTGACACATCGAATCTCCTCTCCCCTGGGGCTTGCAGGGCCAACGCAGGTTTGGATCATTGCTCTTGATGATGTTGGCAAGTGCATACATCATCCGAATGTAACATTGTTTTTTGATACGGCGGCGGCACCTAGTACGTACATAGGTAGGTAGGAAAAAAGAGGCTTGCTTTATGTTGTTGGTGACATGTTGGCTGTCGCGGCTTTCTTCCGAGCGATGATTTTGTGTACGAGTGATATGCTGTTGGCTGTACCCATGAGTATCTAAGTAGCCTGACTCGTTGTCCATGGTGATAGCCAATGGGTGAGGTGGCAGTTGATGAAATGTTACAAGTCACAATCAGCCCGGAGCCGAATGTCGGGTGAATGGTGTGAGCGTGCGAGTTTTGGACAAGGCCACTGACCACGTCTGGAGGAGACAGCTCAAATCTCAACGAGACACAACACACAATTCCGGATAGCACAGCATCCGGCCATGAAGGAGCATCTATTTTAATTCTGTGCATGTAGTAACTCCTCCTTTACCTTATTGTTTGACCCCGCTTCATCGCCTTTTCCAGAGCCTCCACCCTCTCGTCTATCTTCTTGAACGACCAGCTCGCGAACGCAGGCGGGTAAAGAAAGGGACGAAGATCGAATCTGTGATCGTCTGGAGAGTAGGATTCCGCGTGGTAGGCAGGCGTCGCCACAGTCTGCTTATGTCTGTTGATGAAATGGTAATGGTGGAAGCGCTTGACCTTGTCGGCAATCTCGCGCGGGCTCAGTTTGCCGTGGCCACCCCATTCGTTGAGCAGCCTCAGGAACATTCCATACGGCCCCAGATTGTGCTGCTTGCGTAGTGTCTACAAGAGCTGATTAGCTATTACCCAGTCCTGTTGGAAGAGCTTTACTTACACCGAAGCGTGACAATTCATCGTATGTCATGCCCATATCAACTGCAATTTTTTGTCAGATTAGAAAATGCTTCCATCACCAGACGTAGCCTTTACGTACCTTCATCGCTTTGGACGTAGTTTTCAGTGATGGGCTCAAGCTCGGCCGTAGCTAATCTGTCGTCAGTAAGCGTAACATAACATGTCACATGTTGACTTACGAATAGCGTGAATAAAGTCCTCCAAGATTGGCATATCGAGGTTTTTGCTTGCCCAGGCAATGAAGCGTTTGCTGTTAAATGTATATCAGCATCATCACCCAGTTACGTCTTGTTTCCGCATTGTACTTACAGGTCGGACTTGCTGATGGATCCGATGGGATTGATATCCGCCGAACTGCAGTCGTATTTCGTGAGGTCTGTGCCCGAGACTATCAGCATACATATTTTCTGAGGAACAACGCGTCACAACTTACATCCTCGAAGACATTCATCCACGTTGCTGGAGCCCAGAACCAGCAGACTGCCTCCCCCAGGACGCTGTCGAACCATTGGCAGCATTTGCGCATAGTAGTAGGCAATGACCATGCGTGAGCGGCTCTGAATATTTTGCAATGCCACTGTGAATGTCAGCGCCCCATCCTCAAGGGTCACCCAATTATTGACAATTGGCAGATAGGAGAGCATACAGTTTTCAGTGTTTGATCCTCCATGCACCTTAAACTTGGGCTCGAAACCCGTGCCTTGCGTGAGCAGATTCTTGGTGGCATGATAGGTGTCGTCAATGTTCAAGTCGGTATGGTAGCTTCCGATACGTTTAGCGAGGTCCTGGGCGCGCTGTCGAGTCTCCTTGCTGCTCTGGTTGGCCATGCCCATATAGATAGTATGGAAGATTTGGTTGCAAAACTCCTCAGGAGTGTCAGGAAGCTTATCGGAGAAGGCGGCAATTCTCTTGACGTCAGCAATGACTTCCTTGTTGCCGTCCTTGACAGCCTGAACGACGAGTCGACACATGCTGTATACAATGGTTGCCGTGGCGCATGAGTCGATGCCTCCTGAGAGGGGTACCAGGTAGCCTGCCATTTTGCTTCGTCGGACTTTTGAAGTACATGTTAGTGCATGTGCTCCTTACGGTTGACGGCGTAGATGAACATCTATGTTCAACGCCTAAAGGGATAGACCAGAAACTCACGATAATCCCACAGCCAGCATGCCGGGCCGAGAGCCTATTGAGCGTTTATAGTCAGCGGCTTGCTTCCAACATGTAATTGTGGACAATCTAGCCAAGTCACGTACAATCTCCTCCTCTGGGAGGTGATATCTTGGTGGCCGGGTTGGCGTGGGAATCTCCATGATGCTGGTGGTCTCATGCGTAAGACGAAAGTCGACTTCGATCCTGTCGTAGGCTGGCGCCTGCATGGCTTGGAAGGCTCGAGACGGGGCGCAGCGGTGTGCCCGCACCTCCTCGAGGTCGACCGTTGCCGTCACCACTTCAACGTCCTCCAGGCTGAACTGCGAGCCCTGGGCGACAATCTCGCCATTGACCATGATCATTGAGCATCCGTCGTAGAGTAGCCGGTCGCCATCACAGCCTACGAATGGTCAGCGGGGAAAAGGCCAATGGACTGCGCTTTCTTCCAACCCACCCGATTGGTTGGCGTAGAGATAGATGCCGCCATTCTTTCGCGTTGCCTCTTGAATCAAGGCGATTCTTTCGTTGAGCTTGCGCAAGCTGTGATGAGATCCCGAGCTGTTTGTGAAGATTTCAACACCGTTCAAGCCCCTGGGAAACTGTCAGCGGATGCAGGTAACGGAGCTGGGAAGATGAGGTCATATAGAGCAAGCCTTCAATAACGTGATGGCGAAAGGCACTCGTCGTTGCAGGAACAAGACGTACATGTTGATGTGTGGTGCCTGAGGGGTGAAGAGCTCCTCGCAGGTTTCGGCCGCAAGCGTCGTGTCGTTGAGAGACAAGATGACGTCGCCAATGGGGACCTGCCGAACACCCTGGTGCTCCTGTAGTTGAGGCGGCAGATTGTGCATCTCAACGTGTCTGGGGCGGTGCCAGGGAGTGAAGAATCGGTTTTCTCTGAAGTTTCTGTTGCAATATGTCAGTCGGCTGTTTCACCCCTGATGATTCTCGGGCCGTCATCTAGACGACTCCCATCACGAGACACAACCATCAAACTCACCCATCGTTGGCCAGATACAGCTTGGGGCGAAGGCATATGAGCTTCCCGTCGAGTATGATGGCACGACTGTTGAATCTGCAGCCCCGATGCATGATCGGAAGGCCGACATCGATGAGAATGCCATGGAGAGAGGTATCCGTCAGGATCTTGAAGAGCATATCCATGGCATGGTCATAGACGTCAGACTCGAGGAAGTGGTCAAGACTGCCCACAGGTTAGTACTAGTACTCGCTCGACCGTTTCAGCGCATTCAGGGTGATGAGATGGCGTAGCCTACCATCCATAGCCGCTGATTTCCAACTCGGGCCCTGTTCGCAAAGTTGCCCCGGCTTCTTTGGCCTTGAGGATGCTGGTGCGGATTCTCTCGAGGTTGCCCTCCCAGTCCAGCGCCCACTGGTTGAGGGAGCAGGTTGCGAGAGTGATGAGATGCGCCATCTTCAAGCACCAGGGAGGAACAAGCCAGAAGCTCAATTGGCAGCAGAATGTGTGTAGGATGAGAAGAAGCAGACGTGCTCCATTTGAGTCAATGAGGGGTGATGTTATGCCTTCCACTTGGACTAAAGTCGAGCTGTATGTAAACCGGGTCTTGCTTAAGTAAGAGCGAGATGCCGAGCATCATCCTTTTGCACACACTTTGACAATGTCTATAAGACGCCAAAACTTGGTCTCCACATGGCGATGCTGATCGAATGACACACGAGTTACGTGGCTATCTGTGTAGGTATACTCAATTCAGGTTGAATAGTTGATCCTGTCCGCCACGGTACAGCTGTTGTTCAATGCACTCATGCAAAGAAGCCAATTGAAATGGTTCAAGCTGAAGATGCCGAGCGACACCGAAGCTTTTTGGGAGTGGCCCCACGTCACATAGAACAAAAGGTATAGCATACGTATCGCAAGGCTAGAAAGATATAGCGATAGTAGCAGAGGTTTAAAAGACTCTCCTCTGTAGCAAACAGTGATTACATTGGCAGAATTGTCTGGCATGTATGCATTGGCTGGATGCTGGGTAAGGCAGCCACTCCTTAGCCTTTCCAGGCTGTGCAACTCCAAGCTTCAGCAACATGTCAATGCCCGTCCATGTCTGCCTCACCAGTATTACCACCAATGATATTCGTTCGGCAATAGGTAGGTAAGCATGGCCGTTGCCTGAAATTCTAGATGTATTGTCGAAGGAGGCAGCCATGGAGCCCTCGCTCGGTGGTGACGTCCTCGCAATACTTTGTAATTAGTATAGTAGGCCCTCCCGAAATTACGGACTGGGGGCTGCATCACTGCCGTTTGCGCGTCAAACATGAAGCCACGGCGGAACGAAGATTCAGCCGTGGTACAAGAGGCCAGAGGAATGGAGGCTGAGGATGGCTGCCAGCGAAGCAAGTCTAAGAAGCAATCATCATTCGGTGACGGCCGAGGCGAAGCCTCACACACCCTCTGATGACTCCCTTCGTGGTGCAAATTAAAGCTGATGCTGCTAACATTGAACCACCCATTCATTCCCTACCTATCTACCTAGAGCACAAGCCGGAGATTGAGGCCGCTCATCAATTAACACCTACGAGAGGTACAAGGCATAAATGACAGGTACCACAGCAGCAGTTTCACACCTGCCGCGCTAGACTCATTTGGCGCACCACAGCGTGCAGCCGCAGTCGATCCACGCTGGCGGTGCAGGGCTGAGCACCGACTTTGGCACCGGGCCGCCCGCCAAACGGCCATTTGCGACACCGTGTCCGCCACCACGGACTGCTGCTGCTGCTGCTCCCACTAAAGGTAAGTTGGTGCTAATAAGGCTGGAGCTGTGCTTTTCCCCAATCAAGCTCTCCTGAGTTCTGCGACTTCTTGTCTACACAGTTCCATTCACATCCGCTCAGTCGCCCAGCAAATTCCTACATCTTCCTCCGCCAGACGCCCGCATCTACTCTCGTCAACCGCAGGTCCTGCTGCTGTTTTCTGCTGCCGCCCACCTCTTGTGCCGCTGCCAGCCTCGAGCCCCTCCATCTGCGACTCCTCCGGGCTTTGCCCAGGCGTATATACATAAAGAGACGCCGCCACGTCTCTCGGCCTTTAATCACGCGAGCTTCTTCGTTTGGCAGCTCTGCTCCTCCCATCATTGCTGGTTCAGCCTCGCGACAGCACCTCTCGCTCTCCTCCCTCCAATATCATGTCGGCACCTCGGACTCGACGGCGGGCCGCCCAGGAAAAGCTTGAGCACGGCTCTGACGACGACCGGGCGGCGGTTGTCGTGGACGGCAACGGCTCAGCTCGCGATGCGCCGGAAGCTTCGGACTCTGACCCGGACGAGAACATTTTCTTGTTCTGGCCCAACATCATAGGTATGCGCCTCGTCTCGATGGCACAGGCTCCGTGACGGGAGCAAAGAAGACATGTGGCGACTCGTTGCTGACGCCTTGCTTGGCTGCCAGGATACTGCCGAATCGTCCTCGCCATTGCGTCCCTGTACTACATGCCGCTGCACCCTCGCACGTGCTCCCTGCTCTACAGCATCTCGTGCTTGCTCGACGCCCTCGACGGATATGCCGCCAGGGCCTTTAACCAGTCGACCCGGTTCGGCGCCGTCCTGGACATGGTCACCGACCGCTGCACCACCTCGTGCTTGCTCGTCTTTCTGTCTTCGGCTTTTCCCCGATGGGCCATCATCTTCCAGGGCCTGATTGCGCTCGACTTCTCCAGCCACTACATGCACATGTATGCCACCCTGGTGGTTGGCGGCACCGACTCGAGCCACAAGAACATTGACAAGAGCCAGAGCTGGCTGCTGAACTTGTACTACACCAACAAGGTTCGCATGCCCCGATCTCCGATTTCCCCCCCGCCGTCTAGGTGTTGTGTGATTGCTGACCCAATTCGCTTCAGACCGTACTCTTCATCTTCTGCCTCTTCAACGAAGTCTTCTTCATTGCGCTCTATCTCCTGTCCTTCTCGTCGCCCCTCCTCTCGCCTCACCTCATCAAGAGCGTGGAGGAGACCAGCGGTGGCCTGATCCAGCCTGGCGTCCCGGTCAACACGTCTCTGCTCCGACAGCTGTTCCCCGATCCCTTCAGCGCCGCCGCCCTCGAATTTGCCCGAGCGAACAAGATGGACTCCACCGTGCCCTGGGTCATTACCGGTATCAGCTTCCCCATCATGCTGGCCAAGCAAATTATCAATGTGGTGCAGCTGGTCAAGGCGAGCAAGTGGCTTGCTGAGGTTGACATCAAGACACGCAAGGCCAAGGGACTCAACAAGAAGGCTCGAGCGGCTTGATTGAGCGTCTATTCGGAGTAGACCATCAGTGCTTGTCACAAGGCAGGTCAAGCAAATGATGAGCTACCGGACGACATTGGAGTGTGAGGATACATATGAGGCAGTCAATGAGCTACCAAACAGATGAGGAGTATATGAAGATGCTCGGCATGTACAGGCCGTATGTGTTGGAGGAATATTACAGAGTCGAAGGAAATTGTCTGTTTAGCTCGGGCAGAAGCAGGCAAACGAGTCTGGCTTTCTGAGCCCCGTCCTTTTTTTTTCTCGAATGTTTTCGGGCAACATGGTAGTTGTCTTGGTGGAACACACAGCGTCAGCCTTTTCTTGAGGATGATGCTTCTCATCCACGAGAAGCGGCTGTTAATAATGGAATTGCATGGCTTGGCGTACACTGGGGCTCAACAATAACAACAACAACAACAACCAATGGGTAGCGGATGTTGAAACTACTGAATTCTGCCCTCATATATACAATGGTGTGGGCGAATAGGTGGAAGGGATATGAAAACGAAGGAAAAATAACGGGTGATTTTCTTTTCAAGAAGGAAGAGCTGATTTGATAGCCACCTTTGTGTTACTTATTACGTTCTTTTGATCTTCTTTCTTTTTTTGGTTCTTCAATAGATTACCTTTTCTCAAGCCTTTCTGTAAGATGCCGCTGTGTGCTGTCTGGCCAAAACACGTCAGTACTTTGTCTGTTACTCGATTTTTTTCGTTGTATGTTTATTTATACTACGTGACAAGGGCTCTTCCTTGCTTGATCATTCTTTGTAGTCATTCATTGGATTCACGATAATGTTACAGCTTGCTTACTACTGCACGTAGAGAGTATAAGTCCTTTCTTGCATGAAGGGGGGAAAGTCGTCAAAATCTTTCAAGACAAGACATGTTAGATATGGGTATCTCAGACTTTTCTATTTAAGTAGGTACTTCATTACACGGCATGAGCTTATCACCAACATATTTTCCACCCCAACCACACATCACGCAAGCATCCTCATATCCGATCCATTCATAAGGTATATACCTCCACAGCCAAGACACAACTCCAGGTATAAAAAGAAAGCTCATCCTTCTCAGCTTCTCAGAGCTGCAGCTCCGGTAGCATCATTGCCCGACGAGACCGCAGCCCCAGACTCATTCTGGCCCGCAGCAGCAGCAGCAGCAGCAGACGAATGCTCACCAGCGACGCCGTCCGAAGTCTCGACGATGCGGGTGACGCCCGCCGGGACGAGCTCGAGGGGCGTGGAGAGGCCGTACCAGGCGACGACGATGACGCCGAGGACGCCGGTGATGCAGCTGAAGACGAGGGCGACGATGCCGCGGGGAGTGAAGCTGTTGACAAGATCCATGTCAGTTGAACTTCTAATTCCCATAGGGTACAGGGAAAAGGGGGGGGGGGTTGTGTTATGCTTACCCGCCGGGGATGGTGCCGGGGGCCTTGTTCTCGCCCGTCAGGTCAAGGAAGTCGGCCGTGTTGCCGGCGGCATTGCCCTTGGTGGGGACGCCTCCGGCGTCGCAGACGGCGAGGTGGTCGTCGGGGATGGTGAACTGCTTCTGGATGTCGAGGGGGGCCTCGACAAAGGTGGCGAGAAGGCCGGAGGCGACGTGCCATTCGATGTGGCAGTGGAAGAGCCAGACACCTTAGAAGCAAAAACTCCATTGTTAGGGAAACATGTCCACAAAAACAGGGGGGGTGGGAGAATGGAAAAAGACGTTACCAGGGTTGTCGGCCTTGAAGCGCATGACAATGTTGCCGTTGGGCCAGATGACGAGGGTGTCTCGTCGCATGGGAACGGCCTTGTAGTCGCTCTCGGAGAGGGCCTCGTCTTCAAAAGTACCGGCTTCTTCCTCAGAGCGGTGGATGGCCTGGAAGGCGTGGCCGTGGAGATGGAACGGGTGGCGACCGGAGTCGAGGTTGTTGACGACAATCTGCACAATCTCGCCCTTCTTGAGGACAAATGGATGGGTGTACTCGCCGTAGACGGCGGCGTTGTCTGCGAGGTCGCCGGCGGAGAGGGCGGTGTACAGGGAGGGGACCTTGGGATGGGTGTAGGTGATGTTGTTGAAGAAGGCGTAGTTCTTGCCGTCCTTGAGGTTGTCCATGATGACGTCGAGCTCGACGACCTGGTCTGGCTCGGGGAGCAGCTCCATCTTGTCGTAGGGCACAAGGTCCATGTCGTCAAAGGGGGCGAGCTCGTCAACGAGGGCGGGCTCGGGGAGGGTGGCCTTGGAGTCGTACGTCAACCAGCCGGTGACGTTGTAGTTGAGGTCCTCTGGCAGAGTGTCAAAGAGAGTCTGTGATTCTGGGTTAGTACCAATGACAATGACGCTGCTTTTTAAGGGGTGATATCCTTACAGTGTCCATGCTGGCAACAATGGGAAAGTTGACAGAGGTGTCGTTCTTGGTGGTCAGGAGGAAGCTGACACGCTGAGCGGCAGAGATGTAGACCATCTCGGCCTCGGCTTGCTCGGTGTAGACGCCGTCCACCTCGACGATGCGCATGGTGTGGCCCTCGATCCAGAGGTACTGGCCGGCAAAGGCACCAATGTTGACGACTCGGAACATGTACGTCGTGTTGGGCTCGACAGACACGGTCAAGTTTTGAGTTTCGTTCATCAAGGCCGCCTTGGGCACGGGCTCAGCACCAGTCGGGTTGTTCTTGGACAGGAAAGCCGGGAGAAGGGTAGCCATCTGGTCGTGGTACCAGTCCGAGAGGGTCAGGACAAGCTCCTGGTCCACCTCCTTCCTGTAGGGGAACTTGGGGTCGTGGATGACAAGAGGGCCACGGAGACCGTCGGGATACTGCGCATTGTGGTGGGAGTGATACCAATATGTGCCAGGTTGGTCAATCTGCAGTACAGCTTCAGGTCAGAATACGGCTTGTAACGACTTATACGGCTCTCTCCTCCATCCAGAGCAAAAGAGACAAACAACATGAAAAAAGTGACCCAAACTTACAGTGAAGTCGTACGTAAAGGAATGGCCAGGAGGAATCGCGCACTGAGACACGCCCACAGGCCCGTCCATGTGCGTGCTGCCGTTCATGTACAGGCCGTGAAAGTGCAGCGACGTCGACTGGTTGCCGAGCTGGTTGTTGACGTTGACGACGATGCGGTCGCCAATGTTGGCCTCAATGCGAGGAATGGGCCATTGGTTGTTGATGCCAATGACGGGGCGCGCAAAGGCTCCGTCAGGGTTGGCCGTGACCCAAGTGATGTTGAAGTCATACTTGACCGTGGCCGCGCTGGCGACGCCCAGAGAGGCGGCGGCGAGCAGCAGCCGCGTGAAGCTGTTCATGTCTGCTGGGCGGATCGTCTCCCTAGAGGATATATCGCTGAGAGAAGTGTAGACAAGCAGCCGGCTCAGCTCTCTCTCTCTCTCTCTTTCTCCAACGTCTCCAGGACAGAGCAGAGCAGACGGTTAAAAAGGGATCAAGGGATGGAGGGGGGGTGGCAAGAGGGTGGAGGATGGAAGAGATGGAGGAGGAGAAGCGAGCAGAGGCACGAGCTGGAAGGATACAGCCGGGCTTCTCACGCTCGACAGCCTTCAAATGCCGAGTCAACGAAGGATGAAAAGCTGAAGAAAGCCGTCCGATTATCGCCCGAGAGATTGATAAAGGCAGCGAGATGGTTGCATGTGGGCTCGGTGCAAAAGCCCGCCATCGACCAGCTAGTCCTGCAACCCGCTCCACCGTCGAGGGAGAGGGGGGTTAAAGAAAAGAAGAAAAAAAAGAAGAGTCACCCAGCTGATGCTCCATCTAGGTAAGGTACTACATACGGATACACTTGGAAAAGTACAGTACATATTGCTTGCTAAACAGGGTCAAGATTGGGGCTCTTGGATGCGACACAAGGTCTCGCTCTACTTGTGTCCACCGTCTTAGACGAACGGACCGGGCTCTACAGTTCCTCCGGCTGGCAGCGAGAGACTCCATCAGGAAAGACAAAAGAGGGAAAAAGAAAACTCAACCCCAACGAGACGAAGAGAGGCCACAGGAGAAAAAAGAACAAGGATCATGCATACAAATAAGCTAAGTACACAACCTTGATTTGCGGTGTTTGTTTGCGCTGTGGGTAACGGCCCTCGGCCCAGAAAAAGAAGCACGTTGCAACAGCGGGCATTTCCACATGGTGGGTGATCCGTTCACGAGCTTTTAGCAGGCATTGATACTCGTATGTAATTAGCCTAGGTAAGAGAGGAAGAATAAGAAACGGACGGGAAGATGTTACTGTACCTGTACCTGTACCTGTACCTGTACATGTATATATGTATGTAGGGTCCTATTATTAGAGGAGAAAATAAGAAAGGCGGGCGAAAGCCGGTTCAAGCATAATTCTTGGCTGAATTGGCGTCCGTGATTGGCTACATAGCACCGCTAAGAGATCAGTTATTGCTCCACTCTCTGTGAGTATAGCCAATAGTAGCGGTGTTTCATGCGGGGCTGCAGCTGATGGTGGGCTGATTGATAATCGTTAGTCGGATCAGATAAGATCATGAGGGAAAGCTGGAAACATCCGGGACTTTTTTTCTCTTGGCATCTCAAGGGTCGTCTGAGTTGTTGGCTGAATGTGTTACAGGACGGGGTCCGAGCTGCAAAAATGGCGCGCAAAGAATTGTCCCTTGCGATGGAGCCCTCATGAAAAAATTTGTCTTTGTATCCATGACACGGCAGGGAAATATTTCGGTGTTGTGGTTCGTATGTACGAGTTTTGACAGAGCTCTCATCGCTACCAGGCACGTCTCGGGCAGCCAAGACGCCAGGATAATTCGGCAAAATGGCCAAGAGATGCCACTTTCTCGGATCAGATAACTTTTCTTGGCAGCCATCTCTCTCTGCTCGGCATCCACCTCGGCTGACGACTTCTGCCGACAGTTGCCTGTACTGTTACGGTGCACACGAGCCTATCACTTACACCACACCCCCGAGTCAGAATATCACAGTCACAGATCGTTCAGCCTCGGCGCTTTGCCGGCAGCCCATCAGGTAATGAATGGCCCACGGTACATCCTTTTGAACATGGTATCCGTACTCGCGGAATAATTCGGTTCGTGACTTTTCCACCTGCCCTTCACGTTTCTCTTTAGCCGCTCTATTCCCACCTCATGCTAGTAGTAGTAGTACTACTACTACATGGTAGTAGCACCAGACCACATGAAGTTTTTTTCTTCCCTTCCTCGTCGACAATTTGTTTTGTCTCGCTCGAACCATCATCCCGGCTAGTGTACGGGAGTGGAGAGAGAAAACAAGAAACAAAAGAGCGGGACCCGAGACACACACACACATGTGCTTCCACCAAAGTAGTACTACTACATACATACATACAGTAGTACTAGTAACAATAACCTTGTGGACAAAGTTCCCCATCAAGCTTATCTGATCCGAGTCGGACGAGGCACGATGGACCCGGTCGATTGAATTGGGCCGGGGCTGAGACTCTCTGTCACTCTCTGTTACTACCTAGGTACTCTCACTCTCTGGTCTTGCCCATGCTCCATCTTTTTCTTCTCGCCCGTGTCTTGTTCTGCGGCTCTTTGGCTGCTTCTTTATTGCTGCCGACACCGCCGTCTTTCATCCCCAGCAGTTGCCTTTTTGTATTGAAGTCGATATCCCCCTCGTCTCGCCTCTCATTCTTCGTCTTCCCATTTCTTTCCTTTCTCTCTCTGATCATCCCCCTTCTCACTCTTCTGCTCGCGGTAGTGACACACTGCTCCTCACAATGGCCAAGGACGTCTTCTCCGTCCCCGTCTTCCTCGTCGTCTTCCGCGAGACGCTGGAGACGGTCATCATCGTCTCCGTCCTGCTCGCCTTTCTCAAGCAGACGCTCGACGGGCCCAATGCCGACCGCAACGTCTACAAGAAGCTGCGAGCGCAGGTAAACACCCCAATCACCCTTTTCTTCACGCCTCACCCATCATTTATTCATCATCATCATCTTCTTCTTCTTCTTGTTCTTGTCCGTAGCTACTTTCATTAAAAACGTCCTCGCTAACACGCCGCCACCAAAAAAAAGATCTGGATCGGCGTCGCAACAGGCTTCCTGCTCTGCATGATCATCGCCGCCGCCCTCATCGGCGTCTTCTACACCGTCGGCTCCAACACCTGGGACCAGTCCGAGCAGTACTACGAGGGCGCCTTCTCCCTCGTCGCCTCCATCATCATCACCCTCATGGGCGCCGCCCTCCTGCGCATCGGCAAGATGCAGGACAAGTGGCGCGTCAAGCTCGCAAAGGCCATCGAAAGCCCCATCAAGGTCCGCTCCTCCGACCGCGGCTGGTTCGCCCAGGTCCTCGAGAAGTACGCCATGTTCTTCTTGCCCTTCATCACCGTCCTGCGCGAGGGCATCGAGGCCGTCGTCTTCGTTGCCGGTGTCACCTTTTCGGCCCCCGCGTATGCCGTGCCGCTGCCTGTCGTCATTGGCCTGCTTGTTGGTGGCGTCGTGGGCTATCTCCTGTACAAGTAAGTGAAAAGCCGTCCTCGATCCGCCCTCCTTTTCCCATCTTATCCATAGAAGTGAGAATCGTGGCTAATACAGACCCATAGGGGAGGGTCATCGACGAAGCTGCAATACTTCCTCGTCGCGTCCACCTGCCTACTATATCTCGTCGGCGCCGGCCTCTTTTCCCGCGCCGTCTGGTCCCTGGAACAGGGCAAATGGAACAAGATTGTCGGCAGTGACGCCTCCGAGCTCGGCTCTGGCCCGGGATCATACGACATTGATAACGTCGTGTGGCACGTCAACGTAAGTCAACCTCATCCGGCTCCAACAAAAAAAAGGATCCCTTTCACAACAGCAACAACAAGGCTAACACGGAAGGTTTTGCAAATAGTGCTGCAACCCCAACGTCCCCAACAACGGCGGCTGGGGCATCTTCCAAGCCATCCTCGGCTGGACAAATTCCGCCACCTACGGCTCCGTCATCTCGTACAACCTCTACTGGCTCTTCGTCATGGCCTCCTTCATCCTCATCCGGTTCCACGAGACAAAGGGACGATGGCCCTTCCAAAAGGCCAAGGCGGCCGTCCCCTCCGACACCGAGGCTCGCAGCGGGAGTGAGAGCCACGATGTCGCCGAGACGAAGAACGTCTCTGAGAAGACCACCGCTCTCAACTGAGCAGTCACAAGGGGAACAGAAAGGATGTTGCTGTCACACATGAGATGTATATTGGTGATGTTGTGTTGATTTACGGTCATATAAAGTGTCCTAAGCTCTGCGTCGTCATAAAAAAAGTTATCTCGTAATGAACATGATGAATATATACCCTCATACCCTCTCCCTTGGAAGATTTTGACCTTCACGCTGTCATGAAACCCTGCCTCGTCACGAACATATACCCTCATTCGGTATTTCTTTCGAATCTTAGAGCAGCATTGTCGTCTCCATACCTGATATACATGTTTGCGCGTGATTCTATCAAGCAATCGCGATACGCACCATACGCCCACAAACTGGGCCTTATCCTTGCTCCGTTGAAAGAATCCCTGTTCCGCGTTCCGATTTATCTGGTCTTGAACTTCTCTGGAAAAAAGAAAGAAAAAAAAAACCAAGAGCCGTCGGCGACTCTTGTCACCCAGCGTTAAGCCTCGGGCGTCCAATCCCACGAACTGGCCGTGAATAGACTCTTAGACAGCCGATCAGTGTACATGGCATTCTCGTAACGCAGCCGCTGGTCATTAGCCACCGACCGAGTGAATACAAACATTCGTGGTTCTTCGGCCGTGTCGCCTGTTGCTTGGCCGTCTCTGAGCATCGTCCACGATACCTCGGACCGACGCTTCTTCCAGTCGGCGTGCGCAATGGACGTGCCGCTCGCCGACAGCATGGCCCGGATGTAGTCGACGATGGGTTCCAGGCGAGTTCGAAGGCCGCAGTTGGTGTGATTCTTGTCAACCTGGTAGCCGGGGCACCCCTTTAGAGTGACGAGCAGCTCGTCGATGTTGACCGTGGCAGCGTCGGGCACCCTCTCTAGGGACGCCGGGGTGTAGTCCACGAGGTACAGGAGGTTTTTGGATGTTAGAAATTTAACCATCTGGCCCAGCTGAAAGGAGTCGCATGCAACGCTGGAGTCGTAGCCCAGCTTGCATTGAAGGTCCTTGGAGCAGTACAAATCGAGGAAGTGGCGTTGGGCGGACGCAATGGTGTTCAGTACGCATTGTCTGCGGTACTGCAGTTCCTCTATGGTGCCTTGTTAGTCGAGTTCTTCATGTGAAATGAATAATGTCATGGACGTCTTGGCCAGTCGTCACTTACCCTCAATGCCGTCGGGCAAATGCCACCACGCAGCCGTCAGAGTCTCATCGCGGTCCTGAAATTCGCTCCAGAGGCGAGATCCCCTCGTAATGAGCTCTCGCGCCGCTTGATGCAGCCTCATGCCGCTGCCAAGGAGCAGGGAAACGAGGACCTTCTGCCGCAAGACCTCCTCGGCGTCTGTGATGCGGCCGCTCTCGTCAGTATAGGGCTTTGTAGTCGTGGCTGGCCAGCGCACCCCATTAAGGATGGAGCGAGCCACGAGGGTGATGCAGTCGAAGCGATCCGCGAGAATAGCAATCGTGGCGGCGTCTTGGAGGGCCACTCTCGCCGTCTTGGGCGGCTTTTGGTGCATGATTCGGAGCATGTCCTCAAACGCATGCTCGCGGCCCGCGGCCTTGGTGGCTTCGTCGTCATCCGTGATGGTGATCCACGGCAGGTCCGCGGCGTCAGCCTCTGCCGGCTTGATCTTCTTCTCTGCGAGCTTCTTGTGTGCCTCTGCGATGAGGCCGGCCTCGCGGAACGAGGCGTTGGACAGCAGGTTGTTGAAGTACTTGGAGTGCTTCTTGAGAGCGGCCTGGCTGACGCGGTAGGCCACCCGCACCTTGGTCTTGAGCGTGGGCTGGGGAGCGCCGGCCGGCTTCTTGGCCGCGTACGCCGAAGCCCTGCTGGACTTGCGGAGCGTCTCCTTGGACGTCTCGAATGTGACGTCGAGGATGATGTCGCCGGCATTGGCTACGGCGACGACTTCTGGTCCTAGTCCCAGGCGCTCTAATTTGGCGCTCGAAGCCTCGGCCTCGGCCTCTGCGGGCGCTGCCGCAGCCTCGTCCATACCTCAAGGGTGGAAGGATGATGTCGTCGACATGCAAGAGGAGAAGGGACAAGTTCCGACAGGCTAGAGTGTTGAGCAGCTGTTTGCGTGGTTGTGGTGGAGGAGGAAGTGCAGAGTTGAGGGAAGCTGCCGGCTGGCGTAGCAGTCGATATCAGCCAGGAGAGGTCCCTTATCCAGCAGCCGAGTCCCTGACGCTCAAGGTAGTAAGTAGGTAGTATTTAACACAACCAGAACTGCTGCTTGATGAAACACGCTGGAGAATTCTCACCCTTCTTCCCATGTCCTCTCACATCTTTTTATTCACTCTTTCTTTCAGTTCTTCTAACAAGAGCTGCCAGCTTTGATGCCTGCTCTGGGTCAGCTCCAACAGCCGGCTAGCGCCCGGATCTCAGTGACTACTAACTACCTAACCTACCGGAAGCTACTACTACCTCCCTTACATGTAGGTACTGGACCTTAATCAGCACTTGCAAGGCATCAACTGCCATGGCCCATGATGACTCAACCAGGACAGACGGAGCTTTATTCGCCGACGATGAAGATTAGGTCTGAATGCATGGATGTGCAGTCCGTTGAACCTGCAGCAGACAAGGCACCAGAGTTCCAGCGGCTCGTGCGCCATCCACCACGCTGGACCCCTGCGCCGATGCACTGTTTGAGAGCCTGCAGGGGCCCTGGCAGTTTGAGGCAAAGTGAAGAACCAACGGCCGTGATATCACGCATTGACCTCATCAGGCTGCCTCTGCTAAGACCAGAAGATGGCTCCTAACCGAGGCTGTGAATATACTAAGGCATCATTCGGGTATTGCTGCTTTTCGTATCGAATTCTCAATTCTCATAGGTAATCTGCTCCATGGATCTTGATATGAACTTGATGAGTTTTGAGGAGTATTAGCTGCGAACAGGCATAAAAAGGCGCCCTAACAAAGGCGCTGCTACAGTAGGTAGTAAATCCTCCAGCAGCCTCGCGCCTCTAGAAGTCGTCGCTACCTACCTAGCCTCTGGTTGGTACATGTAGAAACCGCTCTCTCCCGCAACATCTGCAGCCTCCCGAGCAATTTCCCCCTTCCACTCATTACATACCTACCTACCTATTCTTAGAAGCTCAGTCGGAGCCCAACCACGATTCTCTCTTCTTTCTCTCCTCAACCGCCTTCTCTTCTATTCTTCAGGTTATCTTTTCTAGAGGGAACAACCTCCGTCGAGCTGGCTAGACAACTGCCCTGCCGTGGTATCCAACTGCTGGCTCCCAACCTCAGCCGTCCAACCCTCTCCCGCCTCCCCAACAGCGAGCCCATGGCTGTGAGCGACGGTGATCTGGCAGCGATCCGACTACGAAAGCGACACCTGATGCTTGGGCTTGCGCTTCTCGAGCTTCGGCCAGCGCACACACTCTCCAATGGCCAGCCTGGCAAGTAAGGCGCTGTCCTCAGCATCCAGAGCCGCCGCGCACATCTCGCCCGACTCAGTCGCCATTCCTGCGATACCAGCGATATCGGCTTCGCTGCGAGTTGCCTGCACAGGCACCCAACAGAACCCACTGCTGCAGGATGATGCCGTTCCGCTGAGGAATGAGAGCACGGCAAACAATCGACAGCGATGCCATCAAGCTGCTGTTGCTGCTGCTGCAACAGCCGCACGGCCTTGGCGATGCGGAGCCCGCGGGGTATCTGCTTCTACGGCTCGCAACTCCATCACGAAGCTGCCCATGAGGCAAGCCAGAGCCCATGTCCAGCCAGCTGCCCGACGTCGCTTCCACACGTACTTCGTCGCCCACCTTCCGTCGTCCTCCCTGCATCCAGACTCTAGCACGCCTCACGGCCCGAGCCACAAGCTGCCTCGCGATGCCTCGACGCCGCACACTCCGAGCCCCGGCTCTGCCCCAGCGGTTCCGATACCGAACATGCCCAGCCGAGATCTCACAGTCGTGCGGATCCCCCTGCGGCGAGCGAAACACCACTTTGGCGTAGCGACGGCCCGCGGGAATCGGCCCTACAACGAAGATGCAGACCAGGCCGGCATCATCGACATGCCGGCGTTTGCGAAGAGGGTACCAACGAGCGTCAGGCAGAAGCCAGGAGAGCCAACCATGCCGGGCAGCGCCCTCGGGGACCCCCAGATCTTCTACTTTGGCGTTTTTGATGGCCACGGCGGAGTCCAGTGCTCCCATTTCTTGCGCGACGAGCTGCACGGCTATATCGAGGAGGCAGCAGCCGAGTTTGGCCTGCAGAGCAGTTTGCGCAAAGAGAATCCTTGGGAACTGTCCAGGAAGCCGGTAACTCGCAAGCAAGCTCTCGACAGCGTACAAATGAAGAGCGCTGAAGAAGTAAAAGACGAAATCCAACTGCCAACTCGTGATGACAGTGAAGGAGTCATCAATGCCCCTCGCCATGGAGACCCCCTGCCCAGTGCTAAGTCGGTGCCCGTAGAGGTATCAGACCACTCAAAGGCCATCAGGTTGAAGAAGAGCCTCATCCAGGAGTATAGAGTCTCCATTGGGGGATACTTCCGCCGCTTCCAGCCAGAGTACTTCAACCTCTCGGAGGATGGCGACAACTACACCATCTCAGTCGAGTCAGCCCTCGCCTACGCCTTTCTCCGCGCCGACCTGGACTTTGTCTCCGCCCAGGCCCGAAAGGTCGACCCGGACGACTCGACAGTCAGCGACTACCCCCTGAACAACGACGAGATACTCGGCGAACCTCATGCCACACCGTCAGGCCACGTCATTGGTGGCGCAACGCGGTTCAAGGGAGGCTCAACCGCATCCATTGTGCTCATCTCGACGCCCACCCCCGTCCCCTTCTGGCACCCCGGCGCGCACTCGTCGCTCATCGTCGCGCACGTCGGCGATACCCGCGTACTCTTGTGCAATACCGCAACCGGGCTCGCCCAGCCCCTGACTTCCGATCACCACCCCACCACGCCGGGCGAGAGCAGACGCCTGCGCCGGTACGCCCCGGCCGGCTCCATGGTTTCTGGCGATAGTTTCGGCGAGGAGCGCATCGCAGGGCTAGCAAACAGCCGTGCCTTCGGCGACATCAAGAGCAAGCGCATCGGCGTCTCAGCCGAGCCGGAAATCACACGGGTCGAGCTCAGCCCCGCGGAGTATTCCTTCCTGGTCCTCATGAGTGACGGCGTCTCGGGCACGCTCAGCGACCAGGAGATTGTAGACGTCATCAAGGAGGCCAAGACCCCCGAGGAAGGCGCCCGCCGCGTCGTCGACTACGCGACCGAGGTGTCTGAGGACGGCGACAACGCGACGTGCCAGGTCGTCCGGCTGGGAGGCTGGGAGCGCAGGTCAGAAGGTGGCCTGGGCAGTCTTGGGACGAAGGAGTTTCGCGATGCCAGGCGTGCGGAGGCGCAAGATCCGCGGCGACGACGCGGCAAGCGATAGGGTTGTTTTTTTGGTGGAGGGATACACTTGATGCTGGAATGGTTATATCTACCTAGGGTTTCTCACCCTTATATTGAGAATAGCGGGCTCTTTTTGCTTTTCTGCTACAGATTTCATGAGCATATACAGGGAGGGTATATACAGTATAGCGTGGTACACGGTTGGACGGAGTTCTAAAGGCATGCATCGAAGGTTTAGGGATGGCGGCCGTGAGACATTTGTTATTGTTTTCTGATCAATTTTCATACATAACTTCTTCCATAAGACAGAGCAGGGATACGTAGCGGAGCCATGTCAATGAAGATCTATCAAGCATCATTCAGACTCGTCAATGTGCTGTTCATAATACCGTGAAGTCGCGAAACTACTTCCTCTCCTATTTTTACAACTATAAACAAGGGGCATACAAAGGTCTCATGCTATAAAACATACACGGTTTCATACAACATACATCATCCAACATACACTCGTCATAAGTCTCCAAGCTTTGTGAGGTTTGAGGAAGCGCGGCCAGCAGGGGCCTAATCCACACTTAGTACCCGTGTCGATGCTCATGGTGCTGATGGTGGCCTTGATGTGAAGTATAGTGTAGCTGAGCCGGGCCTCCGTATCCATGGGGTTGCTGGTCCTGAGCCCATTGCCCCTCACTGCCGTATTGCGGTTGCTGATACGGCGGCTGCCCATACTGCGGTTGTTGATACTGCGATTGGTGGTATTGCGGCTGTTGATACTGTGGCTGGTGGGAGCTATATCCCTGTGGTGGCTGCTGCTGCGGTGGGTTATGATGGCCTTGGTAATAGCTCGAGGCGTGGCCAGACTGACCGTGAGACGACTCCGCATGCGACTGCGAGACATACGAGGCACTCTCTCCGTAGCCATAGCCTCCGTGAGCCGGCGGTGAGTAGCGTGAAGGCGGGGCCGGGGAACTAGAGGTATAGTTCAGAGCTGGGTTTCCATCATGGCCCTCCATAGAGTTCAAGTCTCGCGTCTTGACCTGCTCCCAGAGGGAGCCAGAGACTTTGCCATGGCCGAGTTGCGTAACCGTATCCCAAGCGTCATGGGCGTGACCGCTGACACCACCCTTCTTCTTCTGGTTGAGGATGTGGTTTTTGCCTTGCTTGACGGACTCAGAAGACAGGAGGTGGTCGATGTCGTGGCGGCGAGGATGCTCATTGACCCAGTCCTGGACTGTGCGGAACATGTCCCTCTGAATCTGAATATGGTCGTTACGCAGGGCAGGGTGGTGGAAGGCACGCAGCACGTCGTTGACAACTTCGTCAACAGGCACGCTGGGGTTTTCCCATGCGTAAAGAACCCGGCTTTGACAAGACATGTTAGCAGGCGAATCCATCAAGAAGTCAAGGGCCAAACTTACGGGACAGTGTACTGGAGAACAGTAGCTGCGATTCGCCCAGCACAAGAGTTGAGAACATTGGTAAAGTGATCCTTCGACAGCATGGAGTGCGTCGGGTCAGAGCTTCTGGGATTGTCCCATGGCTCGAACTGAGAGTTGGCACTGGCGCTGATGACGCCAGAGGAACCATCCTTGAGCACCTTTGAGACCTGGTTGATGATGGGTCTGATAAAAGGGGCAAGGAGGCCGAGAATGAAAGCCGTCAGCGTCTCGCTGATGTGCTCGAGGAGCTTCTCGAGGCCGGGGACCTTTTCGATGCCTCGACTGATGGCCTTCACAATCCGGTCGCGAAACTGCAAAATGGGGTAAATCTGCCTTGCAGTCTTAACTGGATCGAAGTTCGGGCTCATGCCGGGAACTATATTAGGATTTCCTCCAGCGCGAGAGCGAGACTCATTCTCTCGCTCCTGGGCTTCGGACATGGCCTTGAGCTCCCTAGCCTGCGCAGCAAACCCCGAGCCATCACCAGGGATCTTGGCAATGAGCGAGATGAAGTCCTTGGGGGCAACAATATCCAACAGGCCCCGAGAAGCGCCTCCGCCCCCAGTTTTCGTAGCAGCGCCTGCATTCAGGAGAGCAACGTCAACCTCGTCGACCTCGGATTGAGTGAAGTGGTCGTTCGCCTCGCCAATGACCGAATGCAAAAAGTCAACACCTCCAAAGGTACCAGTCACTAGGGGGAAAATGCGCTTTCCTCGGACTGTAATCTCGGACTGGGCACCGCAGTGCGGGAAGACATTCCGATGGCCCAGCTCAATAAGAGCCAGCTCGCAGTAATTGCTGTGAGCGCTGAAGTCTTCCATGCAGTGCAGAGCCTGGCCAAGGCATCTGAGTGCCTCGCAAAGATCGGCTTCGTTGCCTCTCTGAGAGCCACTGGTGTAGAGACGACCGAAGTGGATGCTTCGAGCAAAGCTGTATCGAAGGTAGCCGGCGCTGGTAGCCCATCGTCCCGTCTCGTTGGCAATGTAGTTTTTCATGCCGGTGTTGAGGTCGATGTCAATCTCAATGGGGTCAACTGGCCCACGAAGACGAGGGTCGAGCGTTCGAGCATCGATGCCATCTGCGTAGCCTTTGGGGTTGTCAATGTGCTCTTCGGGGCGGTAGCAGCCCAAGCGCTCTTCCGTCACCTCAAACTCCTCCGTGGCATAACCGAAAGACATGAATGAAAGCACCCAGACCTTTTGGTCATATTGTTAACACAGACACACTCGGTTTATCAGATGGCGAGATGAAGCCTACCAGGATGCGAATGGTGGCAGCATTGACGCCCTTGAGAGAGCCAACATCGACGGCCTGGGAATAGTCACGGAGCCAATTGCCAAAGTAGGTCCTCTTGATCAGCATGGACGTCCATTTCTTGCCGTGGAGGAAGGCAATGCCTGACAGCATGTCCTCGATATCTGGGAGGCGACTGTCAGTCCTGTTGTTTTCCCATCACAGCACCTGGTCTCTTCTTCACATGCTGTGTCACTTACCTCCATGACGCCAGTTGTGTCCCTCAACCTAGAGCCTGTGAGCTTCTCGTCATTTCTGGCATGAGTTGCAGTGACAAACCTGCGCAATCGACGGAATATTGCCCGCCCCAAACGCTGCGACTCGCGACGGCAGCAGCACGAGACAGATGCACAACACAAGCAACCAAGTGCCCCGCGAAGGTGAAAATGACGCCATGATGCAGCGACGTTGGCGGGGCAAGAAGCAAAACAGAAGCAGAGAAGAAGACAAAGCAGGCAGCCAGTAATGGAGATTATTGGACGATTTGTCGTTGAAGAAGAGGCGTCGAGTAACAGATGGATGGATGGAAAATATCTCTTATCGCCCTTTTTCTGCCAAATCAAAGTGTGTCGTCATATGTATTCTGGCAGGTGAGATTGGTTGCCTCCTTCACAAAAGTACAGAGACTGAAACCTGAAAGTACCTGCAAGCTTCCTTCCAAGCTGAGCTTCAAGGCTGAAGTGTGGCTCAACTGCCGAGTAAGATCGACCAGCCTCGCACAAGCCACCTCTCTTTTCAAGCCACATTGACACATGCAAGTCTGCGGCGAACTCGACCAGAAAGAGGCGGGGCACAGCCACAGGTTGAATGGGTGGTGGTTCATGTCCATTCTCAATAGAGCGGGAATACTGTGCTTGTATTGTTTTTCTGGAGGCAGTCCAATTCGCAGTACTAAGGGGAATTCCACATAAGAGGATTCTATGTTGTGGTGAGCTCTGAAGGGAAAGGGACAATCAGCAAAGCAGCACCGACAGTTCGGGCTCCTCGGTGTTACAAGCAGAATGAAGCCGTAGTGTGGCAATACCCCTGATACCCTGTCAACCTGTAAACTACCTAGGTATCTAGGTAGCGGGACGGACTGACATGTATGAACGACGGAGACGCGTGGTGCCGAAATAGCATGACGAGGTTATGTTTAAGACGGAGAATCGGTTAGGCTATCCAAAAGCCGGCTTCCATCGTCGTGAATGTATTCGTACCTTACCCGTTGACATTGAATGATATGTCCCTACTTCTTACCTACTAGGTACCTAGAAGAGATACTACCTTAGCAGCGCTCTTATGTCAGTTATTGGGCATCAGTCCATGAGCACCTTTTCAGAGACGTCTTCTTGCCGCATTTGCCCTTGGCTTTCCGCAAGTTCGACTTGGCCTCTCCATTTAAGAATAATCGACTGAAACCCTTCGGAGCCCAAGCGGAACAAGCTCATTGTTCTCAGTGGTGTGACTTTTCGCCTGCCCTCTGCTGAGCTTCCACTGGTAACGCCACTCTGGAAGCTCGGCTTCCGAAGCGCTACCAGGTCGTAAGCGGGCACTCGCTGTAACTCCCACTGGGCCAGAGCGTCAGCAACCACCTGTAGCGCCGCTGCAAGGGGACCCTCCACTCCGCCAATTGGTCATCGGGGGTCCTTGGAAACCCGCCTATCCGATCTTCAGGGAAATCTTTCGGCCCCTGATAAATCCTCGACCTCTCTGGTTTTCTGTTTTGTTTCCAGCAACGTGGTGGCGAGTGCTTCACCTCCTCACTAGGTAACATCTTTCTGTCACGCTCTCCTTTCTTTCTTTCTTTCTTCCTTTTCTACTTGACCGTTTTCTCTTGAATCTGGCTCCTTGTCAGATGCGCCAATCCTTCATCTCCTAACTTCAATCGGAGCACGTCGCTTTTGATCTGCCGGATCTGTCTTCATCTGCCGCCTCGCCAATCCCTGTCCGCCTTTGCAAGCCTCGCGGAAACGACGACAAAATGCCCTCCAGAACGCTCCCTACGTTTACTCGCGCCGAGGTCGAGTCGCATAACACGGAAAGCTCCTGCTATGTCACCATCGGCACCAAGGTCTTCGACGTGACCGATTTCCTGTCCGACCACCCCGGTGGTGGCCAGCTCATTGTCGACTATGCTGGCAAGGATCTTGAGGACATTTTGAAAGACAGCGTTTCGCACACGCACTCGGAGGCTGCATATGAGATTCTCGATGATTCCCTCGTGGGCTTCGTCGTCCCCGAGAAGAGTGCAGCCGCCAATGGAAATGGCGCTTCCGATGACAAGCCTTATGTGCACCCAAGAACCGGCATGGCCACCGAGGAGGATCTCAGCAAGGACACGGACTACACTCAGGACTATAAGAAGCACAAGTTTTTGGACCTGAGCAAGCCCTTGTTCCCACAGCTCTGGTACGGCAACTTCACCAAAGAGTTCTATCTCGACCAAGTGCACCGTCCGCGCCATTACAAGGGTGGCAAGTCTGCTCCTCTATTTGGCAATTTCCTAGAGCCTCTTTCGAAGACCCCTTGGTGGGTGATTCCAGTTCTTTGGCTCCCCTGCGACGCGTACGGCTCTTTCCTGGCCTTCCAAGGCTTCAAGAACCCTGCCATCTTTGCCGCGTACTGGGTCCTTGGCTTCTTCATCTGGAGCCTCGTGGAATACGGTCTGCACAGATTCTTGTTCCACCTTGATGGGTACGTTGCTTCCCAGTACACACTGGCCTCCGCTTGAAGTCTTTTGCTAACTATGACGCAGCTATCTTCCTGACAACAAATACGGCATAATTGCACACTTCTTGCTCCACGGCATCCACCACTATCTGCCTATGGACAAGTACAGACTTGTCATGCCTCCAACCATGTTCTTGGTGCTCGCAACCCCCTTCTGGTATCTCGCCCACACCCTCTTCGCCTACAACTGGTACGCTGCGACGGCAGTCTACTGTGGCGGCATCTTTGGCTACATCTGCTATGACATGACCCATTACTTCCTTCACCATGAGAACCTGCCTCTCTGGTACAAGGAGCTCAAGAAGTACCACCTGGAGCACCACTTCCTGGAGTACGACCTTGGCTTTGGCGTCACCACCAGATTCTGGGACACTGTATTTGGCACAGAGCTGAAGCCTACTCTGGTCAAGACTAAGTAAGCACAAAGCTTGACACCTGTCTGCTGCAAGCCAAACTTTGTTCATGGGGGCTCGCATCTTCAACATCTTCAAGTCAATTCTTCTTTAAAATTGGTTTGGTTCTTGTTCATAAGGGAGTCGCGGGCTTTGGTTAATCAAGGGAAGAAATCATGGAAAAGAAAACTCCTCTGCCGTCGGCGGAGGTTACACGAGGCCGTTAGTACTTGCTTGTGCTGAGGCAAAACACTTTGATGGCTGTTGATATGAGTTACGGATGAATATTGAAGATGGTTCCCACGACTCGAGGGGAATACAAGGCGACACCAAAAGCCCGGCGATAGGACTTTGTAATACACACTTTTAATTCAATGAATACATATATTTCTACGCCCTCGTCGTTCGCTTGTCAGGATAATCTAGTAGTGTCTGAGGCTGAGTATTGGTGGTATCGTCTCAATACTACCTACCTTACTACTACCTACCTCTAGTAGGTAGTAGTAGGCAGTAGGCTTGAAAGATCTGGACTGGAAACTTTTGCTGCTGACATAAGCGCCGGAATCGCTGCGAAATATGCACTCACGTGACGCCCCTCCCAGCCAAGCGCCCAAGCCAAGGAGAAAGTCTCCGTGCCGCGACCCGAAATCCCAACTTCTCAAGAACTTTGTGGCGGTTGATCTCGACAACGCCCTTCATTTGTCGATTGGAAAAAGTGCACGTACGAGTGAGCATCTGTATGCGCACAACTGATCGCATTCGCTCCCTCTGACCGCTCACCACATCTGCCGTCAAAGCCGAGAGAGACCCTAACCCAAGATTCAACCCAGCAGGGCGCCTCGTCCATCATGTCCAACCTGGACGTTGAAGCACTGCTCGATGCTACGGCTAAGAACCCAGAGCAAAAGCCAAAGAGCCCTGACGCTGAACGTCCCAAAGATGAAGCCAAGTCTGATAGGCGAGATAGAGACTCCGATCGTGACCAAGGCCGAGAGCGTGATGGCAGCCGTGTGAGGGATAGAGACCGAGACTACGACCGCCGCCGCCGAGACCGTCGAGACTACAGCCTCACTCGAAGCCGCCGCGAGACGCCTGATGTGGGCACCCCCCGCAGCGACACTGGCAGTCACAAGAGTAGGCGTAGAAGCAGGAGCCGTGATGATGACCGCCGTCACTCACGTCGCCACAGAGACGGCGATTACTACCGAGGTGGACGAGGTCGCTCGCGCTCCCGTTCACCCCCTCGACACTATCGCCCTCGCGATGACCGCGACCGCCGCGACCGACGAGACCGAGCCGATCGCTACTCCAACGACTACCGTGGTCGAGATGATGACCGCCATGACCGTCGTGACGGAGGCATGGCCCAGCTCACCGAAGACGAACGAGATCGACGCACCGTTTTTGTCCAGCAGCTCGCCGCTCGCCTGCGGACCCGTGAGCTGAAAGAGTTCTTCGAAAAGGTCGGAGCCGTTAATGAAGCTCAGATCGTGAAAGATCGAATCAGCGGACGATCCAAGGGGTACGTAATCATCAGCCAGCCGCTTTGTGTGTCTCTTCTCGTGCACTGCTAACATGACGACAGTGTCGGCTACGTCGAGTTCAAGAGTGAAGACTCGGTGCCGCTAGCCCTTCAGCTTACCGGACAGAAACTCCTCGGCATCCCCGTCATTGTGCAACACACGGAGGCTGAGAAGAACCGTCAAGCTCGCAACCCAGACTCGTCCAATGCGCACCCCAACTCCGTCCCCTTTCATCGCCTTTACGTCGGCAACATCCATTTTAATGTAACGGAGCAAGACCTACAAGCCGTGTTTGAACCCTTTGGAGAACTTGAGTTTGTCCAGCTCCAGAAAGATGACAATGGACGCAGCCGTGGCTACGGCTTTGTTCAGTGAGTCACTGCTCCCCGCTCTCCCTTCTCTTCATCAGAAGCAAAATGAGACTAACTGTCGATAAGATTTCGAGATGCAGGCCAAGCTCGCGAGGCTCTGGAAAAAATGAACGGCTTTGACTTGGCTGGACGCCCTATCCGCGTTGGCCTCGGCAACGATAAGTTTACCCCTGAGAGCACCGCCAACCTAATGCACAAGTTCTCCGGTAACAACCAGGGCTTCCAAGGCTCTGCGTTTTCCGGAGCCGGTGGCCGTGGTCAGCAGTCCACATTCGACCGAGCTGGAGGCCGCGACAGCGAAAAGACGGGCGGTGCTAGCGCTCTCGATGACACAGACGTTGCTGGTGTCAACTTTAACAACTACAGTCGCGATGCGTTGATGAGAAAGCTTGCCAGGACCGACGAAGCCCCGACCAACGGCAACGACGAGCGTCAGCAGATTCTGAAGCCCAAGACGGAGACGAAGCCCCTTCCCGTGAACGTGAACATGGCGAGCCGGTGTGTTGTCCTGCACAACATGTTTGATCCCGCTGAGTAAGTATCAAGATACCGTCTTTTTCGCATATTTCGAAGGAGCCTTCCTTGTGCTAACGGAGGACAACAGAGAGGAGGGCGACGACTGGGTCAAAGAGCTCGAGGACGAAGTTCGTCAGGAAGCCGAAGAGAAATATGGACACGTCGTGCACATCTCGGTCGATCCAAACTCCAAGGGCGACATTTACCTCAAGTTCGACAAGGTCCAAGGCGGCGAAAACGCCATCAAGGGTCTCAACGGTAGATACTTTGGTGGCCGAATGATCGACGCGTCACCTGTTGTAGACGCGGTTTACAGCAGTTTGTTCTCTCGCACCCGGGCAATCTGAAGCTAATGCTTATCCCCATGCACGCTGTGCATCAGTTCTAGGAACCTGGAGGTGGGTCATAACTTGGTTCATCAATACAGCAGCCAAGGATCCCTTGCTAACCCCGTCATTAGTTCTCCCGATGCCACTTGTGCAGTATTCTCGGGACGACTCCTGCTACTCCAGGATAGCGACGAGACGCAGGTTACTCCTTTTGTTCAACCGGTTACTAAATCGCCAAGCTTGTGTTTTTGGTGCAGCAGATCTCTTGAATCCATCGGGGCGCCTTGGTCGCCAGCCATTTGTGCTTTTAATGATGCATTCTAGCAGCTCTATACGGCAATGTCCCACTGATGTTTTCACGCCCAGGGCGGCCATCGATAGTCGTTTCTCAAATCGTTTCATGAATCGTGTAGGATTAGTTTGATACTGTAGCAAATACCAGTCACCCAGAATCACGCCGTACCATTTCTCAATGCATTTCTTGCCAGATTACTGGAACTGGCTAACACGACAGACAAAGAAGCTTGATGACAAGTCAATATGGCCTGCGAGTCTTTACTGAGGACGAGACGGATCGCTGCATTAGAGTACAATGTGATTTGTGCTCATCGTTCTTATATATCTGCCCTTCGCTTGCCGTTCATCCCTCCCATCCGACTCTAGCTTCCGCTACGCCAACCACTTCTCCTTCATACCTTGATATTTCTTCGTAAGTACCTACAATCAATCAACCAATTGAATACCTACCTACCAATTCCCTCGAAGCAGTAATTCGGGTTATTGCACACGTAAGATAAAGTACCTACCTTACTCAAGGCAGCAGGTACGTCACGCCACGTGATGGCAACTCACCTCCGGCTCTCTTTCATCTTCAATCCAGCTTCTCACTTTTCTCTCACTTCTAGCCGACGATCATCCCTGACATTATGCCTACCTTAGACATCGATCGTGCAGCCATTCACGGCATTGTCTTCATCCAGGAGCAACGAAAGTATTTCCCCCTTGCTGTTCTCTTCCATCCTTCTCAATGAGGCACCAGCTACTCGGCTTCTCGCAGCCCGTTTGGCAGCTGTTCAGGAGAAGCCCGCCGGCCGGCAGAAAGCCTGGGCGAGTTGCGGTACCCGCCGCAGAGGAGCGAATAACTTCACTCTGCTCTCACTTCACGCCCGGCTCTGGGTCTCTCCGCCACGTGGCTGTGGGATAATTCTGTTTGTTGTGCGGAAGAGTTTTCAGTCTTTTCGTTATCCTCGCATCTCCCCCTTCTCGTCTGCCTTCTCTTTCTTCCGCTTCTCACTTCACACCCGTCAACACCCTTTGCAGAAGAGAGAGAGTCCTTCTCTTTCGGCAATTCCTCAGCGAGACACTCGCATTTTCCAGTGTATCGACAGTCAACCTCTTTTCAACATTTCAGAATTCTAGTTTTCTCCATTCTACGATCTTCGTGATCTCTTTGCATTTGGCGTACTGGGACAGGCTCTACGGGATTACTGTCCAGAGTCCAAAAAGACATAGTATCCAGGTTTGTCTCTCAGTCTTAGGCTCTCAACGTCGCCCACTTGACACATCATCTGCTCTGCAAGAGTGGCTGCTCCAATCTTTGTCAAACAAACACACTGGCAACTGTCGTTGATGCCGTTTGCGTTTCCACTTAATCGCAGTCTCCATTCACTGGACAATTCACCTCAGGACTGACCCCATCATAGTACAAACGCAGCTTGGGCACATTCGGTTTTTGTTTTGCCAGCCTACTCATCTCATCCCTCAATCCCCCCTTCATTATCATTCTACTCTCTCACTTCGCCGAGTGCGTCTCAAAAGCTCTCGTCACTTCCTCCTCTCCGCAGAGCATGAACTGGGAGGACATTGGAACCCGCAGCATTGAAGCCATCAGCATTGAAGAAGGCTTCAATACCCGTCCCTCGTCCATCAGCCTGACGGAGTCAGGAGTCAAGGAAGCCGCAGAAGTCATCGGGAACATGTTGTCCGTCAACTTCTCCACCCCCCTTGCCGGGCCTGCTCGGTCTGAGCGAATCAAGCAAATGTCTAATAACCACGTAAGTGACTCTGCCTCTCTCATCGTCGTCAGTGACTTACTAGCTTGTCTCCACGAAGCCCGCGTTTGAGAAATCGCGCATCACGCAAGAGATTCTCGTCAAGATACAGCATTCTCTGAGGCGCATGCCTGGCGTGTCTGCCAAGGAATCTGCCGAGATCATCCAGAGTCTCATTGAAGTCGGCCAGGTCATCAGCCAGGAGACTAGCGCACTTGTCGAGGCCGTCATGAATCTCCATCTTGATCAGGAAGATACTGATAAGGCAATTGCTCGCATGAGCATCGAAGCCAACCTTGCCAAAGCCAGAACAGATGACCAGAACCAAACCATCAACAGTCTCCGCGAAGAGCTCAAGGCTGAGAAGGAGCTCAAGGAGCAAGCTGAAGCCGCCTTGAAGAATATGACGGAATGCATCGTGGACATTACCACCGAGTTCAAGCAGTTGAAAGACAAGGCTGACAAGCAGAGGACCGAGTCATCGGGCAACTCCTCTTCGGCCGAGAGCAACGAGATGGTTGTCAAGGTAAGCCGTCCACATTGTCAACTTCTCAGGAGCCAAGTCCAACTGACTACAACTCATCTACTCAGGTCCTTGACAGCACTATCCAGATTTTGGAGGGCCAAGCCAACAAGCAGCGTACGCCTTGGGTCGGGCCCGTGACGACTCGGGCACTTGAGCCTGCCGCTCAGCCCATGCAACCGCCCATGCAGCAGCCCGTGCAGCCGTCTGGCCAACAGACCGGCCAGCAGAAACCCATGATGCCTATCCAGGAGCAGAACTTGGGTGACGGCAGCGTCTTCAATGATGCTCCGGCTCCTCCTGCCCGAGCTGCCTCGGCCTTCCAGCCGGTCCATCGCCCTCCTCTCCCCATGGGACCGCCGCCGCCCAAGTTTGGCCAGTATCAGAACATGCCTCCGCGGCCCCCAACCGCCATGCTCCACGAGCGCCGAACGGCCAATGCGTGGAACCTCGTCGCGCCTCCTCACGGTGGCAGACCGGGAGCCTTCAACAAGCCCCCCTTCACTGGCCCTCCCTATGGCCGAGCTCCTTCGCGCCAGGGATTCCAGAACAATCACCAGTTCCGACCCAACAACTTTCCGCAGTCTGCGTTTGCTATGCCCGAGAACCCTCCTCCTAGGCCCAGCAGCGCATTCGCATATGGTCGAGACTTCTTTCCTAACACCCCAACAGGTCCGGCTCGTGGCCGATACAACGGCCGCATGCGTGAGAATGCTGCGATGCCACCGCCCCCTCCGCTTGACTTTGGCGCCTCCTCGTCGAGCGGCTCGACCTCCGGCCCCTCGACCTCGCTCGTCAACCGCAGCCCCTACTCGGGTCAGCCGGCGCCGGTCACCATCACGGAGCAGACTGTCCAAGTCTGGAATGGATACATGATGCACTTTTACGCGGCCATTCGCAACTTTGTCGAGCGCCATGCTAACAACCCCGATGTCACGGGCGAGACGAAGCTGAGCCAGACTCACCTCTGGCCCATCCTGCTGGCCACGTACTATCCCCTGTCAGAGCAAGAGGCCGAGTCGTACCTCGAGTTCCACGTCCGCAGCGAGAACTCCAAGTCGTGCATCGTCACTCGCGTCATCATCGACTTTGTCGTGAACCGCGTCTGGAACCCCAGCGCCTGGGCTGGCGCTGATGCCGACTCTACCTATGCCATCATGGAAGTCGAGCGAGACCTGGATCGCACCGCAGGTCATGAGCCCCCCTCACCTCTCTCTATTTCCCCCTTGCTGAACTCAAGCTAACACACTCCTCCAGGCCAACCATCCGTCGTCCGCCAACCCATCCTTGACCGCATGGCCACCGTCATCGAGGCCGTTGTCAAGAAGGAGCAGGGCGGCCCCTTTGTCAAGAACAAGATTGACGAGGCCACCCACACGCTGCTGGCCAGCCTGCAGCCGCTCATGAACCGCTTCTACAACACGGCCGACGCCTTCCGCGACCTCGAGCAGGTCATTGACAGCGCCTACGAGATCTCGTGCAAGATCCTCACCAGCCGCCTCACCTTTGACTTCCGCTTCCCCGAGATTGGCAGCCGCTTCTCGTCGCAGTCGATGCTCCCCATCTGGCCCAACAGCGACCCGCTCGAGCTGCAGGCCAAGCACTGGCGCGTGGCGCTCGTGACGACGCCTGTCGTGACGTGCCGGAACGACACCGGATCGAACATCTCGGCGCACTCTGTCTCTCTGGCGGATGTGTTTTGCATGCAGTGAGAAGACTCAGTCGTTGGAGGATCCAGACAGGATGGAGAGAGTGGAAGAGACTGTGCCTCATGATCGAGATGACTTACTGAACAGAAAAGAACGAAGAAAGCAGTAAAGACACAAGAAAAAAGAATCACTTGCAAGAGAGTGAAGACACGAGACGACACGAGGAAAGTTGGGTCAGGGCACTCTATGGCTTTCTTTTCTTCTTTCCTAATTTGTGGTTCCTTATTGGTTTTCATTGCGTCTTTTTATTTCATTCCAGTCCATCACATTTCGACTTTGAGGGTACTTCAACACCATGTCGCCGGTTACAGGGCTTGGTAGTCCTCCGGTTTCTTCCCCCTTTCTTCGTCGTGGTCGACTTAGGAACAAGTGAGGGTTCTAGCAAGCACCGACGGAGATATACCGGAATCGACAACATGATTGCAACAATGGCAAACACAGGGTTCTGTTTTCTTTTTTTCACTCTCTTCCCTTTTCTGAATGTTACCGTCTGGACACACGTGGGATAATGAGCCTAGCATAGGCAGATAGTCAAATCAATCCACTCAGTAAGAGCACGTACTTTGCAAGCAAATATTGAGGCGCAAGCGCGCACGTAAGTATCCAAAGGTGACACATTGATTCTCTAGACTTTGCCGCCCCGACGCCGTGATGGATCTCCATCGTCTCCATCTTCAAAGTCAGCCGGAACACCGCTATTCCTCCTCTATTTAGGTACCTAATTCACCATACCGAAATGTAAGACGGCCAACCCAACTACATATCAAAAGTCCATACTGGTGAGTCAAGCGGCCAGGAAATTGTGTACCAATCGCCTCACCCTTCAACCTGTGGAGCTCAGAAAGCCAGGTACAACCCATAGCAAGGATCTCCGACCTGGTTTTTGAAATCACTCTCAATACTGCCATGATCCTCAAGACGGCTGCCTATCCAGACGACGAACAACGCCGCCGAGAACAGTCTTGAGAATCGTCTTCTCATTGATCCTCTTGAACCACTGTCCAGCAAACCCACCCCAAGTCACCGTGTCCACCATGTCCCGGATGCCATGCCTCCTGAGCTGATCATCCAAGTCCTGCAGCCACTCCTTGGCCTGGCTGCTGTTTCCCACCTGAAAGAACTGTATGCCCACTTGATGCGACGGGGCACCGAGCTGGTCGAGCCTTCTGGCATACTTGACAATGACTTCTTCCGGGTCCACCGTCGCCTCGCCGTCGGTGATGACAATGATGTTGACGGGCTTGACATGTTCGCCGGTGATCCTGGCCTTCTCGAGGCTCATGACGTACGGCTCGAGAATGTCGTTGAGCCTCGTCCCCGTAGGCGTGCCGCCATTGGGAAAGGCTTCTTTGAAGATGCGGTCGACTGTCGCAGTGTCGTTGATGTTGTAATACCCACCCTTTGCTTTGTTATCCGCCCTCGGTCCCAGCTCTGCCCGGTTTCGGTGATTCAAAAAGTACACGTCGATGCCGTCCTTATCGTAAGCGGTACAAATGGGCGCGATGGCACAGAGGACCTTTTGGACGTCTTTCCAACGGCTGTCGGCCTCCATGGACCTGGAGTCGTCGATGACGAAGACGGTGTCAAAGTAGGCCAGGAAGGCATGCGGAGAGTCGGCGTTTGTGATTTTGTTCTTGAGAGAGTTGATCCGTGCAGAGGTCGAAGCTTCTTGAGAGTAGGCCGGAGGCGCATCTTCTACCGCGGCATCTACAGGGAGAAAAGAAAAGAAAACATCAGCATTGTGATATCCAAAACTCGGTTCACTCAGCCAAACTTGTCCCCGAAGTATGACATTTCGCGAAAGCAGCAGGTTGGGGTCATTGAAGATTGACAGAAACACACCTGAAAACGGATTCTTCGAGCCCATGGCTTGATCGCTCTTTTCATTGCCAGCGGAACCCTGACTCCGATCCCTTTCCCCATCCTTTGGTGTGCGAGAGCCCGTAGACTTGGATCTGCTAAAGAAGGGCATGCTTTCTGTGGTATGCTAAGCCGACACTTATTCCGAGCTTCTATATATTGGCGGGATATGTAGAGAAGGAGTAGAAGATGTTGGTGGTCTGATGGGAAATTTCGTGGGCGAAGGCTCCTTGATAAATGTTGCTGTTTGTCTGGTGTCTGCTTGAAAGGAAATCTCAAATAATCCTATCCTTAAAGAAGAGAGCTTTATGAGTCAAGGCAACGGCGGCTGGAGGGAGTTGCGCAAAAAAAAAAAAAAAAAAAAAAAAAAAAAAAAAAAAAAAAAAAAAAAAAAGAGCAGCAAATGCAAGAAGCCGTGCCTTCCTTTGTTCAGAAAGCCGCCAAGGTATGGCAAGAGCAACTCGCCACCTTTTTCCAAGCCTCAGTGATCGAGTCAAAAAAGAAGGCAACAAGTTTGGACGTGGCGATCTGAATTTGGAAATTGAACAAACAATGGCACCAATGAGAAACTGAGAATGCTCTCGAGCTTAAAGTTATTTGCCTGTTGTTGCTTTCTTTTGCGTTACCGCCAATTGGATGGCAAATATTGAGCATACAAGGTATATATATATATATATATATATTATATATATAGATACCCAGATGCGTTATTCGCCATACCCTTTATAAACCTTAAAGAAGACTGTTTTCTAACACAACACGTCTCAACTCCTCTCTGCCCTGCCCGCGCGCCTTTCCTTGCGCTTCGAATCGGATATGCCCCAATCAAGACGTCATGCCGTCCACAAACACACAACATTGCCCCGAGCTGACCCTTTAATTCCAGAGCTTTGATCGCCAAGAAGCCGTGTAGATATCCTTAGGCTTTCTCAACCTTGAAGTCTTACAGCCGCGGTTAAAACACATGTACCTGCTCAGGAAGAACTCCCAGATGGAGTCTGGTTAGCAATCTTAAAGTTTGTCTTGGCAGCAGCCCATCACCGGATCTGGCTCCAACAGGGCTGGGGGTGTCAAGGGTGTGTGAATGTGGGCTTTTCTCTATAACTGGTTTAGCTCCTTAGCATCACCCCCCGCCAAACTGAGATCCGCCAATCTGGAACAACGAGGCTGAGCTGGAAAAGAAGTTCTAGTACTCGTGGCGCAGCAGGGGGGCAGTGGTGGCTTGTTTACTACTAGTGAGATAAGCGACTTCAACATTGCTTCCACCAACAACGCCTTGCAAGGCAACCTTGCAAGGCAGCCACGCATACCTAGTAATACCAGAGACTCTCAGGGACAATTGTCAGAAACGGATGGTGATGGAACATGCGACCCCTCCCATAGATCGATCTAGACCGTTTATGCGGCCTGCTCACATTCGAGAAGGAATCTGTCCCCCCTTGCCTCGTCTAATACACAAGCGTCCTAGACGAGTGGCTTCCCATGCATCAGATGCTTTAGCAAGATCCCAAGGAACTGGTTGTATGGAGATGGTTCCCTGGGCTGTCCTTGTGATATCGTTGAGATCACTAAGTTCCCCGCATTCATCAGCATGAGCGGAAGCACGTACCGAGCAATACGAGCATGTATCAGGTCCGTCAACGGTGAGATGAAAGGCGAGCCAGGAGGCTGAGGCGCAAGGCTGATCAACGCCTCGGCACTGCTTCCACCCAAGGTCTCATGGCTGTCACATCCGACTTGTCTCAAACAGTATGTTGTTCATTCAAGGCGCTACATGTTGGCTTCGCAGATGCTCATCATCCGCCATCGGTTCGGCCATCTGACATCCCCAATCTTCTCATGGTTCATCATTTTTCGTCATGCGTTTCCCACAGCCTCCACCCCACATCCAAGATACTCCCACCACCGTCTCTAGTTCTCCGAACCTCGCCTTTGCCCCTCCGTGTCCGCGGTGGAGGGTTCGGTCAAAGGTGCTGTTGCCTTGATGGGGCAACTTTCAGCGTCCGAGGCTCACCTTGCCTAACTCAAGTGTCGTATTGTTTTGCCAATTTAGGCGGATCGCTTGAACCTGGGGCGAGGAAAAATAAGGTTAGCTAATGGACGACCAGAAAGACTGCCTAGGGCAAACCATACTTGTTGACCACACGCTCGATTCCGTCGAGGCCGAGCTTCAGGACATCCATCCTGGGACCATATGACAGACGCACAAAGTGGTGGCACGGGCTGTCAAAGAGGTCACGTCGTCGAGAGGGGTTCAGGTCGAAGAAGATGCCGGGAACAACAATGACCTTTTCTTCCAGACAGGCCTGGAAGAAGTTGAGGCCGTCGGAAATGGCATCGGGGAGGCCCTCGAGGTTCAGCCACCTAGTCAGTCAGGGTTAGCTCGATGCTGCGCAACACAAGCCCGGATTGGCGGTTTGTCATACAGGTAAAAGGTAGAGTCGGGGACGTATTTGATGGAGAAGCCCATCTCACGCAGACGTCGAACAGTGTAGTCTCGCTTGTCCTAATGACCAGTTAGAATGCATCTTCAAAGGCTCTCGTGTTCTGGTGGGACAAACTCGGAAGTGGCGCTGCAGGTGAATCATCTCAGTCTGCACCACGCTTGGCTCGAGCATGGGAATGGCAGCCTCCTGAAGGGCGTGCACAGCACCTCCATCCAGGTAGCTACCGCATGAGCCGATACTAAACAGCCTGTTAGTGGCACCGTCTCTCAAGGCACAGAATTCATTTAGCCAGGTAAACATACGCGCTAATGTACTCTATAGAAACACAAAAAGTCAGTATGGTGGTCCAGTTATGTTTCATGATCGGATATAGTCTCACCCTTCGGTCCAATGATCCACGCAATACGCCATCCGGGCAGTCGGAAGCGCTTGGTAAGGCCATCGATAATCAGGACATCGTCCTCGTCAACATCCTCGACGTTCTCGGCGGCCGAGATGGTCGTACCATCGCAGTTGCTGGTGTAGTTGTATCCAGAGTAGAACTCGTCACTGATAAAGGTGGCGCGGCCTCGGCAAAGATCCTGAATCTCGGCCAGCTCCGGGTTGGCAACGACTCGGCCGGTAGGGTTGCGGGGGTTGGAGGTAAGGATGACGGAGGTACCACGGGCGATTTCCTCGGCAATCTTGTCGGGGTGGATGTGGTAGCCGTCCTCTTCGGAGAGGGGCACGGGGATGGCCGCGAACTGTACCACATATCAGCCAAATCTGCCCAGGTTGTCATACACAACCCGTCAAAAATCCAACAAAGACTCACGTTCTTGAACAGACTCAGCATCTCGTTGTACGCCGTGTAGTCGGGCAAGAAAAAGGACAGATAGGAGCTGCCCAGGACGGCGGCAATTCGAATCAGACCGGCACGGCCACCGGGCACGATGGCAACGTTCTCCCAGGTGTACTTGCTTTCCTTGCCCTGGCGGTGCATCTCGTTGTAGAGCTTGGCGACGGCCTCTCTCAGGGGCTTGATGCCGGCCGTGGGACCGTACTCGCGCGCCGCTACGCTGAGGTTGATGGTCTCTGGTCGCTTGAAGCAGCCGGCAATGTCGTCCTCGACCTCGGGAGCGCCCTGGCCCAGGTTGGCCCACGCCTCGGGCTCATCCAGGAAGCCGTACTCGCTGGCGCGCTCAGTGCACCAGATGACACCGGTGGACGATCGGCTAGCGTCGAGGCCGGCGTGGGGCATGTGGCCTTCGTGCGCATTGCGGAATTGTCTGTGGACCTTGGATTGGATCTCTGCAGGAAGGCATCTTGGTCAGCTTTTAGTCATGATAGAGAGGCAGGGCTGGTTGTTCTCATTCAGGAGATGTGAAGGGATTCCCGTCGCGATGTCGCAGTGGCTGCGCTGGGCTAAACGCTGCGGGGGAGGGGTAAGGGGTAATCGGGCTTGGGAGTTGGGGTTGGTTGGGTGCATGTTGTTGTATGGCGGGGTTTGACAGGAGAAACTCTCCAGCCACCGCCCGCTCTCCAACAGAGGATTGCCTCCATCGTGAAAGAATATGTTCAGAGGCAAACCCCCGAGATATTGGGGTCAAAGGCATCTTGTAGGGACTCGCGATTGAAAAAGCGCAGGGGCAGGTATCGCGTCCATCGCAGCGCGCAGACCGCCCGTGGATTGTATGTAGAGAGGCCTGGACTAACCATTCATCGACGGCTCGACGTTGCTGAAGCGTCGCAGAAGCGGCTTCGGGGCGCCAGTGTGGCGGTTGATGGAGAACTTGCGTCCGGAGAACATCTTGGCGGTTCGTCAGGCTGAACAACAGGAAACAAATCGATCAGTATCTTCTCTGCTCGCAACAATGGGAAAAGGAATTGAGTTTTTGAAGCGAACCAACCTCTTGGGGAAAGAAAAAAAATAAGGAGACGAAACTCGGTCTGCGGAAAGTAGGACGGCGTCGGAAGAACGGCACGACTCAACGTCACTCAGCGAGCACAGGCCAGAAGAAGCAAGGGAAGCAGGAAAGATGCCTGAACTCCTGAAGCGGACGCGCAGCTGGAAGCCCGTAGCAAACAAGAACAACTTGCAAGAGAAAGAAGAGAAGAGAGACCAGGGGAAAAAAAAACTAGATGCGGACGGAACCTATCTTTCTAGGGCGTCACCGCGATGCATCGACCATAAATAACACGGCGTAAATCCTGAAAAGCCAACATAACGGGGCAACTAGAGCACTCGGGATCCGCTAGCAGCTCTCCAGATGACCCCTCTTGGGCTGCGTGAATGCCCCCCCAAAAGAGCCACAGGGCCCCTATTTAGCAGTCTCGCAGGTGGAGAGGCCGCTGTTGGACTGCCAATCCCGGCGGCCGTCTGGGCACCAACCGCGACAATCGAAAAACGAGGGGCACCGATTTGCGGGACGGCATGGCCGATGGGACGCAGGATCGCCGGACGAGGACAAATCACGAACCAGAGGGTTTGGACAAGGCCGAATCTCTCAGTGTAAGACGATGATGATGGGACGTTAACGGCACAGATAGCCGGTCTTGAGGCTCTGCAGCATCCTCATTCGACATCGTTCCATTTGCTCAAAGAAAACAAGATACAAGAAACAGACTCGACGCAGCCATCAGGGTGAAAACGAGCAGAGAAGCATGGGCTTTCCTGCGCCTTTGTGTTGAGGCTATTCCCACCACCCCCGTATTACACACATGTACAGTACCTATTACTTCCCCCTCACTTCTACAGAGCTGCATACGAGTTGATCACCGTCACTGTGAAACGAATCCTACCTTACTTTCTTGCATACTCTTACTATGAGTAGTAAAATCCCCAGCGGTGGACACTGCGCATAGCTGACCCTGCAGCAGCTGCGCAAAGCAAGAAAGCACTGGACAATGCGAAAAAGGAGCGGTGTCCAGGAATGCTTCCCATTGATCCGTTCTACTAGGAAGTATTACCTCGTTCCGCGGTTGTCGAGAAGACGAGTAAAAGACCTCAATCTCGGGACTTTTGAAGGGTTTCACAAAGGATGTTGATTGTGAAATATCCGACTAGTAATAAAGCCCTTGTTTGATTACTGCCGTAGCATTTCTTGTGATCAATGCAGCCGGGTTCTGGAGGTTGTGATACGAAGCACGACAGTGAGGGGAAAATAGCGTTCTCCTCCACACATTGCGTCCTTGGGGGCCATGGACAAGCAGCATGTCATTGTCGATCGCGGCGAACTTACATACATTACCCGGATTCAACACACCAACCTGAGCACACGGGATTCAGCCCCCAATTGCTGCCTCTGTTGCTCCAAACATCAGCTCGAGCAAGCCAAGATCTAATGGCGGCAACCATCGAAGCCACCTCTACTCTCACATAAGGTACTATCCCGAACTCTACCGTCCCCTGACTCCCTCGATGCTCTTTCCGTCCGAAGGCCCTTGCACAACCGCAGCTCCATCAGCTAAGCCCCGAACCGGAAACATTTTCAAGACGGGACCCAACATCAGCAGTAGAGACTCCGAGTCGCTAGCTCGGGCGCATTGAACGTCTCAAACACAGCACACTGGACGAAACAAAGGATAAAAGCCCCCCCGGGAGGTTCGCAAGCGGGGCGACAAGTCAATAAGGGGGGAATTGGTTGACCGAGGTTAAGAATACGTTACAAATGTTTCCATTGCCTTGTAGACGTTACCATCTATATAAGTAATTGATATCTATGTCTGTTGCAGCATTGATCCTTCAAGAGGTTGTGCTCGCAGTGTGTCCCTACGCAGTATCTAGAGATATCAAATGAATCGTGTCACTACGGCATCGACTACCGAACAGAAACTAAGAAGGACGCTTTTACGTACAATAGCGTAGGACGCGCAAAGAGCCGGGGAAACTACTAGAAGCCGTCTTCTCTATTCTACCCGTAATTCTAAAGACGGCCAATTACACCTCTCAAAGAGGGGTCCAGTCTCTTGAGAGAAAATTCCCACTCCATCTAGAGAACCACAAAACGCATCATCATTGTGATATCCAAAAAGACGCAGAATAAGCTTCAAGTCCTTTCTGGAAGATTTGATATTACTACCTAGTAGAGGCACCTTATCTACCTACCTACCTGCCTACCTGTAAGTGACCAGTCACAGGCACTCAAAATGTGCGGCGCATCGGCACTTTGATCGAAAATCCAATCTAACCGAACCTTCTAGCTGCGTCTCCGCACCCACCACAGCTCAAAACATCCATTGCAACGACGCGCATCATCATACAGACCTTACTCACAACTCAGAAAAAGAAGCATCAGGTCATCAACATTGATATAACCCTCCAACAAACCTCCCACAACATCTCCTCCCTCCCTCCTCTCTCCCTCTCTGCAATCCAATGCTCCGCCGCACCATCCTCACCAACATCTACCGCACCTTCAACAAGCCCTCTCACAACCACCACCAAATCAGCCGCTTCTCAACAACAACACACACACGCAAAATGTCATCCAACCCTGAACAACAACAACAACCACCATCCTCATCAAACGACTCAACCTCAACCCAATCAACCTCAGAATCCGGAGGCGTCCCCCGCAACGCCCTTCCAGCCCCAACCCCAGACGACAACGTCCAGACGCTCGACGTCAGCGGCTCCGGCTCAACCGTCAAGCTCGACGCCCTGGGGCCCCTCGTCGTCAACGCCGACGGCACAATGTCCCGGATCGCCAACTGGGACAAGATGGCCCCCATTGAGCGCGAAAACACCCTCCGCATCCTCGGCAAGCGGAACCAGGAGCGCCTCGCCGCCCTCAGAGAGGCCCGTGGCATCAGCGAGGGAGGCAATGACAGCATAGGCGCTAGTGGCAATCACGACACTTCAGGCAAACAATAGAACATGAAAGTCAGGGGAGAGAGCTCATGGTATATATATATCTGTAAGAATGGAGAGTGCAAGGACATTGATCATTTCGTAATGAATATAAAATAAATCGCCATTTCCACATATCAAGAGCCCGTTTCTTTTACTCTGGCCCTTCTAGCGTCCACCACATCTGGATATATGCCCACGTATAAATAAGCAAGGACTGCCGACCCAAATCCCGCCGCCGACCACCCAGCCTCGTCCACTTCAACCCCAGATTTGGGTCATTTATTCCCCATGACCCAGATCTTCCCAGGGCAGGGACAAAGCTCCCATGCGAATAAACATTGCAAAACGCCAGTAACCAAAACAACGCCCCCCGCCTCTCTCACGCCTTTGTATCAGCGTCGCATTATATGGAGCTTCAGAAAACCAGTCGAAATGAGTAGCGATATTTCATAAGCTCATTTTGGTTCTTCATCGCTCATCTTTGAGCTTCTCGCCGCTACTTGACTCGGCGGGAGTGGCCTTGGCCTTCTGGCTGGCGTGCTTGGTGAACTCCTTCCACAGCGCGACAATGTCCTCGCTTCCCTCGTTCTTCTCGACCAAGAGGTTCTTCAGCCACTTGTTCTCCGTCTCGAGCTGGGAGACCTTGCTCTCCAGGTTGGCGACCTTGTCAGACATTTCCTTGGCGGACTTTTCGAGAGCCTGCTCGCGCTGCTTCTTCTTGATGCGGAAACGGGCGCTGGCGGCCGTGTTCCTCCTCCGCTTGTCCTCCTCGGCAGCAATCCGGGCAGCCTCCTCCTGGCTCATGGACTCGGACTTGCGCTTGTCGCCGACCTGCGGGTGTGCCTGGGGGAAGCGCGCATGGTGAGGAGGCACCGGGACATGGCCGTGGTTGGGCTGCAGGGGCTGGAAGGCCTGGTCCGGGAAGTTGTTCATGTGGGGCGCGGCATATGTGTTGTTGTTGAAGTCTGGGAAGGTAAAGTCTGATGACACCATCGATGGTTAGCGACTTTGATCAAGGCCAGCCAGCAGCGTCGGATATGTCGCGATGTCGCTCGCGCCAACACTGGAACGCGGACGGAATGGGTAGCCAAGGTGAAGGGACGGGACGGGACGCAGCAGGACGGCAACATGACGGGTATACAGAAAGGGGATATAGGCGCCGCGGCATCCATGGCCGCTCGCAATGCATCGCCCGGCCATGGGCCAAGGTTGCATTTGGAGATGATTGTCAAAATCACGAGGTATTGCACCATCGCCGGGCCATTTGTCAGCGCATGCGAGGTGCGGGATGCCCCACATCAGGGACGCTTCAGCAGCACTTTTGCGTGCATCGCATCCATCTTTTTGGAGACAGCTCGTCCCAATGGCAGCGGCGCGGGTGAGGAAGAGTAGGTATGGTGGGGGGGGGAGCAGAGCAGCAAGAGGATCAAAAAATGCAAGGGCCCGGTGAATGGCCCGCGAGCCTGCGGAGATGTTGACACAGCGTGCCGGGCAGCGCTAGGTGCGCGGGTTGCTGCAAGAGGGAAAAGCCAGGGTCTGCTTCCTCTCCCGTCATAAAGAGGGTGGAAGAAACAGACCGTGAGAGATGATAGAACGAAGAGAACGACAAACAATACACCAGCAGGCAAGCGTAGACGCGAAAAAAAGCATAAATGTCATAACTCACCAGACATGAAATCCAGGTTGGGGATTTCACCAATGACTGAGGGCGCTGCGCTGACATCCTCGGATGCGGTGCCGCTGTGGAGTGCCTTGCCCTCGGGCTTGACGGGTTGGGCCTGAGCCTGAAAGTCGGTGTTTCGGCCAGAGTCGATGTCGAAGAACTGCGTGTTGGTGAAGATGGCCAGGTCCTCCTCCAAGGCGTACGGCTCCTCGAGGCCGGTGGTGTCTCCAGGGCTGATGGTGTTGAGGTCGCGGAGGTACTGCGACACGTTGGGACCGTGTCGTCCGTTGTAGTTGGACATTGTGACTGCGGTTCTTTTCGTCAAGACGATGTTCAGACGAGGTTCGTCACGGACTGGCCGTGCGTCGTGGTCTCGCAATCGTGGGAATTGATGCGTCGACGCTGCGAGACGGTGTGTAAAAGCAAGGGCACGGCCGGGAAGAGCGCCTCTACAGTTCGAGATCGAATGCTGTCTGTCGTGTAGGTATGCTTGGAAGCTGCTGTCGGGAAGCGAGGCGATGCAGAGAACTCTCTTCAACGTTATGCTGCGATGCTGGGCCGTCTGCGGGATGTCCGTTCGATGAGGAAGTGCGTGACGTCGAAATGGCGACAATGGGGGAAGGAATATGTTGGAGGAAGAGATGCTAAAGGCGACTGGTAGCGAGATCGCAGGGAGCCATGGATTTGCCTGGATCGGGGTTATGACTCTCCAGCCCTCTGTGTGGAGATTTTTCTTCCTCCTGCCCGCCAGAAATGCGTGCAACGTGCCAGCTAACCGACCGGTCGCCGACAGTGCCAGTGGGCCTGGAGGGGCTTCAGAGGGTCCAGAAAGGGCCTTTTTAGCGCCTTGCACAGGCCGTGCTGAGAAATCAATCAGCTGGACGCCCCACCGCCGTGACATGCCTTTTGGCTGCGCTCCAGGCCGGGGCGCGAGGTACCTGCGGAGGGCCAGCAAGAGCGCGCTGCCTCTCAGTGGTTGGGGCCCCAAGGTGTGGACGCCCACAGCGCCTTCGACGCCTGGAGAGCCGGAGACTCCCCACCCTGCTGCAGCCAGTCAGAGCGGCCGCAGTGGCCGTATCGCTCCAACCATTTGCTCATTCGGTTTGTTAAGAATATGGGCAAAGTGAGGGACGAACGACAAGCCAGAAGTCGCCACACGGGGCATGGCGTTGCCATTGTTATCTCTGATACTGTGTCCAGTCCCCAAGGGCGGCGGGGTGTTTGCATGTGCAGGCGCGGGTACCTGTACGGTGCTCCATCGCGCGGGCTGCAGCTCCTGCGCCGTACCCGGTACCTGCGCGACACGGCCGTTATTGACGTCGACGTTACAGTACCTACAGCGCCAGCGATCCGTACGCCTCTGTTGGAACCTGTTTTCTTTTCTAGAGTCTGCTAGTATTGCTGATCACATCGTGAAGATCGGGTCATAGACTGCCTCCACCGTCTCGTCAGTGGCCGAACGTGCTGCATGAACGGACAGTGCGGTGACCAGCCAACAGGCAGGTTCAACACTGTCCTTGTCGCTGTGCCGCCCAGTCGTTTGACTCGCACACAATCCGGGCAATTAAACGCTCACCGTGCCATTCGACTCCAGTCAACCTTGAATCCAGTCCAATTTCCATCAGCGGCCCCAAATTCTCCCGCAAAGACACGCGGTTTCTTCCCGTAAACCCCCCTTCTTCCCCTTCTCCCCCTTCTCTCCCGCCGACAAATGCGTGGGGGCTCCAGCATTTTCCGTCCCGTCTCCCTCGTGGTCTTACTGCCTCGGGACTCAATAGCCCTTGTTCTCAGCCTCAGCCAACCAACCAAGTCGCCGCGGTTCACGAGCTTGCAGAATGCAGAATTGGCGCTGCTTCCGCCCACCCCGCTAATTCTCTGATACGACGCTGCGACTCTGCAACTCGCCGGGTTCCAGAGACTTGGACTTTGCCCTGCTTTGCCTGGAGGGACGGCCGTTGGTTTCGCATCACGGCTAGCCGAGGACAGCTTCCGACTGTTATGGATACCTATTATTACTCGTTGTCTCCCTGTTGATGAATATTACCGCATCCCGCCTTGGGCTATTATCACACCTGAAAAGATGCCGCCTTGCTTACTTACTATTACTACTGGTGCTGACACTGATACTGTAGCAATATGACATAGAAGTCCAAGCAGTTGTGGTTCATTCACATACTCGTGCTTATACATACATAGAGAAAGCTGCCGTCGCTTCGGATGCGGTTCAAGATTCTCAGGATCGCCTCCCGTTTAATCCTTGTCTCGGCTATTGGAAGAGCCCTTCGGAAGGCCAGGGTGTCGATTCCCAAGTCCCTTGCCTCGCCGGCTCAGCAGCCTGCATAAAGATGCCACCGCCCACCTTCAATTGGTGCGTTCGCGCGTGGCCAACGGAGAAAAATCTCGCCATGTGATGCCGCTGTTGGCCGGCCGCTGCACGTCCAAGCACGCAAATCAGGGTCGCATCGTCAAAGACGCAATCACGCAACCGGCTGGTTTGGGGGCCCCTCTGGCGGCTGCCTGAAGCCCTGGGTTCACCGTGACTCTCTGGACGTTGACTGGCTGCGACGATGTCTCGGGACGGCCAACATGCTCCGCGAGTGCAAGCCCTACGGGGCCCAGGTCGGGTTGGGTATAGTCGTCGTTGAGGAGGCGAATCAGCGCATACGTGTACGAGTAATGGGAGATGCGACGGCTTGATATTCTTCTTGTTGGCCGTGCCATGTTGCGGCTTGGACCTCCGAAGATGGGACGAAATCAGCTGTCAAGACCGACGGCTCTCCTGACCAAGACAGACTACCATTATGGACATTGCACGTGAGGAGAGGTAGGGCTGGTATCAATTTAGGTAGGGAGTGAAGACATTCGTTAGCCACATGCTCATACAAGCTATACCTCTGCAGCCTGTATGAGTACAGCATACCGCCAGCATTTGGCGGACACAGCTCTAGAAATATAGCACTATTGCGATCTCAAGCAGAAGACAGGATGCCAATCTCAGATGTCTATTCCAGCTTTTTGGGACAACTCTCAGGCTGCAAGTTCTAATATACAGACAAGTAGAAAGGAAACTCGGATGACATTAGAAGGGAAAGCAAAAGGAGCCGCTCAAAAATTACAGAGTCACAAATCTGACTGTTGCTGTCCCCCATATCAAAATCAGAAGCAAACCGAAACACTCCACACCTCCAGCCATCTTACAGCAGCACGGCAACACCCTGAGCATTCTTGCTGGCGCCCAGTCCCTTGAGCTGAAAGTGCTGAACCTGCTTCTTGGTCACCACATCCATCACGGTCACGGCCGGCAGGGTGGTTCCGTTGCCGGGGCTGAGAGCGTAGACGAAGCTGCCCGCAGCACGGATGTCAATCAGGCCGGGGTCGCCGTTGTTGAGGTCTGTGATGGACTGGATGCTGGCGTCGGTCAGAGACACCTCGACGATGCGGTTGACGGCGACGTCGGTGACAAAGGCAGTGTTTGTCTCGGGAGAGATGGCCGCCCAGCACGTCGCTCCCTGGCCGTCGATGGTGGCCTTGCCCTTGATGCTCGCAGCACCCGTCTTGGCATCAACCGACAGCACCGCAGCGCCAAAGGCAGCGTCCGTGACGAAGAGATCGGATGATCCCTGAATAGCGGACGAGCCGAAGAGAACAATGCTGCCGTCCACCTGCGTCAGCTTGCCCTCCTCGCTCACAGTCGCAGCGCCCCGTCCGTTGCAAGGCGGCTCAACCCCAAAGACGCCCAGGACGCCCTTGGTGTTGGCGGTAGGGTCGCCCTTGACGGTGGCAAAGAGCGTCTCTTCGTCTGCGGAGAAGAAGACCTGGGAGATGGTGTTTGGGGGTCCCACGGGCGGCGTCGTCTGGTTCAGTCCGATGGGGCGGAGCTGGTCCATCTTGCCGATGCCACGCGAGGAGAAGGGGGCGCAGGAGATGCCCGACTTGGCGCCGGTTGCTCCCACGCAGACGAGCTGGTTCTTGGCCGATGCCGCCACGGTGGTCGGGAAGTCGCCGGGGATGGCGATGGGCTTGCCCAGCATGGTGAGGCGGGTCGGGTTCTTGGGGTCAATGGCAAACATGGTGACTGTGTTTGAGCCGGCGTTGACGGCGAACAGGTTCTATAACGAAGCATGTTAGCGATGGCTTCGTAGGGGTCATATGGCTGGTGAGTCCTCCTTCACTTACGTTGCCAACAACAGTCAGGGCGGACTGCGAAACCAGAGCATCGGGAGCAGCAGGCGCCGTGGTCTTGCCGCTCGCAGTCAGGGCATTCGATCCCGAGCCGCCGGTTGGAGTGCTGGTTCCCTGGTACAGCAAGCCGTCGCTGCCAATGGGCAGGGCGATGACGCTGTTCTGCTTCTCGTTGGTGATGGTGTAGATGGCCTTGCCGGGCTTGACGGGCGGAGGGCAGGCGGACGGTCGGGCTGAGGCATCGGGCACCAGGTTGGCCAGGCCGAGGAGGAGCAGGGATGTCCACGTGGAGGAATGCATTGTGAGAAGCTTGGTTGATGAAGATTGTCTGGTTGGGCAATGGAAATAGGGTGTATAAATGCAGAGGTGATGTTGTGGAGGCGTCAAGGACAAGTCAACTGCCAGAGTTGCTTAATGTCAGACTTGGTAATTTGAGGTGATTAAAGATGAGCTGAAGAGAAAGAGAGAGAGAGAGAGAGAGAGAGAAGTTGTTGATTGGAATGATCCAGCAACTGATATCGGCTTCGTCGCCCCTACTTATACACTTCTTCCCACGATGCCTCCTCAACTCCTGTCTCCCTCCCCCCCCAAAGACTCCACGGCCATTTCCGCGTCTCCAATGAACCGGTGCCGTGCAAAGCGAGTCCGACGTTTCCAGCACTCGTCAACAAGCAAGATAGTGCCATTTCTCCCCCGGAAGCTGTAACGCAACCTCCTCTCCAGAAACACACGATAGCTCAGGAACGAGGCTCCTCATGAGGAATCTTTTCGCATCTCCACGAGCTTAATCTCAGAACGTCGATAATCAGAATTTCCTATTCGGGCATAAGACGGGACAGGGGTCTGAAGCACAAGCATCTGATTCGGGGACTGACGCAACGGGAGGGTGGTGCCATTTCCTGTTTGGGACATGGGCGATGGGCAAGGCAAGGCCTTTGTTCGGATCTGTGACACGGAGGATCGGGGGGGTGAAACGGGTCGACTGGAGGTGCTCGAGCGTTTGTTTCGACGCGAGAAGAAGCATCTCCCAAGTAGAGTAGAAGGGGGGGACAACATGAGTTGTAATACTGTTTTCTTGCAAGTGAGCAAAGCTGAGTAGCATCGCAAGGGGGGAGGAAAGGTACATGTATTAGACCCTTGGACCAATTGCAGCTATTCAAGTTTTGGCATTACCTTACTCGAGAGAAGAATTTGCGACTCGGCCGACCCCTTTCTCAAACTCATCTCAACTGTCAACAACACAAATCGTTCAATCACCAGCTGCGACTATTCCCAACCAAGCACAAGGTGTCTTCCCCCTGGCGGAGAGTCCTCAGGTACTTAACACGCTGCAAATTGCTTGCATGGTAAGTCCAGGTCATCAAATATGCCTATTTCGGAAAGAGACTCCCCCCCTCAGATGGGCATGCCATTTGGAATCTTGAAAAGCGAACAAGGTGCTCACCAGCCCATTCTCCCATTCTCCAGCTTCTCCATCGTCCAATGAGCAACAATCAGACCGATAGCTCCTCAATCACGTACCCCATAATTGTATTCGTGGCGTCGTAATGGCAGACAAGATATTCCGCATCTTCAACCCAAAAGGTTGGTTCCGATCCCCCGAACATTTGATTTAGCCCTTTCTCCTGCTTTAGCAATCTTCAGGTGGCAGAGAGAGAAAAAGATAGACAGACAGAGACAGAGACAGAAAGAGACAGAGATCTCATGCTGACCCCGGAGCGGAGTAACAGAGCCAAAGGCCGACCCCGTCGAGAAGAGGCGCGCCCAACTCCGCCGTGCCCAGCAGTGAGTACCTGACACGTCCTTCTTTTCCCCTGCATTTCCCGATGGCCGCTAAGTCTTGGCCGATAGATCGTATCGGGATCGGAAGGACAAGTACACCAAGGCCCTCGAGTTTGAGCTAGCAAGGACTCGGAAGAGTGAAGCCGGATTAACGTCCGAGGTCCAGCAGCTCCATGAAAAGGTTCAGATGCTGACGATCCTCCTATCTCAACATGGCATCTCCATCCCAGCTGAGAGTGATGTCAACTGGCTACCGTCTCCTGAGGATGATACCCTGCATCTAGACATGCTGCAACTTACTCCACGCAATATCGACACTGCCCATGGACAAACACCAAGATCTGGCGCTGCCCCGAGAGATACATGGGCAGCCTTTGCGGAAAAGGCGACAAGCCCAGGTGATTTCTGGACCGATGAGAATCTCAATTACCTGCATCAGCACGGCTCGGACCACCTCTCCCGAGACAAAGGCCTACCGCCGATCCCGGTTCAAGTGCCGACAGTCACGGCCACAGGTCCCCCCGTCAACCCCGGTAGCAAGACTCGCCTTTGCGAGCTCGATGCCACAACCGTTGGGATGGAATTTGTGCTGACGTATGCATAATCCCCTAAACACTTTCTCTCAGACTGACAGAAGACGGAAGCTGACCAATGAATGGATGACTGTAAAGCCTAGAGAGCCCCTGTCTGGGCCATATACACGGCAATCCCAAGAAACCAAACGAGCCAAGCGGCCATGCTTTGACCACTACATCTCAGCTGCACTCCTGCTTGTCTCTACCGCCTATCGACCCTGAGAACCCAGTGCCGCCGCCGTACCAGAACGCTCCGGCGGCTGTGCTTGAGCGGCTGCTGAGTCTTGCGCCGAGCGTGTCATCAGATGGCGATGTGACGCCGATACAGGCGTGGCATTATATCCGCCGGCAGCCGTTTTTCGGAGGGTTTGAGATGCAGAGTATCAATAAGCTGGCAGAGAGATTGCGCGATGCAGCGAAATGCCATGGGTAAGTTGATATTTAACACACAATGGCCCTTTGTCTTTCGAAGGATGGCTGCTAATGACATGAGTGTTGCGAGTACCTATAGATTTGGTGCTGCAGTTCAGATGGGTGTCTTTGAGTCGATAGTGCGGGAAGTCCTCCATCCAGTGTCTAAATTTTTATCTTGATTCATCGGCATCTGATCTGGGGGTTGTTTTGCGATTTGTCAGTGTAATTTTATGTATATACTCTCATAGAAAGACTCGTAATCGAACCACCGTTCTCCTGCACGTCTTGATCATGCACCTATAGGTAGCAACTTGAAGCAGTAACGTGCCGACTTCGCGATACATGAGACTTGTTCCTAGGAGTCACCAACAGAGAATCATTCATCTATTATCGTCAAAACCATCTATTTTCCGGTTTTTTTTCCGAGCACTTCAATATATTGAAAAGTGCAGTTGGAGCTGTCCTCTCCTAACCTGTAGCAGCTCGGGGCAGCCCGTGTGATGACTAAGCACACATATGTACGTATTTTCCTACAACGCGTTCTCATCCTCTTGAGGCCGCGTCTAATGGACTCTAACTCACCAAGACAGTCAAGTTCATCTTCTCACCCACCTCCTCGGCTTCGCGACAGCCGCCATGTAGGGGACAAATTGCACAACTTACATCCTCAACCTCTTCAGAAAGCCACAGCGACTCCTCTCAGGCCCTCGCAATGGCCCGATTCTCGGTACCGACAAAGGCCAGGCTGCCTGCGTCACTCCGCGTTGATTCTTCAAACCCAGCCGTCATAAAGAGCTTGAACCGGCTCTCCCGCGAGGCCCTCATTTCCCTCGCCCTCAGCTGGCTTGACGGAGACACCATAGCCAATGCGGTGCCGTACCTGGAGCGGAGAAGCGACGAAGATGAGATTGACCCGGATGATGTGTACCCTCCGTGCGAATCAGTCCAGCAGCTGTACGAGCTCTATGTCGACATGCAGCAGCAAAAGGGATCAAAGCGCGACGTGGCCAATCGCATACTGGAGGGAGACTGGCGGCACGGACTGTCGCTGTATCAGCTCGCCATGGTGGACTTTTATCATCTGGAAGAGCATCCAATGTCGCAGAAATGGACGGCTTATAAGATACTCCCGCTGAAGCCTCCCACAAAGGGTGTCGAAGACGAGGTCCTTCGGGTCGATGACAAGGCGCTGAGCGTCCCGCGATTTCATCCGTCAACGTTTCTGCAAAGCCTCCAGGACCAGGTCCTGCCGGATATCAAGGCTCACTACCACTTCCACCGACCAAAGGACCTCCCAGTCCTGCTGCTACGCATATTCGTCATCGAATCTCCCTACAATAGCAGTCTGGCCCTTTCAGGCGTCACCGGAAGCGGAGAGGCCACCAACTTTACTTCATCTCGGACGGTATACCTGGCCTTCCCGGATGGTTCTTCCCACATTTACATCACCAAGTCTCAAGCCAATGGCCCAGCTACCGGCGGCGAATCAAGGAGCCTCCAGAACCTGATTATCCAGGGTGTACCGAAAGCATTATCGAGGCCAAGAGAACGGTATACTCTTAAACCAACCAACCTTACGAGCCGGAACCTGGAAACACTCCTGGATAAAAGGGGGCCTGGGCGAGGCAATGCCGCAGGAGGTGGTTGGAGCATTTACGCCTCTGATAAGAACAAAAAGTCTCCCCTCGATGCTGTACTCCCCACTCCACCGCTATCCGAATACTCCTCCGTCTCTGACAAGAGCCGAAAGAGGCTGAAACCGCTCAACTCAGACCAGCGGGCTGCTAAACGAGCCAAGCTCGTTGCTCAAGCGCGGTTTGGCGACTCTGGCCTCGTCAATGATGGAAAGGGTATAGAAAGGATCGATGTTCTGCTCGAGGACCCCTTTCCCACCTCTGTCGCTGCAGAAAAGCTAGGGTCGGGGAAGGACAAGGGCGATGCTCTCGCGGAAGCATCCGTGTCAGCTCGAAGAAGAACGATTGATGCTGCGCTCCGTCAAACTGGCGATGTCGATGAGGAAGAATTGAATGAACCCAAGAACCCTTCACAGTGGAAGCCAACGGTGCAAATCACCTTTCAAGGAAACCACGTCTTTGCGGGTATCAGACAACTCGTTGAAACCGGTATCATAGACGGCGAACGAATGCCCGGCTGGATGACAGGGGAGGATGGCGTTACGTTGGGTATTGTCAGGCATGGACGGATCAAGGGCAACAAGGGATCGGGGCTGTGATGAGATGGTGTCCGGCATCTTTGGTTTTTGGATATACTGTATACTGTTTCTTTCTATGCGCTTTTTGATACCCTTACGGATGAGAAACCAGGATGAATTCTAATTTGCCTCTTCGCCGAGGCCAAAGACATTGACCGTGTTCCTCCAAGATGCCTCGCAAAGCTCTTCGATGCTGACGCCCTTGACAGCGGCAACAATCTTGGCAACCCTCTCGATGGTGCACGGCTCGTTGCGGCCCTTGATCATGGCCCCTTGCTGCCATTGCTCTTTCTTTACGACTTTGAAGCGGCTGGGCACGTCGGGCTCCTTCTTCTGGTTCTTCTGTTTCTTCGGCCGCTTCGTCTGCTGCTGCGCGGCTGCGTCAGCGGGCTGAGGCTCACCATTCGTCGCTTGCGGTTCCGGCTCGGGCTTCTTCTCTATCAGGTATTGGTATCCGGCATGGCTCGGCCGAACCTCGCACCAGGGCCCGTCTGTTTCGAGCATGATCCTGTCGAGGGTGATTTCCTTCACCATGGCGAGGTTCTCCTCCGTCTTGAGACTGCAGCCATTGACGCCAATGTGCAGGCCCAGATCCATCAGCTCCTTCATTTCCTCTATTGTGCCCGTGAAGCTGTGCACCACGCCGCCCTTTTCCAGCCTCTCGAGCCTGTCACCGAAAGCCCCTTTCAACAGGTCCACAAAGTCGCGATGCGCAGCTCTCGAGTGCAAGAACAGCGGGAGCTGGGGCTGGAGAGAGGCGGCCACTTTGAGCTGAGCTTCAAAGGAGTGTAGCTGGGCGGCTTTTCCGCAGTAGTGCAGCCGGTCGTAGTCGAGTCCGAATTCCCCCATGGCCACCAGGTGATGCTTGCTGGATGCTCTGGCGTCGGCAAGCAGCGTCGTGAGCTCGTCAATCACCTTGGCTGACGTTTCCGGGTCGGGCTCGCCTTTGTGCTCAACTGGTTCTGAACTCTCGGGCTCACATGGGGTTGTATGCTCGTCATGTCTTCCGTGGCCTCCCTTGCAAAAGATGGCACTGCTACAGGGGTGGATGCCGGCGGTTGCATAGCATGTTCCAGCTGGATTTGATCCAAGGTCAGTATATGGTTGCAACCGCGGGGGCAAGGGCTCACCAACGAAATTCTTTGGCCAGCTCCAAGGCATCGCGAGCACTCGTAAAGTCGGAGCCCGTCACGATGAGCTTGGTGCATCCGACCTCCTTGGCTCTGCTGATGACATCCTTGAGGTCGTCTGGGTGTCTCTGGACGCCGCGATGCTTGCCCCTGTAGATGGGATCGGCTAGGTTGATTCCTATCTGTAAAAAACACGTATTAGCAACCTGACTGTTCCCTCTTTTAAGAAAATGCTCGAATGGGTGAGATACATCGATATATCTAGGCTTATAAGAATCTGATGCCGGCTCGGAGCCGGACTGCGGGGCACTCATTGTGCGAGATGCTGATGAGAAACGAGTGAGGGCTGCGGTATAATGGCGTGGCAGATGATGACGGAGTCTGCCCAACGCAAACGACATGTATACGCAATGAGTCTCGAATATGAAGCAAGATCTACCTAGGTATTCACACGCCAATATCGGAGATGTACATGGTTGACTGCGGTCAAGATGCATCGATGAAATGGCATCTTGAAAATCCCGCTTAGTCATCTCTTGGAGAAGAGACATTTGAACCACTCATGAAGCTCACGTGACCCCGCGACACCTCCCGCACATTCGATGACCAAGACACGCGCTCGGGATTCGCGTATCCACCAAAACAGAGCTTCCCTGGCTGTAACTCAAAGCATGTACCTGAGGATGATTAATTGCCCTCGGGGCCCTTTAGCATCTTTGTTGATGAAACCCGATCCGGCTTAACGAGGACGAAAGAGGCAGTGATTGTTGGGTCTGTTTTGGGGCCGCCCTCGCCCTTTGACTGGCCGAAGCCACTGACCTGCTCACTGGAATGGTGCTTTGCGCGGGGCACCTCATTTTTTTTTTTTTTTTTTTTTTTTTGTCCCTCCCGCTTTACACGCTTTCAATGGGTTTTAATGGTATTTTCACGCTAAACAGCTGGCGTGGCGCGTGCTGGAGACGCGCCTGAGAATAAAACGTTCTTCCCACCGGCTTCTGGAGGGGGAACACGCTCACTCTTCCTCTCTCCCAAAACCAGACACGCCAAACAAACACCCCCAAAGGCTTCGATTCACCTCGACAGCCTTCAAGAGCTCTGACTGACTGCTGGTGTGTCTTGACTGATACCTGCAAGCGTCTTGAGAGCCTTTGGAAAGAGCATCACCGCCTACGTCATTCTTTAATCCAGCTGCTCCCTCCACCGCCGCCATGTATGTCAGGAAGCGTGGTATGTATCCCAACCTCATTGCCTGGATCCAGAGGAAATTGTTCGAGTTTTGCTAATGATCTGCGGTTAGACGGTCGTCAGGAGCGTGTCCAGTTCGACAAGATCACCGCTCGTGTCTCGCGGCTGTGTTACGGCCTGGACACTGAGCATGTCGACCCTGTGGCCATTACCCAGAAGGTCATCTCTGGTGTCTATGGAGGCGTCACGACGGTGCAGCTTGACGATCTCGTGAGTCTGCATGAACTTGTCGTCAAACCTCTCAGACGTTAACATGAGAACAATAGGCTGCCGAGACTGCCGCGTACATGACCGTTACCCACCCCGACTATGCCATCCTGGCCGCCCGCATCGCCGTCTCCAACCTCCACAAGCAGACCAAGAAGCAGTGGTCAGCTGTCGTCAGCGACCTCTACCACTATGTCAACCCCAAGAACAACAGAGCCTCGCCCATGATCTCCAAGGACACGTATGAATGTGTCATGCGCCACAAGGAGGAGCTCGACTCCGCCATCGTCTACGACCGAGACTTCAACTACCAATACTTTGGCTTCAAGACGCTGGAGCGATCATACCTTCTGAAGCTCGACGGCAAGATTGTCGAGCGGCCACAGCACATGATTATGCGAGTGGCCGTTGGCATCTGGGGAGACGACATTGAGCGTGTCCTCGAGACATACCACCTCATGTCCAGCAAGTTCTTCACCCACGCCTCCCCTACCCTCTTCAATGCTGGTACCCCGCAAGCCCAGCTGTCCTCATGCTTCCTGGTGGACATGAAGGACGACAGCATTGAGGGTATCTATGACACCCTGAAGACGTGTGCCATGATTTCCAAGATGGCTGGTGGTATCGGCCTGAACGTCCACCGCATCCGTGCCACTGGCTCCTACATCGCCGGCACGAACGGTACCTCCAACGGCATTATCCCCATGCTGCGAGTCTTCAACAACACTGCCCGATACGTCGACCAGGGTGGCAACAAGCGTCCTGGTGCCTTTGCCATCTACCTCGAGCCCTGGCACGCCGACGTCTTTGACTTCCTTGATCTCCGCAAGAACCACGGCAAGGAGGAGGTTCGCGCTCGCGACTTGTTCCTTGCTCTGTGGATCCCCGATCTCTTCATGAAGCGTGTCGAGAAGAACTTGGACTGGACGCTCATGTGCCCCAACGAATGCCCTGGCCTTGCTGACTGCTACGGCGAGGAGTTTGAGGCTCTGTACGAAAAGTACGAGAGGGAGGGACGTGGTCGTAAGACCATCCGTGCTCAGAAGCTGTGGTACTCCATTCTGGAGGCCCAGACGGAGACCGGTAACCCCTTCATGCTCTACAAGGACCACTGCAACCGCAAGAGCAACCAGAAGAACCTGGGCACCATCCGCAGCTCTAACCTCTGCACTGAGATCATTGAGTACTGTGCCCCCGACGAGGTCGCTGTCTGCAACTTGGCATCTCTGGCCCTTCCCGCCTTTGTTGACTACAACGAGGGATGCTACGACTTCAAGAAGCTTCACGAAGTCACCAAGGTGGTCGTCCGCAACCTCAACCGCATCATCGATGTGAACCACTACCCCGTCCAGGAGGCTCGCAACAGCAACATGCGCCACCGACCTATCGGTGTCGGTGTCCAGGGTCTTGCTGACGCGTTCCTCGCTCTGCGTCTGCCCTTTGAGTCTCCCGAGGCTCGCGAGCTGAACAAGCAGATCTTCGAGACCATTTACCATGCCGCCCTTGAAGCTTCCATGGAGATTGCCAAGGTCGAGGGCCCCTATGAATCGTTCAAGGGATCGCCTGCATCTGAGGGTATCCTCCAGTACGACATGTGGGACGTCAAGCCCTCCGACCTGTGGGAGTGGGATTCCCTCAAGGAGCAGATCAAGGAGCACGGTGTCCGCAACAGCTTGCTCGTCGCTCCTATGCCCACTGCCAGTACCTCTCAGATTTTGGGCAACAACGAATGCTTCGAGCCCTACACCTCCAACATCTACCAGCGACGTGTCCTTGCTGGTGAGTTCCAGGTTGTCAACCCTTGGCTTCTCAAGGACCTGGTCGACACCGGCTTGTGGTCTGACGCCATGAAGAACCGCATCATTGCCGAGAACGGCTCCATCCAGAACATTCCCAACATCCCCGAGGACATCAAGGCCCTGTACAAGACCGTCTGGGAGATTTCTCAGCGTCAAATCGTCCAGATGGCGGCTGATCGTGGTGCTTTCATCGACCAGTCCCAGTCCCTGAACATCCACATGAAGGACCCCACGATGGGCAAGATCACCAGCATGCACTTCACCGGCTGGAAGCTCGGTCTCAAGACCGGCATGTACTACCTCCGTACCCAGGCCGCAGCTGCGCCTATCCAGTTCACCGTTGATCAGCAGGCGCTCAAGGTTGCCGATACCGCCGTCAGCAAGGACCGCGTGCTGAAGAAGAGGGCTCCTCCCCCAGGATCTTCATTCATGATGTCCTCTCCGTCCGCCGTCCCTCGTCCTAGCAGTGCGAAGAGGGAAGAAGGCTCTGCAAACTCGTTGAGCTCCAACGGAGTTATTACCCCCTCCACCACACCTCCTCCCGCGAGCAGGCCCCTGGCCTCTCCTCACAAGGCCCCTCCCATGAAGGCCGATGTCGATGAGGGAGACAGCCCCAAGGTGCTTCCTACCGAGCCCTCAGACAATGTCAAGGATGAGGAGCTGAGCAAGAAGCCGAACCAGGCTGAGGACAAGGATGAGGATAGCGAGGAGCGGGAAAGAGACATTTATTCAGACGCTGTTCTGGCCTGTAAGTCACAACTCTTGATTTGAGCAAAACAACATGGACCGTCACTGACCCCTTTCTAGGCAGCATCGAAAACCCCGAGGCCTGTGTCATGTGCAGTGGCTAGAGGAATGTCCAACAGGTAGTTGTGGGCTTGACCGCGACACGAACGACGGTCCGGGAGACGAGGATTAAAGAGGTGCCAGAGGAAGATTAGAACAAATAGGCAACGGAAATAGGGCTCTTGAGGATTCAAGGTTTGTTTACGGCGGGCGTCAGATCAAAGCATCTAGGCTGCCCTGCACTGGTTAATGCGCTTGGACTATGTATATTCTTGTTACGTTTACGGCTTGTTTACATGAGTATGACGCTGCGTGCTCATCAGCCGCCGCTTGTTTTAGCATAGATGCGAAAATGTCGAAATCATAATGACTACGTACGAGCAACTTGACGTGCAGAGACATTAGTATCTACCTCATGTGTATGGAGGTAGAGAGCATATATTCTGCTTTGCCTTGACGATCCAGCACCAGTCAGTGCCCTCAGTCCAATCAACCTTGTCTGCCCAATTCAATCGATGCTGCTACTCATTGCTTTTCCGCCAAGTAGACGGCTGTTGAACCAAAACTCTGGATGCATCGCCGTCAGGAGAACAGACATGGCAATCATGGGGATGCTGTCCAACGCAATAAAGACACCTTCCGCAGAAGACAGAGGGCCATTGAATCCCCCGTTGAGCTCAGCCACCCGCCAACAAGACCGTATAAACAGACAAACGGCAGATACCACAGCGCCTGCAGCAAAGCAAAGCAAAGCAAAGCAAATGAAATCAGACTTTGCGACCTAAAAAACAAAGTGGAAGAATTACGACATAACTCACAGATAATGTAGCCTATTTTCTTGTCCTGTTGAAGATGCCTGTATGTCCTTCTACATACGACCAGAAGAAGAATGCAGAAGATCGCCGTGGCGAGGACTTGCGTGCCCAGCCCAGCAATCATGAGATCAACTCCCACGGGACTATCCGCATAGATCGCCGCCAGCGAACCCCCGCAACCAATAAAACACAAACAAACAAAGTCTCCGAGAATGAAGAGCGTGGAGAAGATTCTAGGAGAGATGTGCTTGAAGCGGGCTGCTGGGTGGTGTTGCTGGAGGGTGCTTATGCCTAGGTATAAGGAGGAGGAGAGGAACGTTGGGCCGAGGGTGAGGCCGATGATGTACCTAGATTCAACCCCACAGACGTTTTTTTATCAGATTAATGTATCTGAAGAATTTACTGCGTATATAGTTGGGGGTATTTTGTGTGGGATCAGGGGGGAATGGGTACATGATGTATCCGTTCTTGTTGGCCCGGCTGTGCGAGAGCTGGACTTTTGCGACGTAGCCGAGGAGTTCTAACAAGAGGCCGCCCAGCATGCCGATTGCATAGCCGTAGAACCTCCAGAAGCGGATAGCCAGGGCAATGTGTATGAGGAGCAGGAATGTAAAGATTGTTACAAAGATGGCGTTTGGTGCGAGGAGAGGCGTAAAGGAGAGGGCGCCGATGCCGTTTGGGGGGACTTGGCTGGTGGTGTTTGTAACGTTCATTGTCTCTGAACGGTAGAGAGATCTCACTTGGCAATAAGTGGAAAGAAGAAGATATTGCAAGAGGTATCAAATGCTATTAGCGAAAGGAATCCCAGCTGTTCATTGTGCCTTTTACAGAGGCTATAGACGGCCACCAAGCGATATCGCCGCTAAATCGCCGTCATATCGCCGCTCAATCCCCGCTCAACAACCGTCACCTTTCCCAAACCCAGCCCCTTCGAAACAACACACACAGCCAGCAAACCCTCACGCCTTCTCGCGATGACAAGAACTCTATAGGTTGCAAACTCTCCTTACAAGATCGCAAGACGTCGCCGCTCTCCAAAGCCCTCCAAAGCGGACATTCTTTCCTTGATGTGATGCGGCTGAAACGCGGAGTCGAGCGGGCGTCTTGCGACTTCTGTCACGGACGCAAGATCAAGTGCGATCGCGCTTCGCGGGCGTTCTCGGGCCAGACGTCTTGTTCGCCGTGTTCCCTGCGCGGGATCCAGTGTCTGCTTGACGATTCGGATGATGTTCGACTTCGCAGACGGCGGAGGAGGATCGCTGGCGTTGAGGAGCCTGTGGGACAGAACCAGCCCCAGCTGTTGAGGACAGGTTCTCCTGATGTCGATGCCACCAGCGTTGGCAATCTGAGCTCAATGACAGATAAAGCAGTGGCTCCAGCACAGACGGACAGGCTGGAGCAGCAATTGGAGTCTCGCTCTGGACCGCTTATCGATGAGGCCATTCCGTCATCCGTGGACCAGACGCCAGACTTTTCATTCGTCGGCACTCCTTTTGAACTCAGCCCAGAGAGCATCTTATTCCTGGACCAAATATTCATGGGCGGGTGTGATCCGTCATTCGAATATCCGGAGCCAGGGCTCTTGATGGATGGCAATGCCCGGCCCTCCTTATTAGGAGACGAAGCTGCTCAGAACAGCCTAAACGAGCTACTCGGGGACGCAGCTGCTTCTTCTTCTGCTTCCTTTCATAAACTCTGGTCATATTGTGGACTTGACGAGACGACGTTCAACGCAGCACTGCACGCCTACTTTGACCTTGCCGCCGTCCACCTCCCGGTCCTCATGGAAGACGCCTTCTGGGAAGACTACCACGCCGGCCGGTGCAGCCTCGCCCTCGTGTACGCCGTTGCCTGCCAAGGCATCTCCTTCATAGACACCGAGGACAAGTGGGACAAGCAGCAACGCCTGGCCTCCAGCTTCCGAGAAAGCTTCTTGGAGGCCCGGCACAATTCAACGGGCAAAGGAGCCATGCGTCTGGATGACCTCGAAGCGCTGGCAGTCATGGTCGACTGGACATACGATGAGACGCCAAGCTCGCCTCTCCAATCACAGCTCGGGAAGCTCTTCTTAACCCATGAAGCTCTGGTCCTGGCCACTCTTCAATTCCAAATGGCCAACGGCGATGCATCAGAGGAGCAATCGGGCTCAGCAGCACCACTTGCACGCCTGGAAGAGCGCCGCCAGCTCCTCTTCTGGCACGTATACGGGCTTGACGCGTTCCATAGCTTGGATCACAAAATGATGTCCCGAATACCAGACGGCGAGGACAGCCACGGCCCGCGGACGCTGCCGCGGCATGACTCTGGGAGCTATCTCGATGCCGTCTTGAGGCTAGCTATTGTTGCGCGAGAGATTCTAACAACTTTGGTAACCGTCAGCACAAAACGGAATGGCGTCAGGCCTCGCGATGTCATGCATCTCTACGAGAGGCTCAATCGTTGGCAGGAAGACGATTGCCCTGCTCATCTTCGCAAGCGGAGATGCGACGATGGTAGACTGATGCCATTCGCAATTGACGCATCAAGCAAGGCTGCATTTCTGCTGCCATTGCACTGCTCCATCCTGTGGCTTCTGCAAATCAACTGTTATATGCAGATTGCAGACTGTGTTTCTCGATACGGCTTGCAAGACGGTGCCCCTTTCGAAGCAGAAATAACGGCTCTTCGCGTTGACCTCGAGGCTCTTCGTGCGGTTCACGACGGCATGGAGATATCTCAATGGATGAGCCAACACTCAGCTACGTCGAATCGCGGTGTCGTTGCCCAGACTCATTCTTATTCGTTGGTCGATCTAGCACCATCAATTGCACGCGATATCTGCGCCGGGCTCTGCTTCTGGATATGTGAGCGCGGAAAGCAAGCATTAGGTCATGGTTCCCCAAGTGCTACCATTGCTCGCTCGCAACGCCGGCTGAAGGAAGCACAACCCGCAAAACAAGATGTCAATGATTACAGAAAAGCTGCCCGGCAGCTTCGAAGCGCAGTGGCGACAGCAACATCGCACAGAGACACGGAACAGGTATTGGATCGACTCGACAAGCAGACTGCCTTGTTTGAAGCGGCCCTGAATTCGTATCTCGCGTTAGGAGAGGAGGGCGACGATGGGCCAGTTCAATCTAGCTCTGCATGAATCAACGTAACAATAATGCGGTTCCACAGCAGAGAGCCGTAAAGCATTTGGATGGAGGGATCTAGCCCTCGATGTTCAATGAAGCATGGCAATGCTCCATGTGGGATCAGAAGTGACGTAGATTTAGCCGTCCAAGTGAGTCAATGACAACAGAAGCCATGATCAAACGACATGATGAGGTCAGTCAATCAGGATTCTATGTCAAACCGCACCGAGGAGGCCCGAGCACGAGGCTTGTGCATCTCGCCGTCTAGAAGCTCGCCCAAGCAGCATAGTAGCAAAGACCCTCTCGTACCACGGCGACATGGCTCGACTTGATTTCGTCCAGTTACTCGTTCCTTTCGGCGGCGACTAGCCACTTGGCAAACGCGTGGCCGAGCCAGAGTCTCAAATATACAATGAGCACTGGCGAATCATTGGCAGGACAACCAGGGTTACTCCAGCTGGCTGATCTTGATTGCACGGTCCGACGATGGTCGAGCGGGGCCGCATTGTGGTTCTGCCATGGCCAGTGGAGGCCCGTTAGCAACATTGTAGTATTGGACCGCCTGAGGCCGATATGAGACACACTTGGCCGCCTTTCGTGAAGCGCGGAACAATCGAACTGTGCAGACGGCGCTGGGTCCGTCGAAGCTGTTGCTCGGAAGAAGGAGAAGCGAGTAACCGTGTCCTATGGCTCAATTGAACCATATCTGATTGCAATTGGAGAGTCAGTGCTGGGCGAGAGGGAAGCATTAGTATACGGTGAGACTCTCCCTGCAATGCATAGTAGAGAAACCTGAAAATGCATGCAGCAGAATGAGGCAATCAACTCCAGCCATCCAGAGCGCCACCGACTCCATTGCCACCAGCCAAGTTGCTGTACCTTGAAGCTAGGGTGCCTGAGCCTATCGGCTTCAGAGTCGTAGCGCATTGCGGCAGCCGGGGCGCGAGCTGAAGTGCGCCGCTCAGGTGGCTGGAAAGTCGGAGCTAGTGCCCGAAAGTGTTGGTGGTGATGCTTCGATCGCTTTCTCTCCTGCGAAGCTCAAGCTGCTGTGGGCGAAGCTCCCATGGAACTTGGAAGTGCTGAAGTCAGAGCACGTGAGTGAAGGCGTCCCGTCCTGATCTGATGTTAGTCCTCAGCTCTGCCAGGGCCGGCAAACGGTGGACCTCAAGTTGCCAAGCTTGTCAAGGGAGATGCTGCTCTCTTCCGAGCCGATAACCGACAAGACGCCCAAGTGGCTTGCTCTTCCGCAGCTCCTCGATGTATCGTCCATCCCTCGCAAACACCTCACGGAACGTGCTCGGGTTCCAAAAGCCCCCAGTGCCTTACTGTCGCCGGTAGGGCCTCAATGCAAGGGACTCGGGTGCTAGGCAACGCCGCACGGCTGCCAACAGCAGCATCTCCGTGCCCAGCAGTCTCTGGCTGTTCTTCTCATCTGCCTCCATTCCATATCCAACGGGGGATGTTGTCTCACAGCTTCCCTAGGCTCGAGTGCCACCCCAAGATGGAGAAAAATGGAATTCTAATCGGTACCTGTACTTTCAGCGCCACACTTGGAGCATCGCGATCGTGCATCTGCAATTTGGAAAGACGGCGTCACACAAGCTTCGTCACTCCACCCACCCTTGCCCGGCAAGCCAGACCAGCCAGACCTGATCGCAGCTTCCATTCGGTGGTGAATGACGTTGGTCGAAGCAGATCTGCCAGCTGGCGTGGGGCAGGAGCGTCAGTTGCCGGCAAGTGCTGCAGATGAGGTAGGCGCCAGGTACAGAGGAAGGGCAGCAGAGCAGCTGCAAGGCGAGGTACCTCTCGCTGGGATGTATCCTGCTCCTTCCTTGCCCCATAAAGATTCCAGACCTCCTTCTTCTTCCCACGATCCAGCAGTTGCACTCAATCTTGTTCCTTCCTCCTCTTCATTTCCAGCCTTCACCGTCTTCACCTCTTCCACCTGAGCCTCTTAAAGAGTTTTCTCCTCCATCACCACCGGCTTCAATCGAGAACACAGAGTCCAGCTCTTCAGGTCGCCTCCTCATCGCCGTTCGTTGTTTGCCTCGTCTCTCGTTGCGTGTCTGTATCTCCCAGGTTGGTCCACCTCGCCTACCTCCTCCTCGCTCACCAAACATTGTCTGCGTATTCCCCTCTTCCCGTCTGCCTCGCATATCTGGACAGCTTCCCGAGCGCCTACAACATTGGATGGCCTGGTTGCTTGTCCTGAGGGAACACCACCGTCTCTTTCACAATCCACACTCCATCCGCTCATCTCCTCCATTGCGTCGTACAACCCCCTTGTACGGCCTAGCACAAACATTCATCGTGCCCTGCCGGCTGCCGGAAAATGAGCACCTGCTCTGCAGTCACTTCCGCTGGCCTCTGTGATTAAAAGCTGCCTTCAATCCTCGACAACCCGCTGCCTTTTCACTCCTCGATTTGACCCGCCTTCTTTCTTCAGCATTCTCGCCAACTTCCGCCCTCACATCCTTTCAAGACCACCGCTCGCTACTTGTATTCGTTCTGCGGATACCAGCAGTCCAGACCTTCTTTTATGCTAACAGCGCCACGCCTTTGCAGAACACCGGTCTCTTTTTGACAGCAGCATCGTCAAGATGAAATCCGTCGTTATCGCCCTTTGCACTTTGGTTGCGGCCACTGCCGCTCAGGGTTCTGCCAACCTCGCCGCCTGTGGTGTGAGTCTCCATATTGCCTTCTTCTGGCTGTTTATACCATTGCTGACAACCCTCTTAGCAAACCTGCGCTGCCAACATGTTGAGCGCCGACAAGGCTGATGAGCTGGGTTGCAAGCAGAATGACCTGAGATGTCTTTGTGCCAACAAGAACTTCCTTTACGGCCTCCGAGATTGCTCCGCGGCTATCTGCTCGGCTGAGGATGCCAGAAAGGTTGTTGAGTACGGCATCAGCGTGTGCGCTGGTAAGTCTTCATCTCAACCGCCTACCTCAAGAGCTATCCCTAACGCGTCGTAGGAGCTGGTGTTGCGATTCAAACAAGTTCTGGAGGTGGCAGCGGTGGTGCCAGTCGCACTGCAAGTGTGTCTGGTAGTGCTACTGACAGTGTGTCTACGCTTGTCACTGCTACTGCTTCCGGTGCTATCACTGTGAGTTCTATCCATCTTGCCATCGACGAGTGCACTTTGCTCACGCTTGCTATCAGGAGACTCTCCTTACTACCGTCACCTCGGATGGCACGACTATTACTACCGGCATCGCGACCGCCACCGGCAATGCGAGCAACGGAGTCGTCTCTACCTTCACCACTGCCGTTACGGACTCTGACGGCAATGTTCACACGTCCACTGGTCAGACTACTCTGAGTGGCACTATTTCTGTCACTCTCACTGGCTCTGTACCTACCGCAACGGGTACCGACAGCGCCGCCTTGACGACTGTGACTTCTGGCAGCTCTGCCATTGTCAAGACTCTCACCACGAAGTCCGAGACCGCTACAGTCACTGAATCAGCAACGCAAACTGAGTCCACCAACTCTGGCGCCGAGGCCACTGAGACTGAGACTGCGACTGAGACGGCCAGTTCAAGTGCTTCCTCTACGTCCAGCACTGGCGCCGGCGTAAGTCTTGACCCTTTGACATTCCATAGTGACTCTCTTCTGACTCTTGACCACAGGTTCCTCAGAAGACCGCTGGTCCTGTCGGTATCATTGCCGCCGCCGGCGTTGCCCTCCTCATGCTCTAAGCATCTCTCCCAAATGGCCCCTTTTGATGTTTCGCGTTGCACATCTTTGATATATAATACCCTGTTATTGTCTCATAATCCTCGACTTAGTAAACATCTTTCGCGCCCGGCGTGGGAATCGGCGCCAGAGTCTATCTTTCAATGACAAGGAAAATAGGAACCAGGTGAATGGACATGAACCGGGCAAATTCGACGAGGGCTAATGAGTCATGCGGTTTTCTTTTTTCATTTCTTTCTAATTGGGCCATGAGAAATGCAATGAGGATTTGGTGATTAATTTTGTTGCCTACGGGCCAGTGGAAAGCTGCGAGCAAGACGGAGCTCAGGAACAGGGCTGATTTACAGGCTCACATCGTCTGTCTGGCTTGAGGGCCCCAAGACTGCCGTGTACCGGGCATTATGGATACCTGATTCCGACATGATCTGGATGAACGGGTTGGCTCTCTTGCTGTACTTTGACAGGACGAATAATAAATAATTTTGGTGCAATCTGCAATCCAGCATGCCGTGACAAGCAAGGGTGATGCTCTACCATTAAGCAGATGAATACTGCATCTATCTAAGATGAATGACACTATACGTCCAAGTCAAGAATACGCCGAGACGAATTATTTCCCCGTAAAAATACAATCGCAGAATGCACCAAGAACGCCAGAGTCCGCAAAAAGAGAAATGCGGCCAGAAACTCCAAGGTAGGCCAGGGGGTGGATGGCGTGTCTAATATACGCGGTCGCCAATCTTGCTTCTCCAGTTCTTGGCACGCTCAAAGCCGTTCTCGTGGCTCTGGAAGTCAGAAAAGGTCTGCATGACCTCTTCTTCGGAGTTGACGACAAAGGGGCCGTATTGCACGACCTTTTGGTCAAGAGGAGTTCCTGCGATGACGACTGGAAACCAGTCAGCATATTCGTCACATATGTAGGTGGGCGAGGGAGCAAGACTTACAGACTCGAGCGTCCTTTGTGGCGTTGGCATCAGTTGACAGGTGGATGACATCGCCCTCCTGCTTGAAGAAGACGTTGTCGTACTGCTCAACCTTTCTAGCGTCGGGACCCTCGCCGACAACGACGCTGCCGTCGAGGACATAGGCGAAGGCGTTCCAGCCCTTGGGCAGGGCCTGGGTGACCTTTGCGCCGGGCCTGAGGAGGAAGTCGAGCAGCCAGACGGGGGTGTAGGCGAGCTCCTTGACGGAGTCGACGCCGTGGCTCTGGCCGGAGATGACCTTGACGGTGACCCGGCCTTCGTCGACGTCGACGGTGGGGATCTCGGCGGCGCGGAGGTCGCGGTAGCGGGGCTCGCAGTACTTGAGCTCCTTGGGGAGGTCGACCCAGAGCTGGAGGCCGACGTTGGGGCGGCCGTCGGGCTGCTTGCGGGGCATCTCGGCGTGGATGATGCCGCGGCCGGCCGTCATGAACTGGAGGTCGCCCGAGTGGAGGGTGCCCGCGTTGCCGGCGAAGTCTTCGTGGTCGATGACGCCGTCGAGGAGGTATGTGATTGTTTCCTGGCCGCGGTGGGGGCTACCATTTGAGACGTGTGTGTGTTAGTTTTTTTTTTGTTGCTGTTCAGGGAAAAGAAGAAAGAAGAGGTGAGAGAGAGAGAGAGAGAAAGACGACGTACTGGTCTGGGAAGCCGGCGGTTGTGGAAAAGTGGTCGAGCATGAGGAAGGGGCTAAAGTTGCGCTGCTCGCGGGTGCCGATGGATCGGCGGACACGGGCTCCGGCGCCTTCGGACTGCTCGATGGCGCGGACGACCTTTGCGATGGCTCGGGGGACGGACATTTCGGTGGTTGTGAGGTGGTGGTGAAAGTTGCTTTCTGATGCCTTTGCCGCTAAGTTTGTCTCGTTTGATGCTCCTTGGGGAAACACTTCGTTGTACTGGGTTGCGGGAGAAGTAATGACAAATGATACGATATCAGAAATGCTTTCTCGATGTTGATATAGCACTGTCGATGCCAGTCCAATGACAATTGCAAGGATGATCTGAAGGAGCTTCATGTGAACCAAGATCCGCAGAGATCAGCGAACTTTATATATGTCGTAGATCCCACAAGCATACGGGCTCATCTGGGGGAGGGGCAGCTGAAGCAATATAAAGAGAGAAATTTCTCGACGCTCGGCACCATTTCGTAATGCCGCATAATCAAGGGAATTCCATTTATCAAAGAAGCTTTTCTCGAAGCCAGCTTCGGGAGCTTCTTCGCCATCAATGAGGCAGAGGGGCGAGGTTAACAAAGCTGGGGTCCACAATTAGTCAACTTTACATCAGCAGCCGAGCCTGTACTTCCGTTTTCGTACTCTTTACTGCTGCTGCTCGTAAAATGCTTTTGGAGCTCTGACTAAACCATCCATCTTTTCCCATTCTTGGTTTCACAAAAGATTTCCTGCCGTCACTCATCACATGATCAAAGAGAGAAGCGGACAGTGTCGGACAGTGTCACAGTTCTTCGATTGGCAAAGCAAACTCCCATTGGTATTCTACCCGTTTTTACGTCCTTCCATATAATGGCCCATACATGAAAACAAAGAAGAGTCAAGCGTTCCGTGTTGGAAACCCTCCCATCCTAGACCAATTGCCATCCATTTGCCGGTGGGAATGAGGTCCCAATTCGTCCCCAGGTCACACAGGTATCGTGAGGCGGGTGGTGGATTGATAGCATGGCGAAACAAGGGAGTGGAATGAGGATCGAATCCAATCGAACCAAGATGCGTCAGAGTGTGGCCGCTGGGGAAACAGGCGATACTGACACCGGCTAAAGACGCCCAGTCGCAATCCAACAAGCAGTCTACTCCGGCCTCCCTGTTTCCAGGTGTTTCTTATGGCATGCGAAATAGACTGGCGTCGGAAATCGACGATGCGACGATGAAAGAAGCCGGGCGCGACACGACAACGACGAAGATGCGGAAGCTGAAGTGAAGATGGAAAAAAGACAAATGAAAAGGGAAAAAGAGCGCCGATCAAACAAGAAAAGACAAAATTCGCTGGTAATCCATTCGGGAAACTCGTCTACTGGTTGATCTTCTCCTTGCTGGCGTCAGCGGCCTCGGCCTTCTTGACGGCAACCAAGTTGCTCAACCAGGCCAGCGTCTCGTTGCTAACGACAAAGGCGGTGGAAACAGCGGCCTTGCCCTGGGCTACTACGCCGTCCTGCTCGAGCTTCTTGAGCTCGGAAGCGTAGATCTTGGAGACATGCTCCTTGCCCTCGAGGCCCTTCTGGTAGGGAAGCAGGATCAGACCACGCGTCTCGTTGTAGAGATCGCCCGTGGGCTTCTTGACAATGGGGAAGCGCTCGTCAATGCGGTCCAGGGTCTGGTCGCCAAAGGAGTCGGCCTTTTGGAAGTAGGGAGAGATGAGGCCATAGGGCTTCTGGAGGTAGGGAAGCACAGGGGCGGCGAAAGTTCGATAGGCAGAGTCGCCGAGCTTGATGGACTTTTGCGCGAGTTCGTTGGAGGTCACAGTGTGAATGCTGTCGCTAACCAGGGGATACGAGAGCAGATGCTGCGAAGCGTGTTAATAATCGAATCAGGCACCATACGGGGGATATATTCATTTGCCGATTGTTGGGCAACGAAAGAGGTGTTTTTTTAGCACAGCTATGCGTACCTGGAGGAAGGCGGAGTGGATGTGGTTTGACACCTCGCCGTTGACTTGAGGAGCAGGCATTGTGATGTCAGGAGTGAAGATATGGATAATTGAATGCTAGGTGAGGCTGGAGATTCGACAGAGGTCGGCTGACGTTGCAACTCTCGTGCTGGCTGACGCGGGACAGATCGAGAATTGAAGTGTCGATGTTGTTCGAGATGAGGGAGATGGTAGAGCTGAGAAGAAGGATGAAGGAGGAAAAGGGATGCAAACAAGAACGAGCAGGGTGAGAGAAGAGCAGCAGCAGGCGATAAGGACGGGGCGGATTGCCTATTAATGAGCATTCCGCATTCCCCATTCCCGCGGATTCCTCCCCTCCCAGCCTGACTGGCAGAGGGCGCGCCACCGGGGATGATGTATTGATAACGCACAAGTACCCTGGACGCCGCGATTGGGTGCGTCTGTCGCGGCGCCCTCCCGCGAACGGTACTTTGAGGTCAGTGCCATTTCCCATGCAGAATAAGGCCCCCCCCCTCCCCTCCAGGGAAGAGCAGCAGCAGAGAGAGGGACATGGGAAAAAGGCATGTGAAAGCGGCGAAGCCAAGCTGCCCAAACGTGTGAGGCTTGCAGCTGGGAGCCGTGCTGCGATTGGCTGGTGCTTGGCTGCTTCAGCCACACTTGCCTAGTCGGACAGGGATGCGATTCCGTGGGTTTCGACATGTGAAAGGGAAGCACGATTCGTTCCCAGCCAACCGCAGCAGCACGACTCGCTGCTCTGAAGCCGGCTGCTGCAACATTATTTGGTAATGCTAATCCTCGATTTGTTTTTTTTTTTTGTTTCTTGCTTGCGTTTCATTTCCTGGTTTGGCGCAGGGTAAGCGGCTCATCCGGATACAGGGTCCCGAGCCGTCTCTTGTCGGATGAGGCCTTTCTCCAATGAGTTTCTTCATCAGCTCAGTCGACGCTCCCGGCGCCTTTTGCGTGTCGGCAATCGCATCAATGCCTTCTTGAAGCATGTAAGTACTAGTATTATGCTACGGATACATGATCCACTGGGAGTATCCGATACTATTACTAGTATGGAGAAGGACTAAATCAGCTCAATGCATCCCGCGGCACATAAGACCCGGGCCGTCCGCATCATGCTATTCACAGCCAACCCCAGAGACCTCATGATACCACAGGCAATGTCATCCGGAATGGCGACGGGTCCTGGGGTCTGTTGCGGTGTGTTGTCGGCGCTATCTCTCGGGTGTCCGAGCGTTACAATTTCACGCAACAACTTGCACATGCATTTGCCGATTGCCTGGCGTTTCTCATTCTGTCATCCGCCTTATCGCTGAGATCGAGGATCAGTCAGCTCTCAAAGCAGCAGAAATGGGAGTCAAAAAGAAAGAAGCTCAACTCTCGACTCCACTCGCACCAGGCAGATCCCCCTGCCTTGAGGGTGAGAATTAGACTCGTTTTGATGGATGGGAGGCTTGTGAGCTCGGGACGTCCTTATCTCTCTCTCAGCCATGCAACCATGGTCCCGGCTCTCAGCATCCGCAAGCCTTGGAGCAACCGTATGGGCATAGGTACACGTGCTTGCTTACACTGTGCTGCGATGGTGGACTGACTCGCTGCTGCTGAGAGCGGCAACACGGCTCGTACGTATGCGTCACCAGCTCACCTGACCCTCTATTATAGAGAAAGCACGAAGAGGAGCAGACAAAACCGCCTCATGTAATATGTGCAAGCACACCACCCTGCACAGGGGGGGAGGGTAATAGGAGAAGCTGGATGGATAATGGGAACGATTCTGATCGAGCCAGGTTTGATTAATAGTCCAACACACTGGATTTGTAGCGTGAGCGCCAAGGACCTCCGTCCATCCAAGCTTTCGACAGCTTTTTACCTAGGTAAAGAGACCGCATGCTGACTCTTACCCTCGTATCTTTCTGGCTGAGAGGTGAACAGGCCCGAAAAGCTCATCATTCACGTGCTAGTAGATGAATTTTGATGTTGCATGCCTTGGCTCACAAGAATGAGATGCGTCTCGCTCGTGTCCGGGCGTTTGGCTACAACTGGCGATTGGTCATTACGGTGGGTTGACGCACACATTTCAGATGCCAAAACCCAAGCCGTCGGCACCCGAGTTGCGTAGCAGCCGCAACGCAACGCACTGCGTGTCATCCCCATCCTTACGCTGTCCCCTGAATGAAACTGATTCTCCTTGTTTTTGTTCTTTCAAGGTATTCGTCGGCCAGGACTTTGTTTAAAGTTTTCATTTACAGGTCGGAAGTTTGATCGATCCACACCGGCGGCTGCTGCTAATACCTAGTACTATCCGAATTAACCCCCCTGTCGCTCTTCATGTGGAGTACGAGTTTATACTGATGGGAGTTCACCAGCCACAATCACATGCTAGAAGCGAATCAGACCTTGATGGTCTTTTCTTTCCCTTGCTTGCCTTTTGAAAGGGGTGGGCATTGTTTGCGTGTTTTTGCGGTTTTCTGGGTATGAATGTCTTTGTGCTTATCGTGCTCTCGGCTCGGGCCTGCTCATCCTTTGGGCATTTCGTCAAGTTCTGACATATGAAAGTCTGTTGATGCGCTACTGTGGCTACATACCTTACTTGCTTACTTGGACTTCGTTGGCGATGAATGACATCGACCCTCGGTGCTTATGAGGGACGTTGACTAGGCGTGTACGGACAATTGCTTTCCAGCGCATTGACTACGTCAAAAGGCACATTCTAGCTCGGACGGTAATATGACGAGAGTTGACGATCGAGATGTTTACTTGAAGACTCTTGCCAGGCGCTTATAGCTGCCTAGCCAATAGCATCTGTCCGTCTGTCAGGATATCATATGTCGAAATAGTAACCAAAACTTTCCATTCTTCTGAACCAGTGACGGGTAAACAAACAGAGGCAAAGGCATGATTGACACTATTCTGCCGAGACGTCCCTGAGACACAGTTACTACGCTCGCGTGCTTATCTGAGTCACGCAACGTCGCAACAACCATAGCTTTCAAATGCAGGAAAACAGATGATGACTACTACATGGGTAGCAAAATAGGTCAGTTGAGATTGGCCTTGAACTGAGGCTGCCGTGATTGTGTACGACGTAGATACTCTCACTCTCCATGGCCGTCTCTATCATTCGTTGGGAAACAAGTGCTTAGATGAGTCAACCACGATGACATCCAGCAGCTGAAACAAAATGCAGGGACCTCGGGAAGCAGTGGGCCATGGTCAGATCGCGTCATGTCTTTTCCGAGGATAGGTAGGGTTGTCTTTCCTTGCAAGAAGCCATGTCGGAAAATAAGGTAGGACTAGTACATACATACATCAAGTCATTCCGAGACCATCGACGACATGTGATTCGATGAGGGCAACCCACGAGGAGACGTATCCACAGATAAGTTGTGCACCACGAACCGAAGCTATGGAACCTAGACCGAGCTGCCTGGGAAAGTCGTCAGATTGCGCTTAAGGCAGTCTACTCCGTACGTATGTAGTTTCATGCGATACTTGAGCCTTGCATGCTTGAGGTCGGTCAACAGCCCAAAACCTATTCAAGGTAGTATGTAAGTGACTGTGTGTTTGTATACATGTACTTGTATATCGATTTTTGCTCCCTGGAGATTGTTGCGGCCCGCCGTTCACCGATATCGTGTCAGTTGATGCAACAGATGCATCTGGTCGTGGAAAATTGCCTACCTACCTTACATGTAGCTTGTGGCATGCCAATAGTGCACCGTTGAACGTACATGGTAGTACAGATGCCTTCTACCCATAGGCCGCCAGCAGCTTGAGGCACTAGAGGGGGGTCAGATAACAACACTTGCATGTCATGTGCTTGGTCTTCATGGATGGCTTATTACAGCCTTACTGCTGAGATCGCATTGCTTCTCTAGCATTGCCTACACCCTGCCCTTTCTCAACCCCCCATTTCTTCATGCCGGATGCTGCTGAGCGGTTCTTCCCTCCATAATGTCAGCCTGCTTCGTGGCATCTTTGTTGTTGACATGAAGTAGCGAGCATATTTCAGAGAATTGAACGAGACATCCCGCCGTATTGACAATTCCCGATACATGAGAGGAAGCGTATATGGAGCACCATCGTCGTACTAGGCAGATAGTCTACGGTATGTGCCCATCCTGAGGGAACAATATTAGCTGCCTGCTCTGATCGGGTGTATACAAGAGACACGCAAAGTCATGTTGGTCAGAAGAGCGTCATTCAGGGCACAGACCTGCTGTATATACATGTATAGACATGACAACCCATCCATAACGTGATGGGTCCGCCACTCTCGATAATACGTGGGGAGGCGATATAGCGACGGCGAGGCCATACGGGCACACCGCTAAAGGCTGAACCGAATGATGCCTCTACCATGGGATTCGTAAAGCGATGATGCTATTCCGTATGGCCCCCCCCCCCCCCCCCCCCCCCTTCCCCCCCTCCCTCTTCTCTTCCCTTTCTCGTGCTGTAAGGGCGCAGAACACGCTCTTGCGTAGGCATATACAAATGCATGGGATAAGGGCAATGCATGGGGCAAGTAGATGCTGTGGTATCACGACCCGGTCTGGCCCGCGATCGGCAGCACAATCTAGTAGTAGGTATCAGAAGACAACAAGGATCCCCCTCAAGAAACGGGTTTTCTTTGCTTTTGCTCCTTTAGCCTCTTGGTGCTCTTGTTGCTTGGGAATATCATCACGTTGGACGAGCAGCAGATGCCCTTGCATGTGGAGTAGAACCGTTACGTAGGACCCATCATTGCCTGCATCTGCTATTGAACATTTGTGGCGCGAACGTGTCTTGCCATGCGAGACACGACTGGAATGCGGAGTGTCGTATGCCGTCTGCAGCCCAGGGTCGTGCCTCTAGCGACCTTTGTGCTGCTGTCCCTGCTCCAAAATCACGATCCGCTCGTTGCCCATCCCGTTCTTGTCCAGTGGCCCAAATACTAGTACAAACTACATGCAGTGTAACATGTAGCAGGTGGCGGTATTACTGGGGCGGAGTGTCCCATCTCGCGGCTCGCCCTGCATCTGCGTACATATCTCACCTGTCACATTTCCTGAAAGACGAGCAGGAAAAGTTGATAGTACCATGCCCAGCAGGCAAGAAAGACTGGGTTTCCTCACATGAGCAGAGGTCGCGCCAGGGAACCGCCGCTATTAGTCCATGCACAGACTTGGGAAGAATAGAAGAAAGCAGAGTTGATGATGCATTCAAGCCTGTAGGGGGCAGACCACATGCTGGGCTCAGCGCC